CCACAGCCACTTTTCTATTTGAGCAGTTCATTTGCCGAACGGGCCTATTTTTGGAAATTGTTCATGACCGGGCCCCAGCGTTTACAGGTGAGCTCATGACTGAGTTCTGCGAATTAATTGGCACTCGCCAGGTGAGAATTAGTGCGTATCACCCAGCTTCAAATGGGAAATGTGAAAGATTTGTTAAAACAGTCAAATCAATTGTAGCTAAATACGTGAGTCCTTCACAAAAAGATTGGGATTTACGTTTGCCACAAATAGCTTTTGCCCTGAATTGCTGCACCCATAAGTCAATGCAAGAGTCACCTTTTGCTCTTGTTTACGGCCGTCAGCCAATTCTCCCCTTTGATATGATTTCAAACGAAAGTTTCCGAGACCCGTTTGTAATTGACATACAAAATCGGCTTGCTCTCGCCGAGGAGATAGTTGCAAAAAACTATTCTAAACAGCAACGAAAAGACAAAGAGCGCTATGATGCGCGTCGCCGCTTAATTAAATTTAAGGTTGGCGACTGGGTTTCAGTTTTCACTCCACGCGCTAAAATTGGACTGTCGAAAAAGTTACTCCCTGTATATATTGGACCTAAGGAGATAACAGGAATCATCAGTCCAATCTCGTTTCGCGTACGCATGAGCCTTCGTCCTGGCGCAAAGGAGGAGGTCATAAACATTGAACGACTCAAACCCTTTTTCACTCGCGATGCACAACCCCAAGGGGTCCCAAATAGGAATAATTCGACTGAGCGCGATTCGTCTCCGGCTGCGGTCGAATTAAACCCTGAGTCTCAGGACGCGCAATCTGCTAACGCGACACCTGATTTAGACTCAGACTCATCTTAGGGTGTGTAGTACGCAAATTAGCTCAATTTGGGCTACCTGGCACAACTGTTGTTATGCCTGGAAATACGTGGCAAATGGAGAAATAGTTCCTAAAAAATTTATAAATAAAAATACAAAAAATTGGAACATTTTTCTATTATGGCCACTTTAAATAAAATTATTCTATTCATTTTTTTTTTTTTCTCCTCTACCACCTAGACGTGGCAGTAGCCTACTTTTCAGTGCGTTACTATGGCCACTTTAAATAAATATTTATGTAAATATTTCTGTAATTTATATGTATATATATATATTTCTATTTTGCCCTGAGTGCTAATCAATACAGTTCACTTTTTCATTCCATTTTTTCTTGGAACTTTAAATAAATTAGATTTTTTTTACTCTTTCGGTCAATACACTCTTCTTCTATATGTATGAATTTTTTCATTTTTTTCCATTCATAAGAAAACACCTAAATCACCGCGGCACTGAGCGCACATCATATCAGCTCAGAATTATTAGAAGCGCGGTGGCCCGAGAGAAAGAGCGGTGCCTCACCCGCGAGCACGTGGCGACCGGAGTGTCTTGGCGATTTGATTTGGGACATGCGCTGTATCGCGCTCTGCATGTCGCAGCGGGCAGGCAGCTCTCGCGCGGAGTCGCCATTATTGCCCCTAAAATCATTTGTCCAAAAACCAATATCCCCAATATTTGCCCTTAAAACAAATGCCCAAAAATGAACTATCCTAAATTTTTCACTCAAAAATTCCCTAAAAAGTGAATGTCCCAAAAATATTTGCTCTTAAAAGAAAAAAAAAAATCTTGGACAGTCCTTCTGATCACTTCTAGTTACCTTATATTAAATTTTGTCAACCTTCATCGATAGGGGAAATATTTTAGAGCAAATAAATTTTGAAACATTTGGGAGTTTTGCAATTAGGGGCAAAGCGGGTCTCCTCTCGCACGACTTCTCACAGCAGCCGGCGCGGCATTTCTCGCGCTCGGGTCTTAGTTACTATTTTCTTTAAAATTTTATAGCACTCATTCTAGAGCTCTGAAAATTCTCATTCCTTGAGTTTTTTCAATAAATATATCTGTCTACGCACCTCAAAATACCTAACTACAACCATATACAGTTAATTTCTTTGAAAATTACACTTATAAAAACATGATTATTGCACTTATAAATACTTTGCACTTGAAAAAATTTTGTTGTTATTTTCTTTCGAGACCTTTTCATAGGGTTTTATTCCCAGCTATATAGCTTGGACATTAATTTCATTTTTTCAATTGTACATTTCCAAAACAAAATTATTTTTTCAAATGACATTTTTTGTCACCCACACTCCTACAGGCCAGTGATGTGCCTGTGTGAAATATACATATTCATCGTTTCACTGCACCTGTGCAATTCTTAACAAGTAATTAATAATAATAGCTGAGGAATGGTGCTCAATAGCAACCATAATTGTGTTTAGCCAGGCCGTCAGAGAGACTAAAGGATTTAATAACGATCCTGTATCAAATCAGATTCCACAGGGCCCATGTGGATTTAATTTTAGAATCGTTATTTTATTCCTTTTGCAATATTATTTTATGAAAACTACGCGCGTAGTCTTTCTTTCTGATGAAAGTGGAAGCCTTGGCGCCTCAGCCGACTCTATAAAGAGCCGAAATATTTGTGTTATATAGTCCCACTTGCATTTTTGATGTCTGCAGAACACATATTCTGATTGTCAAACAGAATTTTATTGATTATACACTGCACTTGTTCATATATTATTAGGGGAAAAATTAAAAAAGGGTTCCAACAATTCCCTTTAACCTCTCCTTCAATTTCTGTCCATGATAGTCTTTCTTTTATTGGTGTTAAAATTTTTTTTTAATATATCACAATATTTTTTTTTTTCTCTCCTCTCTGTACTCGTCCCTTTGTAACACCTATTTGATAGTTCTATCGGTGCTCACGTTTGTTTAAGATGGACCAAAAAATTTGGGGACCTGCCGATGCTGAATTCCAACAGTACAAACTACTGGTTTTCATGCTGCAGCGAGACTGTCCCTTTTTACTGCCACCAAGACCTAGGTGTCAAATTTACGAAGTGACAGGAGATTTGTTCCGCTGGCCATCAGAGTACAAGGCACATGCGGTAGCAGCAGATTTAGGGATGTATAGGGGGCTCGCACGTTCCTATGTCAATCTCTATGGCAAGGTTAACCGCCCTTTGACAGAAAAGGTGCGCCCTGGCACCATCCTGCCGGTCAAAGTAGAGGGTCGCGGTGTCTACACCGCCACAACGTGGCTGCATTTGGTCACAAAATGGAAATCTGAAGATAAGATTTCACATCGTCCGAACGCGTTTGTTTGCAATATCCAGATTGCCATCCGGAAATTAGCAGCATATTGCCATGACCACGGGGTCCGCTCTCTCGCGATTCCAGCCCTCTGCAGTGGGCTAGACGAAATGCCCCCAGACTACATCCTACATTTGCTGCAGCTCTATTTTGCCCCGGTTGACACCACGATTTTTATCGTGCGTCTTCCACGCACCACCGGGTAGACACACAATTAATGTAGTGGATTAACAAAATTTTTATTTATATTTGATTCCAATTTTTCTCAGATGCACAGTGCTACCGAGCCTAGTACTTAATTTCAAACATCATTATCACTTTCAGATTAATTAATTTTGCCAGCAAATTAATTATATAATCTTGAAGGTTTTCAAATTATTTATTTGTTACCTTAATTCAAACACAATTTTTTTATTAATTCTTTACACTTGTTTAACATCCACTACATTCGTACATCTGGAATCTATAATTTTTTTATTTATTCTCATTTTGCGGTATTAAAATATTACAATTTTTTTTTTCTCTCTGATGAATATATACCATTTTATTATTTTTGTAACCAAATTATATGACTCATTAGATTTCCACTCATAACCACCGCACAAATATGTTGTTTTCAATAATTATTTTTACTGGTCTTGTCAAGATGATTTTTTTCTTGTTTAGCATAACTCATTGTGCAATTATTCTCTCCTGGGTCTGACGCATTTTCTTTTATTATTAAAAATCATTCTTCAGTTGAATTATTAATTTTTATTTCAAGATACATGAGTTCTGATTGTCGTACTCAAATTAATATTTTTAGTTGCGTCTAATTTTTTTGTCGTCTTTGTCAGCATACGCAATATGCAGACTTCCTGGCTCTGCGGTGCACATTCACGTCCGCTGCACCTGGTTTGGCGGTCTAACAGTTGACATTGCAACTAGCAGTTTTTTTATCACATCAGCGTCTGACCGCTCTCTTCTACGAAAATAGCTCAACACAAATTAAAATAGCACAATTGCAGTTATGCGTGGGTTTAGCACATTCATCGGGATTATCACACCATCCTGTTTCCGCCGACATAATGCACAAAAATGCACTCCTTCTCAATTTTTGTTGTTTTCATATTCAGCAACTTATTCCGCTGCATAATTTTTTTTTCATTGTCAGCTAAAATCACTGGTGACCACTCCAACGTTTTGGGGCTGGTCACTCTGGCACGACTCTTTAACACAAAGAAGCGGGCCGCCTCATCATGCTCGCGTCGCGCGGGCCGCGACTCACCACTTTTGGTGTCTGTCTGCTGAGTATCACTAACTATTTCTCAATTGTTCTAGCTGAATTCCAATTGCACCCGGGGGTTTTGGTCAAACAATTACAATTGTTTCCATCGACTTCTATTTACCCAATTGTTTTTGACATCGAATTACCTCAATATGCCCCTCTTGCTTCTATGTTTGGGTATCAAGTTTCCACACCACCGGAAGATCCCTTTCTGAACTTGACACGTATTTTGAGCAGAGCAGATTACACACTTGCCAATTTGACTCAAATTGAATTTGACACAGACCTGGAGCAACTTAACTTTCGAATCCCACGCGCACTTGAATTCATAGGAACTTTCTTTAGTTATTGTTGTTCTCTTGTCACCCATGCCGACCTGCCGCCCACTGGCACCCAAGCTCGTGATCAACTCAAAAAATTAAATGTTGAAATCGCAAACGCCTTCACAAAAATTTCCCAGAATAATGGCCAACTCTTCCAGTTCGCGTCAAATATGAGAAATTATATTCAGGAAATTTCTCATAGAATTAAAATCACTTTGGCCGCGGCAACTTCTGCTCACGACAGATTATTACTCCATCATACATTTAATCTGTATGTGAGAGTTCTCCACTCATTCACGCACTTGATCAACTTGCAAAATTCCCATTTCCTTCAAACACTCTTTTCCTCGTGCGCGACTGGCAAATTGAATCCTTTGATCGTACCGCCGAGCAAACTGAAATTAGCTTTAACTGAACTCCGAGAAAAAATTCAGCCAGAAAACCACACGCTTGCGATTCCAACAGCAAAATTGGATTATTATTATTCAGACGATTTGATTTCCTGTTCACGCAGCACTATCGCGATGACCTTAACCCTTCGAATTCCTCTTTTGACTACCACTCAAAAATATTCACTATACTCTCTTCAAGCGGTTCCATTTTCTTCTGATGGTAAAATCTGTAAAATTGAAGTGCCCTCGCACGTCGCAATTTCATCTCAAACTTCTGCTCACTCTGCAATTCGGACCTTCCAACCAAAAAAATCTCTTGGCCTTTTAAATGACATTAATTTACCAACAACTGAACAAAGATGCATTGCTGCCCTTCTTTCTCCCACTGCAACCCTCAATGATCTACGAAATTATTGTCCTTTTCAGTGTTTCTCCACAAATCAAATTAGCATTCTGCACATTGACGAGAGGAACTTTATCATTACAAATGCAGCGAATTTGACGGCCCATTGTGGCACCGCGCGTCACTCCCTAGCCACACAAGCAACCACGGTAGGGGCCCTTCAAGTGCATCTCCCTTGTAATTGCTCTCTTTACGCCAATACTGACAAAATTATTGAGACAAAATTCCCCTGCCTTCGGCCTGACACAAAACCGGCATCTATTCGTTTTGTTCCTCACGCGTGGACTCATCTTCCTTCTACAATCTATATTTCTCAAATTTCAAAAATTCCAAATCTTACAGCTATACTTTCGGAAGATTGGAACAAATTTTTGCCTAACGAACCACATCTGCAGAATGCGACGGTCACCGTTTTTGATTGGTCTTTTGTACAAATTGTCTCAAATTATATTGGCCTGTTTCATTGGGTAACTTTTGCCCTCCTCGCGTGGATCATTGTACGCACGCCAAGCCTACTTTGGGGCCTCCAAAATGCAAATCGGACACCAAAATCATCGCGCCGCAGGCACCGAATTTACCAACGACGGCCACTACCCGCGATACCGCGCTCGCAGCAAAATGACTCCTCTGCGGAACCCCCTGATGCACCACCACCTCCGTAATTATTTCACGCGGCGGTGTCATACGATTCATTTCATTATCCACTTTTCCTCACGGCAGTTCTTCTTCATTACTCCTTCGGTCGCGCGTGAGTTCATCGCAAGTTTAAAATTATTAATTTTTAATTATTTAAATACTTTTTGGCTCTTCATTATTCTCCTTCCTTCAATAACGCATTTTTTTTGTATTATTATTATTTATTCTTCTCGGTCAATACAAAAATTTCAAATTGGGTTCTTATTCTTTAATTTTTTTTTCTCTCTCTCTCTCTCTCCTTCACGGCCCTAAATCAATTTTTTTATTTTTCCTCCAGCTTGCGATGGCCACACGACACAATTCTGTCACAAACCACGTTCTAAGACCCCGGACGGCCGTGTCCAGAACACCGCTGGCACTGCTCCGCCGTCTGCTGTCCATTCAGAAAGGACTTTTGAGTATCGCGACTCGCCATATTCGCGATCATGAGTTTCTTTTTGCTCGACGAGAATTAGCCTCATGGACTGATATAGCAGTTCACATCTTTCAACTCTTCAAAGAAATGGACGGCCAACCATTTCCTTCTTGTATTTTTCTGGTACGCCCTTTTAATCGAACTTCTCAATCTTCTCAACAAGCCCTTCGTGGATTTCTTCGCGCGATGCGTCACAATATAAAAATCGCTATCAATCTTTGCCACGCCGCATCTTATGATCATCGCTCGCCGTTTTCGCCGCCGCGTCTCCTGATGGAGCGTTTTTACACGACACGACTGGCCCTGTGTGATCGGCTACCTCAGGAGTAAAATCACAAGCCGAGTTTCATAGGTTTCGCTTTTATTGCACATTTTTTTTTTTTTTTTTACATTATATGGCATTGTAAATTTTTCTTTCACTTCCAATGTTTGCACTTCACCTGAATTTGTTTTTCATTCCAATTTTACTTTTCTCATTGACTATGCGCAATAAATTTTTTTTTTTTCTCTCTCACCAATTTTCAATTCACATTATAATTATTTGTTCAAATAATTATCTTATTCTCTTTTTTTAACTTAACTGCCAACTTCATGGCTTTTGAATTAAAAATTAAGAATTATGCTGCTGAACTTGCACTTCAATTCCGTCTCTCCCGATTATTTTAAATTAATCTCCAAAATACATGGATTTTAATTTCAAATATTCTGGACCTTATACAATACTGATTTTTTTTTAATTTTATTATTATTGCGCCTTTACTTTTCACTTGTTCATTACACTTCCTTTTGTTTTGTTGGTTGCACTAATCTTCCTCTTTCAGCCTTCTCCGTACTTCCTAATTCCCCTCGCTCATATACATCTTCCTGAATCAGCATTTTTAGCGCGACTCAAGAATCGAGCGAGTTCACATATCACTTTCAGTCATTGTCGCATTTTTCATTACTTTATCACACGTCTTCCTGGCAACGGAGTCAGACGCGTCCCTTCAGAATTTTTGATTCAAACGTTCTTTCTCCGAGTTTCCGTCTAATTTCAATCCTGTAAGTGCCATCAATTACTTTCTTCAGGATACAATACCAACCCTGTCCATACCAAATTCAAGTATCAGTTAAAATTATCTCGACGGCCTGACCGTTAGATTTTTTTTTTGAAATTTCTTATTTTTGTGTGGGTATTATTATTATTATTTTTCTCAGTTTGGTTATTATTATTTTCGTTTATTGTTTATTTTTATGATTATTATTATGGTTCCTTTCGCACACTAGACATAATTCATTCATTTCTCCATACTGTGCCACCGGTTGCACCAGAGTTAAAACATCATAACTCGCTTTCCCCTCCAACGACTTGTGCGTATGTTTTTCCATACCGGCTGGTGTCCAACCTGACACTTTCCACGCACACACTACTCCAGCGAAACTGGGTTAATCAACTGACACCCATCAGCTGACAGCGCTCTTCACTCTCGCCTACCTCAACCGAGGTTCGGCCTGGGCCGCCTCCAGGCCGCTCTTTCGGCCTCGGCTGGCCGCCTGGGGGTCGAGGTGCATTCCGACCTGGCTCAGAAATGACAGGAATAATTTATTGAAAATTATCAAATTTTTTTTTAACATACTTTTCGTTCTAGTTAATTTTCATTATTATTTAATCTCAAGTATTGTTCTCTCGGTTTTCATTGGCTTCATTTTTTCTTTTTTTACAAATCACTTATGCATCTTGCGATGAAAATTTTTTTTATTAGTACACAAAATTCAATATTCACAATAATAATAATAATAATCGGTTGAAGATTTTTTTATTTACATCTCCCTTCTTCATCCGACCTACACACAAAGATGTAATAATAAATTCAATGGACCATTTCCAGTCCCTTTATTTTCATCTTTTCTTAATGAGATGGGACACGACTGCCCATAGGCATTCCTGCCCAATCTTTCCTTCTTTTCAGCTTTGTGTTTTTTCCTTATAATTGGGTTTATTTTTGTAGCACTCATGATGCGCATCTACGTACTACGGTCCGAGAGCTTCAGGATTTGCCGCCTCGACTCCCAATGCTACCGGACGGGGCAGCGGCTGGAATCATACATCAACTTCGCGGCGGCGGGACAAAGTTTCTTCTTGACGGACTATTTTCGAGCGCACCTCCGCAGCCTTCTACGAGACGCACAGGTCTTTTCTACTTCCAACCCGACTGCTCTCGAGTCCCTGTTGGACGAGACCCGAGAGGTGGTAGTCGCTCACCTGGCACGCATCTCCTACTCCGCTCAGCTCCTTCTGACTCTGTTTGACACACTCGTATCTGTCCTTGACGCGGGCCAACCCAACATCGGCCGCAACCTCGCCCGTCAATTCCTCGCCAGGCTCCAGACATTCTGCGAATTGTTGAGTCCGTACCTTGCCTTCCTCCAGGCCGAATTGGACACAGCTCAAGCGGCATTGCCTCCCGATGTCCAGTTTTCCCCCCCCTCATCGGAGGATGAATGGGAGCCCGACGAATACGTGGCCACACTGCCCCTCTCGCCTCCGTCCTCCGATCTCGAGGACTGGTGAAATGTGTCCTGCTGTCCTGCCGTTCCGCCGTCCAGCCGCCGCTCCGCCGCCACATCCCACCATCAGACGTGACGCCGTTGTCCTTCGGCCGAAGACTAAACCAACGTGTAGGACACTCAGTGCGTCGATTTATCCCTTTTTGATTTTTTGTTAATTTGCATTCTCTGTATTTAACTTTAGTTCGGTGCTCTTATTTCCTTCCTTATTTTTGGTAATTTAGTCTCCTTTTATTACCCTGACGTCTCTCGCTCTCCAGTATTTAAATTTTGCTCGAAGTCCCTAATTTTTTTTCTCTCTCTCCGTCTATTTGACCATCGCTATTTTTTTATTCCCTTTGTTATTTTTTTTTTTACTTTGCATTTTATTTTTACATGGTCAACATTCCTTTTTATCTAATTTTTTTTTATTTTTATTTATTTCTTTAATTTTTTCCGAATTTATTTTGTACTCAGGGCTGGACACCCTGTCGCACACCTCTTCCTTCCCGTCAATGGAATTTTTCCGTGTTCCCCTTTTTCTCGAATTACGTTCTTTTCCGCTATTCCTGTTTCGGTTGTGGTGCGGGCTCCAACCCCTTTTATATTCCGGCTAACACACCCCAAAACCCTTTCGATCCATATGTTCGTTTTGGACTGAGGTCCTCTCGCTTTGTGCAAGGGCTCGTAAACGAGCGCGGCTGACCACCGCTGTGGGCTTCCTCCACCCACGACTTTGCTCCCCTTGGCACAATTACGAGGGTCCGCCAGTCCAGTCGGATATCAAAAATTTTGCTTATACAAAAAAAAAATTTTTTTTTTCCACAACACTATTTACACATTCGTCCCAAACAAAATAAAACTAAAATTTTAAATTCCCCAAATAAGCCGGGGGGAGGGGGTGGGTACCTCACCCCAACTAATCGGTTGAAGCAATTAAAATCTTTCCCATCTCAAATAAATATTCCAAAATTAATAACATTGCGGAAAATTCCATTACGGCGATTCGTAAATTCAGTATTCTTAATCATAATTAAGTAAGAGGATAATATTCATTTACAAATATTAAATAACTTATTTATTCGAGCAAGGCAACATTTTTCAATATTAACAAGTCCTAAAAGTAACTTCTTATTTTTTTATTTGTTTTTGTTCTTTCCCTAAATTCGAGAGGGGGAGATGTCAGGATTTGAATTAGTGCGCTCCCCAGTAAATTAGTGATAAATTACTCCCACTCACCGGGAGCGCACAATAAGCAAAAATGAGCACCTAGTATGTGATGAGTGACGGCGGCGTCACTCATCACCACGGGACGAACCCACGCGGACGTTCTCAAGTATCACCTCCGTTAAAGGTATTTATGTAATAACTGTCTTTGGATATTTAATAATAACAATGTCTTCCCTGGGTATCACATTTGTTTAATTGACTATTCCCATAGGATCTAGCACCGTCAGGGCGTAACCCTGACAACTGACAACTGTATTTTTTCGCAAATCCCCGGCACACCTGACACTTGTCGTAATTAAAAAATTCCTTTTCGTGCCGAGCATCAATCCTGCAAAAATGATCCGTAGAAAATCTTTTTGTAAAAAATTGCATCAAAAATAAAAATTATAATATATTTAATTAATTCAAAATAATTAAAATCATTAATTTATGCAGTTAATCGAATTTAATTTGTCTTTATTTGACAGGGCCACCGTCTCATTTTGACATTTTTATGGCTCGCACACTCGCGACTGTTGAGGGGGAAAGTGATTTTTTTTTCAGTCACAGTTTTTGAGAGCAGCTCACGTAACGCGCATATGAATCGGCATATGGAGGCGGCGATCGGCTGCTCTATAGTGAAAGTGGCCTCAGCAGCCGATCGCACCTTATAAGTCGAGCCAGCTGTTGTCTGTTCGCTCTCGACGTAACAACGACCCACTCATTCTCCTCAACAAAACATTCATAATATTATATGCTTCTTGCAAAGTATTAAGTTGAAAGCTCCAAACTGGCCCGCTCCGTCTCTTCCGCCTTGTGTTATATGCATTTCTCATTGTTCGGAAGCGGAAAGCACTTTTGTTTGTATTTTCCTTCCTAGTGACCGGACAGCTATTTTATTTGATCTCTTTTTAATAAAGACAAATCGTTAAAAGATGCTTTGGCGCTCATGAGCTTTACCTTTTACGGTGGAAAAAGCGATGGGTGGCATCGTGGGCGGCGGCAACTATGACGTTTCATTGGCCTTTTGCACAGATTTATAACTCTTTTATTTACCATGAGAAGCTCAGACCGCTAACTAAAGAAATTTGCAAAAAATAATCGATATTTATATGAATAAAAAATTTATAATTAAATTATTAAGAAAAATTAAACTTTTAAAGGAATTGCAAAAACAAAGACTTCTTCCTCGCTGAAAATTTGTTTTTTTATTAAAAATAAACGGTTCAAGCCAGAAAAAAAAATACAAAAATACCAACAAATTGAAGAACCACATTTAAAAAATAATCCTTAAATTAAATTAACACAATTCAATTTCATGAGCATAAGCGCTGCTTCCTGACAAATACAAGAATGAGCCTTTTTACTAATTTTTGTTAAAAAGGTGGCTTTTCAATTTAGCTGTGTTTTGTATATTTCTTACTCATGCATGCAGACCGTGATCAAAACTGGTAGAGCCGTATCTTTTTTTCAATAATAATAATAATAAAATAAAAAATGAGGACCAAGACAGTTTTTTTTTCAATTCCATGATCATATTCAAATTAATTAAATTTGAGACACATTTAAAGTAATTTTTAAAAAAAAAATTTATTTAATGAAATCTTTGCAGAAACTTTCTAGCAATTATTGAAAATTTTAGCCATCATTATTGTAAATATTTGCTTTAACTATATCAATAAGAAATGAGAATGTAAATCAATTCAAATTCCTGTGTCGATGTAAATTTTTGCAATAAATTATTTATAATCAAAATTAAAAAAAAAAAGAATAGAAAATATTTTTTTTTTAAATAAAGGTTAGCAATATCTTTATTTTTAGAATTCATTTTATAAATAGGCACCCACAGCCAGCGTCCGGGAAAGGTCACCTTAGGTGAGACCCTTAAGCACCAACATACGCTCGGCGCTCCTCTCTGACCGCCGAGCATTATTTCGGATTCTTCTTTCATTTTATTTCATCACTAAATAAAAAGGTATGTGAAAAGAATTTTTTCTGCTGCCTCTCCTCCAAGCTTACAATTAATCCGAACGGCACCAGGCAATAATGAATTCCAATGTTGTGCGGGTATAGCATGGAACATTAATGAGAGCAGTTTAATTAATTTTCCCATGATGCGCGTTGGAAACAAAAGAGCTTATATTGCCATCAAGGCGCCGCGCGCAGAAAAAAAGTCACACATAATCAACGCGTCACGGGGTTCATTTTATCGTCAATAATATGATGCGTTGGCAAAATGTTATGTTGAAGGAATAGAGAGAGAAAAAATGAGCAGTCCGCATTTACGTTGAAATATTATTATTATTTTTTCTCTTATTTGCATTTCTGATCATGAACGAGTTGAGAAAAATAATTTGCTTCACCGAAAGTCCGCCAACGCAGTCGCCAAGCTCGATTGTGTAATTCTTTGTTATGCAATTGGAATGGGAAAGAAAGGTGGCAATCTTAAATAAAAACGTTGGCGGTTTAAATCGATTCCTAAATTACTTTTGGGTTGACGACGTGTGTTGGTCTTATTTAAGAGAGTTGGCAAATTTATTGACTTTTGATGACATAAAGATTGGCCCACAAAAACGATACAAATTCGATCTTTCATCAAAATGCAGTGACCAGACAATTGAAAACAATTGAAAAAAGCTGTATGAACAATAAAAAAATTAAAAATTTTACTTAAAAATTGTAATGTTCAAAAAAATATTAATGTTTTTAAATTTTATTTAACCTTTTAAAATAATTTTCAATTCTTTATTAAATACAAGATTTAATATATTATAATTGCATTTTTTTGTTTTTTTATTGATTTTATATGATCATTTAATAACTTTTTTCAAATAATATTTTTTTTTAATTTATATAAAAATTAGATTAGCAATCCTTTCAGGGCATTATTCAAGGATGATTCTACAATACATTTTTTGGCATTGCTGGATTGTGCTTCACTAAATATCAAATAATTATATTATTAACCTAATAATAACAAGCAATTAAGTTTTAAAAAAACTCATAATAACAATTAATGAATTCCAAAATCTCTTTTTTTAAACATACTCTATGGAGAACGGTTCAGATCTTGTCGGCGGCTCAATCATGACATATCAACACAAGCAGTCACTTCTTTCATTATTGATTTTAATGGAGCACGTTTATCCGCATGTAAGAGTACAACTGCCTCAGGCTTGTCTCAATTCTCAACTCGCTCTTATCTTTGAAAGGCTCTAAATAATTAAATTTTATGTCTAATTGTTCCCTGTTCACTTCCTCGTTCAATTGTGGGCTCCATAGAAAGGACAGGAAATTGCGCCCAGCACGAAAATCGTGCTCAAAAAGGGGATAGTTCTTGGAGTGGCCAGATATGCATACTAATTATTGTAAAGGTTCAAAAGACAATGCAAGGGAAAAATTACAAAAATCAAAATTTTTCCATTTAAATTATTATTTTTCTCAATTTTTTCCCCACATTAGGGCAAATAAATTTATTTAAAAAAGGTCATCATGCGCGAAAGATACTTTCAATTAATGAGATTGAAGACCTGACTGAGAATAACTGAAAGAAGCTGTCAATTTATAGTTATATCAATCTTTTGGAACTGTAGTGCTTTTTCTCAATTATATCAATTAATAAATATTCGTCTTAATTCCTCTTTCATTTCAAATAGCACTTTGCCTGGGATGCAATTAATTGGCAGTAAGATTCATATTGATTGTTTGTATGGTACGTACTGAATAAATTAATTTCTTTTTTTCCGTTTAAAAAAACGAAAAACAAAAATAGTTTTTGAAAAATACATTATTTATAAATATTGAGTTTTCATTAAAAAAAAAAAAATGAGAAATATAATAAATTAAATTAAAATTTTTATCTAAAATATTTATTGTATTACTATTAGTGTAAAAATTAAATAATATTATTGTATATAATAATAAGTTAAACATTTTTTAATGTAAATTTTGTAAAGATTGCCCTGAAGAAGACGCAGCCGGAAAGGGTGACGTCGGCCGCGATGAGGTCAGCCTCGGCGGCTGTGATGTAACGAGCGTGGGAAGGACCGAGAGATGGAAATGCTCACCTATGTTGACGAGCTTGACGCCGTCCTCGGCGACGGCGTTGAGGGCCGCGGTGACGTTTTCCAGGTACTGGTGCGGGTTGGCGGGTCGTTTGATGTGCCTGAGGTTGCGCTTCTGCAGCACCTCGACGAGGGCGACCAACTTGGTGCCGTCGCTGAAGTCGGTGGCGAGGTCGCGCACCGCCAGGCCCACCGTCTTCAGGTGCTCGTTCACCCAGTTGCGGAAGGTGTTGGCCTGGATGTGCACCCACATGTCCTCGTTGCCCTTGATGGCCATGCCACCCTTGGCCGCGTGTCCCTCGGGACTCCGCGCCGCCAAGCCCACCTGCGAGATGCGCGTGTGTTCCGCCGCCCCGGCCGCTGCCATTGCGCCTCACCTGACTTGATAGACAGGCCAGCGCTGTCTGTTTGGCCTGGCGGCCGCGCCCTGACCCTGCGCCGTCGAGCCGAGAGTGAAAGTTGACCGGGGCGCCGCGGCTCCTCGCGGCGGCCGCGCCGCAACCTCTTCAAAAGTACCTGCAGCCAACCTGACCACCTGAGCAGACCCTGCACGCCGGCGCCACCTGCGCGCCTTATCGCAAAACTCGCATCTATCCATTCAACCGGCAACAACGATGAATGAGCGGGTGGAAGTGGAAAAAACCATTACTCCGCCGACAGGTGTATACCAAAAATCTTAATGTTCCTCTGGTTATTCAAAAACTCAACTGGAATTCCTTTGGCTATGAAAGGATTGATTGAAAAAAATTCGTAGCTTTTTAAATTTGATTTCTTTGTTTGTGTGGTTTTAATTATATTATGAGGAATAATTTTATCAAAACTCCATATACTTATTCCAGCAATCAGTAAAATAGTTTCATCCATCTTTAAATTTTTACCATTGTTGGCCATATAGTCAAGAAAATTCCTTATTCAACAATATATAACAAACAAAAAATGGCGACTATTGGAACTTGAAAGACTTAAACCACCGATTGGTGTTAATAAATTTTGCAAATTTAGCATTGTCAAGAAGTTCATTTTAGTTCTTGCAGTTCTTGAAATTAAAATTTATCTTAATATTAATAATAAAACATAACAACTTGGCCATTAAACCAAACCAAACCAAATTTTTTCAATAGAAAATATGACCAAATTAGTTTTAAGTCATAAAATTATTCAGTTTTACTGAGGTTTTTAAATAAAAATTGTTGAGCAAAAGTTTTTTAATGAAATTGAAATTTGTACTAACAAGATATATGAAAGAAACTAAATTTCATTTAGAACTTCACCTAAATAAAAAAATTAAACATTTCAAACCATATTTCCATGATTAATTTTTCACTAATTTTAAATAGACAATGAGCGTGCTTTTTTTTAACAATATTGAATCGTTGCGTTTTTATAAAAATTTTATTGTTTCATCTTCTCATTTTTTAAAAATATGAAAATCAATTCCATTTCATGCAATATTATAATAAATTATTATCATACCATCGTTGCTTTAAAACTTTCTAGAATTCATCTCTTTTGATTCTGCCTTGTCATCTTACAAATAGTTGATAGCAAAATAACTAATTTAATGGAAATGAAGAAAATCGGGCTTGTCCTCGTTGCATTCCTAGTTGAGAGCAGCGCGTTTGCTCATGAAATAGGATCGAAGACCGTGACCGAAATTGGTAGAGCCATTTTGTTTTTGAATAAAAACAATTTTTGCAAAAGCCCGATTTCTTCATTTCCATGATCATCTCCTCGAGTGTCAACTTCTTCAAACTAATTTAATGTCCATCAAAAATGAATAAAAATCTTTTCTTCTTCAAAATTTTTAAAACAGCCTGAAGATATGTAAGGAGCGTAAATATTTTAAGACAATTAGAATATTATTAAGCCGAAAAGTAAATATATGTATTGCCAATCACCAACGTGACTGATTGGCTCTTGTATTATAAATTGTTGCATGACGGTGCTAAAAATAAACGTCAATGTCGTTCTGCTAATTGTAAGCGAAAACATATTACTTCTGTTTCCCTTGTGTCTACATCCAAGGCTGACTCCCACTATTTTGCAAAATGCAAACATGAAAAACGAGCCCAAATTAAATGAGATCCGCGCAAAGGATTTTTAAAAAATAAAAAATAAACACATATTTTTATATATTTTGAATTAATAGCTCGTTGTTTATACAAAACGTAAAAGTGTACGCTATAGAAAATAATTGGAATTTCACCAAACTAGAAAGCCTTTCTCTTTCAAGAGAGGTCAAGTGCACTCTGCGAAAAACAAATAAAAAGCGTGAATCAACTTCGGCTATGGTAGTGACCTTCTGAGGAGTCGTGTCGCGCGCATATTGTCCAAAATTTACTCGCGCAAATCACCAGACCGAAAATGTAAATAGTGCGGAATCCTCTCTTTTATGTTTACTCTCACTGCCGACGGCCGGACCATAACGTCCGCAATTTAATTATTTGGTCAAATGAGTTTAAAAGGAGCACAAATAACTCGACAGTGAAAACGTCTCTCAAGCGCTGAAAGTTTTTGCCATCACCATCCAGGGGACAATTAGAATTAAATCCTTAAAATTAACACTATTGTGAAAGGTTTTTTTAATTATTACTTCTTAATATTAAAATATACAAACTTTCATCACAAGTGATGATGATTTATCTAGTTGAAGAATTTCGCCATCCGGCACCAAAAAAATTGAATTTATTTCTGACTTATGACCGATGAGAAAGTGCAAACCATCTTTAAACTAGTTTAGTAGCGACCGCGCGTTAAAATAGAAAAATGAAACCATTTCACATGCATGATTACGTGGTGCCCCCGATTTGGCATCCCATGAAATAATATTAAGGTTGCATCAGAAAATGAGCAGGCATATGAGGCATGAAAGAGGCGCAAAAAGTCCGCAGCGCATCTTTCTCTCGATAAAAATAATGACTCGAGAGAAAGGTTTGCATGAGGCGCACTTTTTCTCCTTCTATAGTTGACGTAAGGCGCTATTAAAAATTAATGATTGATGGCTTGATGCACGCTAATTTAAGAGCTTCACACTCATGATTAAAAACACACATTTTGAGCGCATGGCGTTGACCCGTTGCATAATTTGGCACTTTTCATTGTTCGATTGACCCATAGCGAGTCAATTTTATTTCTGGATTTCTTTGTTTCTTTTTGCCCATCTAAAAATTTCTTTAAATTTCGTTTTACTTAATAGTATTAGTTTATTTTCCGTTTAAAAAAAAATACTGTAATTATTAGAACAGTAATGAACTTAACAAATCAGTCAATATTCAATTAATTAAGAAAAAATATCGTAATTAGTTTGTTTGATATTACAATGAGCTTAAAAGTCATCATTTCCTCGATGGGTTTTTATTTCGAGTTGTTTATTTTCAGAAAAATCAATTTTCTCTGCTCAACATGTTTTGGCTGCGGGCTGCAGCTATGATTCATGAGCTGCGAATTATTTTTGACAAATATTAATGCTTGAATCAATTTTTTTTCGATTTTCATAGAAATTAAAAATTAATTTTGAAAAAAATATCATTTTTGAATTTTTCACTTAAATATTTTTTATATTTTCACAAAAAGTTATCGTTTTTTTCTTTGTAATTTAAATGTAAAAAAATAACAGTTTTTAATCCTGATTAAAGCATAATCAAGCTTATTAAACAAATATTGTTCATTTTTGTGGTACAATTTCACAATCGAGGGTTGATTCATGGTGATTTGAAGTTAAAATGGACTTTTCCTCAAAGAGTTTTCATACAAAATAAACAACTCTCAAAACCCATTGATGAAAAGCCTATCTTATATTGAAATCACCATATATTTTTTAGTTTCGTTCAAAGTATTTTTGAGAAATAAATACATAAATTTTTCACTATTATGGAGAATTTTAATTATTTAAACTAAATAAATACATAAATTAATTCTCCTGCAATTGATAAATTGAATACAACAATACTACTGCATGCACACTCAAATCACTGTTATTGTTGTTAAGGTTGGATGCCTCTCGAACGAAGGAAGGGGAAAAACTATATGCGGTCTCTTTAAATGATACCCTTAATGTATTTAGGTTCCTTTCGGGCCGAATTAGTTGTCACTAGAGCGTGTCCGGCGCTACTTTGTTTCCTGCTTCCGACTCGTTTGCATAATAACCGCGACTAATTAACGTGCGCGTTGCAGAAAAAGTAAAAGTAAAACGCGGTCATCTACGAGAAAAGTGCATCCAGCTCAATTTTAAGCGCAAATCTGCCAGCAGAAGGTGAAATTCTCAAGTGATTAGCCGCCGTGAGAACAAAACGCAGCAAATCAAACACTTGTTCGCTTCGCTGCTCCTTGCTTTCGATTTGTGTTAAATGTTCTGTGCTGCAGCAAATTACAAAGGCAATCATCACTCTATTGATTGAATTAGTGTAGGATTTTCTCTGTTGGCGCTCAAGTCTAATTTTAAATTCTTGGTCAATGCCTCGTAGGTCAATTATGGCGCTTTCCATTTTGGCAGAGCAGTGATTGATTTTAATTTATCGGGATATGTTCAATGCCAATAAAAACTTCAAATCAGGTTATTTTTTTTTTACACTCGCGGACTTTTACTTTGTGTTTCTTATCAATTGTTATTTAATTTAATGAAGGGAATGTGCCCAGATAAATCAAGGTAAATGCATATATAATATGACAAAATAAGAGAATGGACGTGTGTGTGTTTGGTGCGCTCACAACGCCCACTGCTTAACTTAAAATTATTGCAAAATTCCATTAATGATATAGTCTCCGTTTCTCAACTCGTGATACCAGCCGCATTTGTTTCCTTGCACTGATTCAGAAAACGGAACTCTCAATTCCAATTTCCCTTTCTCCGAGCCATTTATCTATTGAACAATTGATTTAGTTTCCGTCTGATCTATTTTTGCATTGACAAACCAGTATACTTGCTCAACAAGTTAGTTGTCAAACTGTTATTTTGCCGTAAAAGTATGAAGCGTTAATATTATTATATATTTATTGTGCACAAAGCATGAAATTGTTAATATTTAATTTCTCGTACCGGTATCACCAAGGTTATGCTTAGAACGAGTTTTTCAAGTCATTTCTAATTTTTTTTTAATCTACCCTTGCTTGACTTGTCTAAGTCAGAGCTTGTAATAGTCATAATAAAATTTAAACAATGACGTTGTGCTCTTGCAGCATCGTTTCTCTACGGATTAAAATAAAATCTGATTTTGAACAGCGCATCCTCAGTTGCAATAAAATTTAATAAAATTGCTAAGTTTTTTAATAATTATTTAGTAAAAATTAATTAAATCGGTGTACTTTAATATAATAATATTTTATATCATTATATTAAATTTAATTTTAAAACAAGTAGTTTTAAATATAAAGTTTATTACAATAAATTACTTGACATTTGTTTGAAAATTTTTTTAATAGATTATAATAAAAATTTTAAATATAATTATTTTAATATAATAAATAAATATTTAATCTAGAAATTGGAATATTAGAACTTGAAAAGTAATTACCTAATTGGTATCTGGTACTTCCTGTTCGGTGGAATTTTCATTTAAAGGATTAAATTGCAGAATTATGTCTTGGATCCAAGAGTTTATTCAGAAAGTTCCTGTTCATGTTTAATTTTATTAAAACTGTACATTTAAAATACATTTGCGGACATGTAATAATAAGGAATAAAAACAAGATAAAATTATTAATTGCTGCACTCTTAAGGGAAATGAAAAATATGTTACAAAATTCCAGCAACATTTGCATTGCAATAAATTCAAAGATTTCTAAATAATCGCATTAATACCCAGATTTACATCAATATTATGCCAGGCGCCACAACTTTTGATTTCCTTGGGAATGTAGCTTGTGAGAAAAAGCGCAAAAATGTATTGAGAGCAATTATTTCAACTGCGTCATCGGCAAGACCGGTCTTGAACGGTGTTATTCAAATTTTTGCGGAAAGCTGCAAGCGAGATTTTCGCTAATTTGGCTTCGTTGTAACCGGTATGCGTACATTAGCGTTGCGCAATAAAAGTACGCGCGTATTTCCTCGATGGGCCGGTTATTTTTATTTTGGTCGGCGGAGATTTTTAATTTGAAGCAGGGCAACTTTTTAGTAGGTCCAACATTCGCACGTACCAATAATGGGGCGCAATGCAAAGGCGCAAACGTCGCAGCTCCCCCGCCTCGATTTTCCCCTGCAGCAGCTGCGCCGCGCTCTCAGTTTCACTCTTGCCGAGAAGAAAGGACAAACAGTCAGCAGTCTCGCTCAGACCGTCCTGCACCAGCAGCAGCACCGCTCCACCTTCCTCAGGTACGAACTCTCTTTACGACGTGCAAGTGAAATTAGTCAGCTGATCGCGAGCCTTGCACTTTCCGCTCGATTTGCAGTCGGCGTGCGTCGTCTCGACCTTTCTCCTCTTCGGAGAACGCGCGCGACCCGCGCTCTCTTAATTTCTTCTCCTTTTGTATTCCATTTTTTTTCTCTTCTGCTTCGATCGGCAACGTAACAATATAATTAACGAAAATAAATTGGCGAAATATTTCCACGTAACTTAATTGATATCAACGGCGATGTGGGTCATAGTTGTAACTGAGCGCGCGCCGCAGACTCAATTTCACCTTTTACTTTGGCCGCAGGCATCGCATATATATGGGATTCGAGTGACAAGCCCGATTACCTCACTAAACCGGGATTGACCGGTGATATATTCTCGCTCAAAAAAAATAATAATAAATCACAATCTGGTCCCTGACACAATTTTTTCCAACGGATTTTTGAGTAAAATAACAAAAACAAAGGAAAGAAGTTTTAATTCATAAAAAAGTGCCGGTGTAAAAAAAAACTGGTTAAATAACATAGCAATTTTAATACGGAAAACACGCAGCATGAGAGTGCATAGTGTGCAGCGGAGCAAGAAAGAAAGTTAATTGGGCGGCAGTTTCGTGTTCGCAGGTGCAGCTTCCTAGTTTCCGTCCCACGGCGCGACCTACCCCTCTGCAATGGTGCCATCGAAGGTGATCGTGCTGCTGGCGCTAATCACGTGTTCCTGCGTCTACGCGGCGCCCCAGGGTCGGCAGTCGCGTCTGCAGCAGCGCCAACAAGACGCGGACGACGAACCTGTGGCGGACGACACCACCGGATCGACGGACCTTGAAGAGGTCAGTGCTGAAACTTGACCGATTCTTTCTCTGCTCTTTCCCTTTCTTTTGTTCGTTAAAAAAAAATTGAATTTTTTTCTATAACGCGGATTATAAAATTGTGACCAAAAACGGAGTCGCGCAAGGGGCACCTTGGCGAATCGGAGCTCGTAGGTTTGAGATTTCGCTTTTCAGTAGTTTAATATGGTGCTTTTGTAGAGAGTATTCATCTGTATAGCTTTAGCTGCTTTCCCGGCTTGATTCAAATGCGCGGTGTTGAAAGTGCACACTTTAATAGGCAATTGCAAATTGCTAATTGCGTCACAGCTGCAGCGCGAGAGCTCAGCTTCCTTCCGTTTATCGTCCGTCGTCGTCTGTCTCGCGCCAACTCCTTTCATTGCTTGGATATTTTTTTTTATTCTGTATATGCTTTGCTCGGCGACGGAGAAAGTATGCGAGTCGAAAATTACGCGGCAGATCCTTTTCCGAGTTGCGTGCGCTCGCGGTCGCCCAGCAACTGTTGTTATGAAACACACTCGCAATCGAAATCTGGCGCTTTTTATCGCCGTGGCCACTCACATATCTAATGGACTCGTGTGATGCAACCGCGGTGCTTTATCAAAACAGTGAAAATTTCAAAATTTGCCCGTTTTTTCGCAACAAATTTTTATATCGGTCTCGGGAGTGAAGTGCGGAATTATTATTATTATTTTTTCTTTTCGTACCAGGAATTGAGTCAAGGCACGATTTGCGCGCTCAACCTTGCTACGCTGGTCAGCACAATTCATTTTATTGAAAGTGAAAGAAAAGCGCGCGCGTTCAAGTCACTCACTATCTATCTCGAGCCGCGCAGCCTCCCGGAGTTTCGCCTGTCGCGAGAAAAATCGCCGCGCGCTCTCGACTCGGTTTTAACGTGAAAGGAAAAGTTCGTGCACCGAGATTTTCAAAGCGCCACCTCTAGCCTCTAATTGCAATTAATTACACACCAATTTCAATTTCCTGCCTGTTGTAAATATAAATATATACCCATCAAAAATGCTCGTTCGCACATTCGAATTCATCCTCTGCACTCACTTTTATTTCCACCTCAGCACTAACGGTTGAATTAACAAAACTGTGTACATTCTTTTGCATGAATTTTCTATGGTAAATTGTTTCTCGATGAAGATGTAGTCTGCAGAGTGTAGGTTTTGCTGATGTGCGAGTTTCTAAAGTAGACCCACAAACGAAAAGTCATAAAATTCAGATTTAACAAGGCACACCCATAGAGTAATCACAAAGTAGCATATTGTGAAATTCTGTAAAAGTTGTATTGAAGCTTAATTAATATTGGGAGCAAATTTACATCCGGCATAAACTAAATTTTTAAAGTTTGAGAATATTTAATTGAAAATTTATATATTAAATAAAAAAATAATTCGTTTCCAGAGTTGCATGATCAGAAATTTTTACTCTTCCAGATTCTTGAATAAAACCATGCTTATTTGAAATTAAATTGCTCTTGGTTTTGAGCTCTTTAATTTCTGCTTGGATTCTCAAATTTCAAATCAAGCCAAGTTTTTCTTGCGGAGTACGTGACACAGATACAAAGTGCTCCAGGCCGGTTGTATAACAGAACCACATAACTGCTGCTCTCGATTCGCCCAAGGTCCCCCGCGTTCGGCACATTTTTTACCTCGCGCTTGTTAATTGCAACCGAAAGAGAGCGAAACCCTTTCACTTTCGCCCGTACCACCTTTTTGTTATTTTTCTATATCTTTTTTACTTTATAAATTTTTTTTACTCCGAAATCTGAAAGGACAAGGGTCACGTATATAGAAAGGGAAATGCAGGGAAAAAAGAAGTCTTAACGAGTAGGGCCGTTTGCAGCTGGAGAACGAGATCGCCGAGGCGGCGGCGGCCAACTTGGCCGCGAGGGCCATCAAGCTGGAGCAGCGACTCGAGGACGAGATCCTCGAGGCGGCCGTGCTGAACCTGAAAGACCCGGACGTGGACCGACGTCAGCGACGTATGCAGGAGCTCGGCGAGATGGTCAAGCGCGACAAACGCACCGTTCAGGCCATCACGGGCCTGCTCGGCGCCAGCAGTTCCGCAGCGGTCAGTCCTACTAACTCAAAATCTAACACCTCTCCAAAGCTTTCTATATACATCATCTTTATTTGTAATAACACTTCATACATACCCTGAACACCCTCTCTAATTTTTTGTCAGCAGAGCCGCTTGATTCATCGGGCTACTTTTTTTTGTTCATATTATTATTTTATTGAAAGTCGCTCGGCCGAAAATCGAAAGTCTTGAGCCGCGTAATTGAGTTTGTTACGCGTCAGTTTCACGCTCGATTGTTGATCCTTTTGTCGGAGGAGAGTGTGCGCGCGGCTTTTATTATATATTATTACTTTTCCGACCGCGAATCCCGCCGCGAGTATGAATCAGAGGAGTAAGTCACCGCTTTCCATATAAAAGCAGCTCAGCAAAACCACCCTTTCCTCTGCTTTCTCTCTGGCTATTATGAATGTGCGTGGAATTAACGAAATGGTTTAGCGAATTAAACCGCGGCTGTGCACTTTCTATACTTCGCGCGCTTTGCTCTTCTTCTCGCTTAGGCGCCCCTTTGGCACCCTCCGCCCTATTCAATATCGCATCAACACACAGACGTGCAGAACTTTCCCATTCGGAGCGAATCTCGTGCCCATCTGAAGCAACTTTCGCTCGCCGCAAAAAAAAAGCATTCCGAAGGCACCTGCCGCCACCGTTGTTGATTGGTCGTCCGCTCAAAGCAGCAGCAGCAGTCGGATTTCTCGCCTTTCGTTCAAGAGGTGCATTATCACGGGATTCCCTTTATAAACACAGAGTCGCTGCAATATTAACTCTCGCTCGAGAGATGGAACCGAAAGTTGCATTTCTTGCACTTATCTCACAAGAGCGCGACACTTTACGACCGAACATCGACACACAATCAACTTTTTACTTCTGTTTTTCAAGTCTAATATTGACGGTAGAAAAATAGAAACTCTGATAAAGAATGTATTGATTTGCTTAAAATCAATATATTATTAATTAATAAATTTGATGATTATTTCAATTTTATTTTTTGCAGAATAATGCTTAAAATTGAGCTATTTTGTATTGTTTTCATTACTTTTATTACAAATTTAATATAATAAAATTTTATTATTATAATGTAATATGTTTTTATTAATTTACTAAATTTATTTCTTTATTGTATTATAATTAACAATTTATTTAACTCAAAATTTTATAATCAATAAATTTAATTTGAGTAATTATGCTCCTTTATTTTAATTCTTAAATAAATTTACATATTTATAAATTATGTGCCTGCCTCGGTCAATTCTACTAATTATTTTTGCAAAACATATCAGTGGGAGGCTTACTGTATCACAAATAACAATCAGCATTAAAAATTAAAATGATAATAATATTTAATTTAACTTTTAACTTCTGTTTTTCAAGTCTAATATTGACCGTAGAAAAATAGAAACTCTGATAAAGAATGTATTGATTTGCTTAATCAATACATAAATAATTTAAAATTTGATGATTATTTCATTTTTTTTTTTTTAGAGTTGATTAATTTTATATTGTTTTTATTATTTTTATTACAAATATTATATAATAAAAATGTATTTTTATAATAATATTTTGTTTTTATTAATTTATTAAATTTATGTTTTTATTTTATTATAATTAACGGTTTATTTAACTCTAAATTTTATAATCAATAAATTTAATTTAAGTAATTATGCTCTTTTATTTTAATTCTTAAATAAATTTACATATTTATAAATTATGTGCCTGCCTCAGTCAATTCTACTAATTATTTTTGCAAAACATATCAGTGGGAGGCTTACTGTATCACAAACAGCATTAAAAATTAAAATGATAATAATATTTAATTTAGGGAATATTGAAGGCATATAATTTTTACGAACTAAACATTGGCTCAAAAATTATTATTTTATGCATTATGCTAATTTTTCTACATTATGAAAGCACGATCTCACGTTTTATTAACTCTTTTATTTACAACACTTCCGTTTATACTTTTCCAAATTACTCCTTTCTTAATAACAACAATTTCAGCATTAACTTAAGAGTAGTTTTTACTAAATTTTCACCAATTTCCTCAGGGCACTTTCGCACAAGGCGCCGGCCAAGCCAGTTTGACTTTGGCGCAGGGCGCCGGAACCGCGGCCGTGAGTGCTGCTCAGGACATTGCGGCTCGCGGCTCTTCGGCCACGGCGCTCGTCGGTTCGCTCATCTCCAGCGTGCTCGGCGCCAGCAGCTCGGCCGCCTCCGGAACGGCCACGGCCATCGGCTCCCGAGTTCTTGGAATTGGCGGAGCTGCGGACCCCAATGCCGCTCCCGCCGTAAGTTTTTATATATAAAAACGAGTTTTATTGAATATTAATTATGCAAATTTCAGGACCCTGCCGCGGGTGGTGCCTTCAGCCCCCTCAGATTGCTCAGTGACTCTGTCTCCGCCGTTCTAAGGGTGAGGAAAGCTTCCAAAAATTTCTTATTGCGCACTCACAACAGTTGTTGCTTCAACACTGCTTGATTATTATTTTTTCATAAACAGTTGAAACCGGTAAAGGAAACAATTAATTGTGACAAATGCATAGAATTTTTGTAGATTTATGTTGTAATGCTTCAGTATTTGTTATGAAAAATTTAGTAATTTAGGAGTAGCATTAATTTGGAGTGTGAGTGCGCGATATTAATCGACGTTTCGTTTTTTTTTCCTCCTGTGCCTCTAACGCGCAGCAAATCGCGTTGCAGGTCAAGTTCTCCATTTTCCGGACGCTCTTCTCGCTCGTCAGCGGAGTCGCCGCGTCGTCCTCGAGCGCCGCCTCCGGAGCCTCCGGCGCCGCAGCCTAAATCTGCGCAGACCACCAGACGCGCCCTAGCTCGACCCAGCGCTAATTTATTAGATTCGATCGATATTTGTAATTATAACCGCGATTGTGTCGCTCAGGGCGCTCGTCTCTTGTCCATCCTCATCGGCGTTGATACGAATTTGTTTTTGCTCAACGCCCAAGTGATGTGTGTGATCAATTTTTACTTAAACTCGCTCCATTATCCTCTCATCGTCGTCGACCCCCGGAGATGTAAAATTATTTATCTTTAATTCCCCGCATTGCATAGTCAGCCTCGATTTTTTTTTCAAATGCTTATATAAATTCAGCTTTCAGTTTAAGGGAGAAATGTTTGACGCGCACGTATGTCGACTGTGCCGCGATGCCAATGTATTTAAGTTTTGTTTAAGTTGTCTTTGTAAGAGATTTTAAGGAGAACGTGATTTTTTTTTGTTTTTTGAGCATCATTATAAATAAATTAACCACTTGTTTTGCTAAAAAAAAATGAGATTTTGTTTACTTTGAATAATGTTTTAATTATTGAACCTGAAATGATTAAATAATTTCAAAATCCTTTGAGCACTTCTAAAAAAAAAAAAACTCCATTAGAAATTAATATTTACGTATTTTGAATTTAGAACAAAACAAGGGTATTTAATTTAAATTAATTTAAATCGCATGCAACAGAAAAATTTCCCAGTATTTATTTAACTGGAAAACTACATCCGTTTCTGTCTGGATTGAAAGAACGAAACAGGAAAATGTGTGCAATAAGTTTCAATAATTGAAATCCCCACGCTTAAAATTAATGAAGCATAACAAATCTGAAAGGGAAAGAAAGTAATACGATGCAATAATGCATGGCGTGAATCAACACCATGCAAACCACCAGACATGTAAAAAAGGAAATGCTTGATATGTTCTTGCATGCAAATGTACATGAAGTATTATCGGATTATTGAGTGCAGTTTTTTTATCGCACAAATTACAGCATTTCATTTGCATCATTTCATAATTCAGTTTGATCAATTAAACATTTCAATTCATGATTATAAAACTAATAAAATGTATATAATATGGTTCTTTTGAAAATAAAAATAATCGACTTTTATTGTTAAAATTGAACTTTTCAAGTAAAAAACAAAAAACGCCTTAATTACTATATTTATGTAAAATGTAGCAATTATTTACGCTTCATTTAACAAAACAATTTATTATATTACATCCAATAAATCCACATACATGAAAACCTACACATGTCTATAATTAGCACCGGCGATTTCTTTGGTTGATTGTTTTCAACCCTGCATATAGGTCACGTGTCGTGCTCAATTACCGCGGCCTGATCATTGCTGCAATTACACGAGTCAGGGCTGCTGCAATGAGACGCACTAATGTTCGGTAAGAAAGAAACAATAAAAGACGACAGGAAAGCGACAATCGACGAGAGGAAATGGAAAGACCTTCGGCTTTACATTTTACATTATCCTGTATCATTTTTTTTTTTCAAAGCGTCGCTGGACCTCATGATGTGTGTCACGAAAGTCGGCAGGGACGTTTAATTATTAAACTGCTTTTTTAACAGCTCTAAATTTAAATCTCCATGAATGAAACGAACGTGAAAAAAATAAATGTTTGGTATTTTTCCACGTACATGGCAAACAAATTTGTGAATAAATTTTTTATTCCTCCAAAATAAAATGTATTATGTATAAATCACTGGCAATGAGACCCATTTTTCCAAAATTGAAGAAAAACTAATAAATGATGATTAATGGAAGCAATTAATTATTATTAACTTTTTAATTCTAACAAAAATTAATTATAAATTTAACGATACATTTGATTTATTTCAATTTAAATTAAAAAAGGGTGGAAATGATTTTGAAATACAGAAACTAGAATTTTACTACAGAAGTTTTGTAATAAAATGTTCAGCTGAACCAGACAGGACCAATTTGAAGCAAATGACCAGAAATTGGACATTATTTTAAATTGTGTTTTGAAACACAATAGACAACGTGCCTTTCAAATTTGCACATTTCAGCTTGATCGACCTTTTATTCAAGTGAAAGTGAAGATATTTTAATATAATTTTATGTTTTGCTTCTTATTGCGGACCCTATTGTGTGTGTCTTATTCATGGCTCAATAAAAAAATGTGGTTCAAATACCTTTGAACAATGTTCGATAAATCATATTATCCATTTGCCTCCTGGCCTTGTTTTATTGCCGTGTACGTGTTAATTAGCAAGATTTTGACGTATTTAATTTGAATGGCAAAAGTGAGAAAAGAGAAAATTCAAAAGTGGGCGCAGAAGTAATTGATCTCGCCACGGTCGCCAAGCTTTTCTTTGTTTTTAATTCTGCCGCCCAAACGAGCAAAAAATGCAAGGCTCTGCTCTCTCGTCGTCCCTTTCCCAATAGCTCACCTGCATTCGCACCGAAATTATGCAAATGCAACCGAGCGAGAGATCAGATCTCGCCGCAGTTCCGCTCTCGTGGATGCCACTTGGTTTGAAAAAATTTGCCCAATCGAACTGTGCTCTGATTGTGTGGGTAATCGTTTCAAATTGCAAAGATTGAAATCGCCGAGATCACCTTGCGCTCCCTCTGGATTCGTCTGAATTCTTTATTTAATTATAATGTGGATGAAAAAATGATGATAAAAAGCTGCAGAAGCATTAATTATAAATTTGCCACGAAATAGAATGGCCAGTGGTCGAGAGAGAAAGCAACTTGCGGTGGTCACACTAAATTGAAAACGTTGCACTCACTGCGTGGATTATGCAAATATTATCACGGTTATTTGTCATGGAATTTCAGCCGCATTAATAAATTTTGGTCTTATATTAGGTTAATTTTTAATCCCAAGGCAAGCGGGGAATCGCTGCTGAATTAATTTTAAAATCAATGTTGAGGGCCAAAAAGTAAATCTGTATCACTTTTTAAGCACTTTTACTCGAGTGCCCAAAAAGGACAACCGCCGCGGTTCTAGTTTGGCATCAATTAAATTAAGGACATATTCATGCACGAATTCCAATTGAGTCTCAGTTCGCGGTCGCCAAGCAAGGCTTCGTATTTTTTTTTTTTTTTTTTTTATTGAAAGATATTTATTTATTATTTCATTACAAGTCCAGCCAATTTCCAAAGAAATTATCGGCTGGTGCTTATCAGACTAATTTTATTGATTCAAATTAGAAGCTTTTAGTGCTTACACGGACATTTAACAGTGCTCTATATTATTTTCAATTTGTTCATACAATTTGTTCAATTTTGTTTTAACATCCATTTTTTTAATTTGTATTTCACATCATTTTTGTTCTGCAAGTTTTTTAACTCTAGTGGCAACAGATTCCACAAACGTGGTAATATACATTCCGACGTTCTATGGAAATATTTACTTTCTTTTATAGGCTCAATTACTGGTCCTAATTGCAATTAATGCTCTCGTGCTATAAGGGTGAATTCTAGGTACTCCATGGTTCTCATCAAAGTACTTCAAGCATAAAAAATTTAATTAAAATATTTTATCTACAGACAGCACATTCCAGAACTCAAACTGATTTTGAATTGTCTCTTTATGCTTTCGTGTGCAGTCTTTTAAAAGTGAGAATAGATCATTCATGAATAAAATAAATTAGATAGGGCCAAGTATGGAGCCCTGAGGAACTCCACAATAAGCACTAAATTCTTTACTATATTCATTCAAGTTTTACCGCAAATTTTCTATTATTCAAGTAGCTTTTTATTAATTCAAACACTGGTCCTCTTATGCCAATTTTTTCAAGTTTTTTTAACACTTTGTCATAATTTAAAACGTCAAAGGCTTTTCTCATGTCAATAAAAATTGCAGCTATACGTGTTTATTATCTTTGAGCGGAAGATTAACAAAATCAGAGAGATTGCTAAAAAGTTCATTGACACATTTTCCTCTCTGGTATGCAAATTGACGCTTATCAATTATATTAAATTCTTTCAAATATTGCATAAGGTAAAACTCAACATAATTATTCAATATTTTGTCAAAAACAGGAAGAATGTATCCATGTATCCAAGTATTATTTTATTTATTTTAAAAATGTTCAAGAGCAAAATAAAATAAAGTAATATATAAATTTATATTGAAATAATATAAAGTATAATAAAGAAAAAAAAATGGAAAATCGAATTAAATAAAAGAAATATAATACAATATAAAGTATAGTATAAGAAAAAACTAAGTGAAATAAAGTATAATAAAATATAATTAGATGAAGTGATAATTAATAATGAAAAAAAAATTAAATTAAAATAAAATGTTATATAAATAAGATAAAATAGGACAATAAATAAGATATTAATCAGATCAAATAAAATAATTATAAATAAAATTAAATAAGACTGGTATATGAACTGGCAGATACAAACCCTCTTGTCAATAACCTTGTATTGAAATTTCATCTCCAAAAAACAGATAATTATGAAAAATTTATAGACAACTTTTTATTTAAATTGACTGAAATTGATCCGGCCTTTTATGACACTCCCGCTATGGTCTCCGACGCCTGGAAACAAGCCTGTTTTGATACTAAAGCCGAAGATACTTGTATTTGTAAAATATGTGGAGAAAAAATTGGACTATATCACTTCTCAGAATGTACTCGTAATTCTCTAAGATTGTGTGAAGCAGCTCGTCAAGAAATGATCTCCTAATTTATATATGTAATGTCGCACACCTATGGTGTTCTTTAATAAATTCATCAAAATTAAATAAAACACAAATAAATAAATTAAAAATTTACAATTATTACAAAAATTAGTTCTCTTTTCTTTGTCTCATTATGTAACATACCCACAATCACAATACCATGAAGCCACGCTGAAGGGTGAGAAAGTTGTGTGATTTTATTAGTAAAAAAACCCACAAATATAAATTTTGTGGGGAGCTAAAAAAAATTAATAAATCAATATATTTTTTTAAAAGTACTGAGAAAATGATGAAATTATCGTTATTTAATGAGCAGTAAAAATGGAAGTAGCCTATCTTTAATCGTAACAAAAAAAATTAAAATTGAGACTTTGGATAAGACGTGACTGACAATACCAACAGTTTAATAAGTCATTGAGCAATTAATAATATTAAGAACTAAACGACCATTGTTGGGTACTGAGTTGAATAATTGATCTCATTTGAAAAGCTCCAGCGTACTATTAGAGGCCGATGGCATGTTGCTATTGAAAAGACACAATCATTTTTATACAAAGTCTTCACTACAATTTAGGCAACAATAGACAACAGCGAACCATATAAACACAAGCATTATTTTAACATTTAACACTGTACTTTATTGTGTTTATTATTATAAGATTAGATTCTATAAAGTAAAATTAACTTCGTCTTTATTTTTATAATTAAAAAAGTGTTCAGCTGATGCGCTGTGCTTTTCTGGATATTTCAAATACAGGTTTGAAATGTTGGGCAATGGAGACTTCAATGCGCGCAAAGATGCAATTGTATAATCACGCGGAAAATTTCCAAGTAATTATGTTATTAAAAAGAGTGAAAAGTTATCTATCAAATACACATATTGATTCAAGGGGAACTGCATTAGTAATGCGAAAAAGTGAGAGAGTGAAAAATGATAATATCGCGTGGGCATCTCGTCGCACGGTACATTAATTGGAAAGAATGGGTGGCAAAAGTAAAGCGGCTGCTGCGCTGTCACCTAGACTATAATGCAGGAGAGAGGCTTCCGCGATTCAGCTCACAACCGGGTGAAATGTGCTGACTCTCCCAATTTCCCCGAGAACGAGGATGTATTCAACTAAATTCAAATCACACGTACTTATATAATAATTAAATTTGCGGATGTATAACCGTGACTTGCCGAGTTTTGAGTTACGCGTGAACGCCGATTGAAAAGTGAGTAAGCGAGATGATGTCACTTCTGAGCTTTCCAGTAAATTTGGATTCCTACTAAGCACACACGCTTCATTTTTTCCCTTCGTCTGCAACCGGGATTAACAAAAAAAAAATTGGGTTTCGGGTTAGCCGAAAAAATGAACCGCCGAGACGACCGAGCACGCGGTAGGAGCGAGGGGAAGGGTGATATAAGAACTCCCACCGCCGCGATTCAAGCCTTCAGTCTGCGTTACCATCGCGCTTCATTTTCACTTGACGCCAGTCCTTTCACGGAGAAAGACACTTTGCCGCGGTAAGTAAAAGTTTTCATCTTAAACACGCTAGCCGAGTCAAAAACCTTTCTTTGGTTATTTTTATAAATTTAAATTGAAACCTTATTATATTTTATTTTAAATTTGATTATTAAAGATTTTTAAATTAGAAGGAAACTGAAGTGTGCACTGGTCCATAGACCATTTTTTTCTATTCTCCGCGAGAAGCAATTATTTATTTACAATTAACGATAAAAACACGTTTGCCCCACATACTCGTTGCAACTACTGCAGCATTCCTCGCCGGCATCGATAGTGAAAGCAAATTTTTATAACGCGCGGATTTTCCGTCTTTCGGTCCAACAGAAGATGAAAGTGCAAACGGTCAAAGCACAAAAAGATGGTCCCGTCCAAAGGAGACGCTCGCCGAGTGAAATCGAAAGCAACAGGTGCCTATAGCTCGATCGCAGCTCGGCAGAGACTTTCATTTTCCGTGGCACGCTTTGTTGTTGAGCTGCTGCTGGCCGATCGGCCTCTTAGACTGGGTCAGTTACGATGCACTTCAAGAGCGTCAACCTTCGAGTCGCGTAATCGCCCCGCTTTCTTAATCCCAGAATCTCTGTGCTTCAATATTTATGCTCTTTCTTTACACATTTTATTCATTTGTGCGGTGAAACGTGAAACGCCGGCGGCCGTTCTTAAATCATACAGACAGGTTTTAATTTATAGGACAGCTGTATGGTCTCTTAGAAAACAATGAATCATCAATGCTCACTGACCTAAATTTTACACCGAAAATTCGCAAATATAATATTGCACACAAAAATCGTTTCTGCTCACGGCTTGAACTTTTTTTCAAATGTAAGTATTGGTTTTTCAATTATTACCTCATTACGAGATAGAAGGATCGGTCAATTTCACAATAAGATGAGTTGTGGCATCCAAAGATATACAAAAGCCACACTCAATACTTAGGGAAGAATCGAGAAAAGGTTAGATAGCCATGCATCGACCTCTATTCCGAGGACGCCGGTGAGACGCACCTTATTTAAATCTCATGATATCCGGCTCTCCTCTATTAGAAACTGGCTTGTTTTTTGTTTTCATATTAACTAATCAACTTACTAAACCAATATTCTCCTGTTTTTATTTTTTATTTTTTAATGTTTATTATTTATTTTTTATTTAATTTCTGTAACGGTTCAGCAGTTTAAAGTATACATGTGACTCTTTGATAATTTTTTCACATTACGGCTCCATTTGGAAACTTTTTTGCTTCTAAATTAGATCTATGGGTTTTTAGTAAGTTCTTTACTAGAGCTGGCTGCCAATTCTCTCTTCAATGTGATTTTTCTCAATAACTTCTTTTTTGACCTGTTTTGTTAGAGAAAATAAACTAATTGAATTGAATTTTAAGCTATTTATTTATGTATCTATTTTTTGATTTTATTCATCAACAAACATCTACAGTTTTCATAGAATTGATTTTTTTTTAATAAGCTGTGGTATAACTTTTTTGCTTGCAGTTTTCATTTCCCGAATTTTTTTCTTTTCTATTTACTTTCGAATTGTGGTCACGCAACAGTCCGAATTAATTTAAAAAAAAATCAGTTCGCAATTGTGGATGGTTTTGTGGTCATAATTAAAATGCAAACGTTTTTTTGGCCAATCCAAGCCGTTGATAAATTTTCAGTTATGCTAATCACGGTGATTACGTCAAGAGCAAACACGCGTTATTAATGTTCATTACTCTCTTTGCAACAAAGAAAAAAAAATTGTAATTTGATGGCAAGCGTAAACCAAATGACGCGCTTGGCCGCGTGTGAAATTGCACGGTGAGTATTACGCGCGAAGTAGGAAGCAAAAGTTCACAATTCTGCAGCAGTTTCCCTTCGCTCTCGCGGAAAGCAGGAGAATGTCGACATTCTACTGCTTCCCTATTTTTTTGTACTTCCGATTGTTCCGTTTTTTTATTATTTCGTGACTTTAAGTTCATAGCCTACAAAAAGATTCTTCTTGAATTAAGTAAATAATGAGATTACAAACTTCTTAAAACGTTTCTGTGACGCAAAATCTTCGCAAACTGATCTCCCTATTTTTCATAATATTTATTTGCTGAATTCCTTTTCACTCCTCCAATATCCGAACACAATAGCTTTGTTAAGTTCTTGTTAAATAATATTTAATGAAGCACTAAGTGGGGATCAAATTGAATAGAGTGCCAAAGACAATACTCGGCAAACGCGGAAAAAAAGAGAATAATCATTCGGATGCTAACTTTTGCTGCGTCAGGTTGCATGTCAACCAAGGCCATTCTGCAGGAAAGGAATAACAAACTTTTTTATAATGGGCAAATAATGGAAATTGAATTGGCTTGCTAGAATTTTAGGCAGTTTTTTCGAAGCTGATGTTGATGTATAGATGCAAAAATAAGTCAAAGAGAATTTATCACTCAACTTTTATGCTAGTAAATAAATGGAGAATATAAATTATTCTATCTCTATTTTATTATAATATAATTAATATTTTCTATTTAAACTTAACAATTATTTTGTTTACTGCAATTTAAATAAATAACTTTTTATTATATTTTTTATTTTAATAATTTTATATTTTCTTTCATATTTATAATTATTTAATATAAAATGTAAAAAATATTAATGTAATTTATAAAATTGTGTAAATTTGAATTTTAAAAACAATAAAATATATATTTATATTTGTGTCAAAATAATTAAACAAATGATTTAATATTTTTACTAAAAATCTGAAACGACAATATTATATTCAATTAAAATTTAAGGAATTATTGCAGAAATTTTAGTTTAATATAATTTATAATTTACAATAATTTATGCAGACTCTGGAGTGACTCACAGATTGCTTTGTAGTAACCATTGTCTATTGTTTTATACATTAAAACAGTGCAACCGCAAATAGACTATTAAATAAGTCTCTCTCTCTCTGAAAGCACAAACATCTAAGCATCCAATTAATTAACATCATAATTGCAAAGATGCAGCGCTCCTGCGTCATTTTCGCTTTTTTATTTCAGCTAAACCAATCCAATATATAAACATTTGGGCTGCTTAAGAATTGTGTAACTTCTGCATGTCATCCTGCTTGAAAATATTATCTGTATCTGACCGTTTTAGTCGATTATTTGATAGAGAGATCCGAGATAATATTCAAACGAAACGATTTTTGTGTGAGACGATTTAAGGTTTGTTGCACTTCATTCAGTGGTGAGAAATGAAAAATACAAACAATTTTAAGGCTCAAGTGGATCAAATCTTTAGTTATGTTTAGAATTAAATTATTTTTAACAATGTGAATCAAATTTGACAATTAAATTAATTAATTTTCCACATACAGAGAAAAGATCTATCATAGCTCATTTTTTTCACCATACTCTTTTCATTCGTATAAAAAATAGAAGATTTCAAAGATCTTCTATACAAATCTAATTAAAATTCAGACAATAGGCAGAGTGACGTAAATGAGTAGAATTTCGAAATCATAGAGAAAGCGCCGGCATTTCTCCAGCACAATTAAAAATATCCTTATGATCATTAGATTTTAATGACAGGGTTGAATATTTTTGTGTTGCAGCTGCCATGAGGACTTGGATCTTGAGCGTAGCCTGCCTGCTGGCGGTGGCCGCCTTGGCCGCCGGGCTCCCCCGGCCAGTGGAAGACAAACTGGTGAGCAAGTTTTTCAATAATTCCTCCTAACCCACATCGCCTCTCTATCCCTTTCATCATCAGACCAATTCGACAATAAAGTACAGACGATTGATTTTACAAGGGCCCGTTTATCCATTTCTCCCCCGGCTCTTCCAATATTTTATTGGTTTGAAATTAATAACGGCGGCGCGCGTCTCTCTTTCTGTGCCGCAACTTTTACTGCTCCTCTTTTCGCCGCCGCCGCCGCGAAGGTTGACCAGCAACAACCCGTCCAAGGTTTCGAGCGAAAAAAACGGTCGCCGATCAGGGTTGATGGCGAGAATAAGGGACCACGCCTAAGCAATAATTTTAATTTTCAATTAGTCCCTTGAAAATTGCTATTTTAAAAAAAGCAAAGGTCAGTTTGCGATCTGAATTTCGTGTGCAGATATAATTTTAAAAAAAGCGCCCACAATTTAAATGCATTTTGTATAAATTTAAATTTTATTACAATTGGTTCAATTTCCGTGAACCTTGAAAGGATAAGATCACGTTGGGAATTCCCCCTGCTCACGCAATAAAGTGACTACCTGGACCAGTGGCGCATACTTTTCTCCAGGGCGGGGCTCCTTATACCTGAATAGCATATTATTTTAGCTGAACGAACGTACCGATGTAATTCTGATTAAGAGTGTAGAGCTGTCTCTATTATACACAGACTTGATTTCAAGGATATGGAATTTATTATTTATAGCAAAATAATAACGTCGAAAGCTGCTGGAAAGTTTAATATTAAAAAATTAAATTTATAAATTTGAAAAAAAAAATGCATTTTGTATGGAAAAATTTAGATTTTCCTTGTGTTTAAAGTTTCTGCAAAAGGGTTGTTAATCTATATCAGAGCATTTTAATAAATAATTGTAATAAATTGCTGTAATCAAATGCAATTTAATTTTATTAATTTGTTATTATTACGCATGCTAATTAATCTAGAGTATGTGACAAATGTGATGTGAAGAAATAGAATACGGGCGTGGCGAGACTCGCCTCCTCAGATTTTACTCTTAACTGCTCAGTCGCCCTTCTCTTGGTTAATAAGTAATGCACCCACAAGACGTCAGTTGGCGGATTTGGTCCATGGACGTCCAGCCAAGTCCATAAGCTCGCGTAAAAACTTTTACTTTTGTTGGAAATATAAAAGGTGCTAATTGCTGTTGGCATTTCACTTGATAAAGTCATCATTTACATTATTAATTATATAATTTTTTTATTTAATTCAATATCTCTAGCTGAAGGGAATCAAAAGTTCAGTGCAATAAAATTACCAAGAAACTATAAATGTAAAGAAAGCTGAATAGTTTATTTTTAGCTTTTTGATGGTATTGAATTTAGTTAGTTTCTCTTATAGTATAATTGGATTTAGAAATTATTGCTTAGAAATTGAAAAACTGCCGCAGCTGTAGTTTCCCACAAGGGATAATAATTAAAACTTTCCATCTCATACAATCTTATCCTTTTATATTTTTACAGTTGTTCCGTTAATTTCAATAATTCTGTTTCTCTCAGAGATTCGTGAGGAAAGGTAATAAAGATTTAAACAAACTGCTAAAAATTCTCATGCCACATTATTTAATAATAAAGTAGGCAAAAAGAAATCTAAATTTTATAAACAACCGATTAAGTTACACAAAAATTATCCCCTTTTTTCCTCTTATTGCAAATTTCATAATAAACCTCAACGAAGAAAACTTGGCTTGAAAGCTTTTTGAAGTATATAACAAGCAACCCTGGAAAAACGTTTCATTGCCACGCTTTAGGCCACCGCTAGATTAATTGAACCCAAGCGCTTTGCGTCATAGTTTCGCATTGAATGAGATGTTATAATAACGCGCTGATTCTGAAACACTCTATAGCCGCGTATAATGCATGACGAACAACTCTTGTTCTCAGTACTACAATAATAAACTGCAGACTTATTAAATTATTCTTGTCGTCAGTTATTATTGCAAGAAAAAAAAAGCAGTTAAATGTTGATTTTGTCTCGGTGCGGCCTTCGCTAGGTGACATTGCCGAAGGCAGAAAATGTTTCTGCTCGCTCGTAACTATTTCAAGAGACCCGTTTGCCATGTCAAAAGTTAGCGCCAATGCTGTAATAATACACACAAATCAAGCCAAAGATTTGGCCCGTCTCGGAATTTCGAAGAACCCGTCTGAGGCCTTGGCCAAGAAAATCTCCAAACTGACACTCCATTAATAAATTGCTTTTAAATAAACTGTTGACGGCGGCGTTGCATAATTGACAGATTTTCTAGATCGCACAAGGTCGCGGCCGCGGAAAACTATTTTTTACTCTGATCAAACAAGCTCGCATGAGATAGCAATTGATTCAAATTTGCGGCCGCGGTGAAAAAACATAAAATATTAATAATTTTTCTCTTGCTGGCTTATTTTCAATTCAAAGTAATGACGTCAGCGTTTTTTTTTTTATTAATCTCAACCTAGAGAAAAAATAGACAAAGATTTTCGCAATCGGGAAGATCAAAGTTTGCGCGGGAATTTCCACTCGCTATATAATTAATCAGCTCGGCGTGGATTGACTCATTAGACCGGTTGCGCAATAATTTAATAGGCGTACCGAGATTTAAAAAGAGTCTTGCTTGAGTATTGCTCGGATCGACCAACCGGTTTTTCCTCACGCATTTATGCTGACCCAGTTTTCTCGATATTTTCCCTTGATGCTCTGGAACTTTTCTGGCGTTCGCCGACTGCGAGCTTTGATTGAAAAGCGAGAGTGAAAAATACCTTGAGTGCGTCGCGACTCGCGGTTTCTCGCAGCTCTCGTCGTGCGGTGGCCTCATAACGTATTAACGAACGCATAGAGGTGTTCAGAACAATTGAATAAACGCGGCGGCCTCGTGGCCAAAAGCGACAAACAAAGAGATTTTGCGCAACGAAACCAAAGCGACTAGACCGTGATCCGCACATTTGGCACCTTTTGGATGCTCCGAAATCATCTCTGTCGTTGAAAATACGAGCTTGTGAGGATAATTTCAACTTTGTTAATTCACGAAAAACCAGCAGAACGCGAAATTTTCACCGGGAAGTCGTCAAAGTCTGTTATGCCCAGTACAAATTCAGGTTAAAATAAAGCAAACTGCGCAGAGATCAATAAAAAAAACTATACATATAGGCAAACTGTTGTAGCATCAGCGTTGTGCAGGTTGCATTTATATTATATTTTTGACTGCTACACCTGAGGCTTTTCTTTTCTATAGACCCGGACTTCAAGACCAGTCAGAAATCGTGCGCATAAAAGTGAAATTTTTTAGAGCTCAGAGAGTTCGTTTCGTGAAGAGATTAACTATAAAGTCAATTTCAAGTTTAACGATGATGATGATAATTGGAGAATTAATTATAAAATAAAAATAATTTTTGACCCCAGTTTGACCCTATGTAATGAATATAGAATAATTTATAAATAGATGCAATGTGTGATCCATTTTTTAATCATATACATTGCTGTTTGCAAAAAAGATTATAAATTCAGACCTTGTTTTTAATTTTCTCTGGCCAAATATTAATTGCCAGCTGAAATAGTTGCATGGGTTTCTCCAAAATGTGCAAACGAGGTCAGTTAATATGGAATAAATTAAAACACGTTGTAGGGCAGCAGAGATGCAATATGATTTAAGATAACGTGTGAGCACTTTTGAACAGGAAGATCTTTCGCTCAACAAGTTTGCTAAAGAGAATCGCTCACCGAGTAAAGAGGGAAAGTTGTTTGATTTCAGCGCGTAATGGTCTCGCGCAACACAAAGATAAAAAAGTTGAGCGGGTTCATCTTCTACGTGAAGTGAAGGCCGCTTTAATCCATTTCAAAAAGAGGAGTTTAGATATGAAAGAGGGGAAATTATCTTCATAAATTCGTATTGTGAACTTTTTACTTTCAAATTAAGTTTATTAGTAAAGAACAAGATAATCTCTGCTCATTTAGAGATACATCATACTTGAAATAATAAAAAAAAACTGTATATATACAAAACTAAAAGACGTGAAAAGAGGAAAAAATAAGTTTTCTGTGGAAATAGAAAGAAATTGCGAGGAAACTATATTATATTTTCCATTTTTTTCACATAAATTTTTGTGCGTGACTTTACGCTTTTTAAATTAGTCGCACGACATTGGTCTTCAAAATTATTCACTTAGCTAGACAATGAAATGCTTCGCCAATTTTCCCATCAGCTCGAGTTATCCGAGCACAAGGTTAAAATAATGCGCGTCTCCTCACATCTGCCGACACAACACACAAATATAAAACACGCGGAAGAGCAAAAAAAATTTAAATAAATAAAGGGATCGTTCTCAAGAGAAAGCTATGCATGCGAGTCGAAGATCAGAGCAAACCATCTCTTTTAAGAGAGGCAAATGAAGAGCCTTTTGATCTTCCTTTGTCTCTCGGCACGAAACTTACCATGTCATTATTTACCACCTCATACTTGCACTCACCAGTAGTTTTGAGCCGCTTTTTTACTCTGCACTTTTTTACTTAACGCGAGTGTGAATGCGTTGCTTCTGACTTTTGCCTTTTACTCGGCTGATTGCGCGTTGCTGATGGTTTCTAGCGGATTTAGAGGTTCCTCATGACGCTCTTTGCAGGATGCAGCGGCGGCGACGACGACGGCTGAAGCAGCGCGGCCGAAGCGGACCATTGGCTTCCTCAGGAGTTACTTTCCATCGTTGACAGAGGTACGTTTTGCGACTTTCAAACTGACTAGCCAAACACACAGACTGATCAAAAATTTCTGCCATCAATTTGTAAATTTTCTCGGCTGCAGGACTTCTCCATTTTACCAATAATTTCTCTTTTCTTAGACATTGAACCTTTTGTAAAATACAAGCAAAACTCCTCAATCTCTAGACCAAACTTTAATTTTCATATAAATTTAGTTTCAATTTTCATTAAATCATTTCTACATTTCAATTTCGCATCTGTATATATTTTTCATTTCCGACCCATTATTTTTTTGTATCTATTCTTTATTTACATTTTAAAGTGAGGAAAGCATTTAAATTTCTAGCGTCAGAGAAAGGATAAATTAAAACACGATATAATTAGCCCGCGCACGCGTTCAGCAGTTCCGGAGTGCTTTTATTATGTCAAGAATTATCGTCACGAAACCAACGGAAGCGTTGAAGAGTTTCTCATTTAATATGGGCAACCGTGTATTGCACATTTTTACACCACGTTTTTTGTAAGCTCAAATCATTGCAAAATTTAGGTTTAACACGTGCGAATTTTTCCCCAAAAGCTTGCCTACAGCATAGATTTGCATAATGATTAGCGTCTGAAAAGCGGGACAGACTCTCTTGGAGGAGGATGAAAAGGTGATATAACTTTGTGGTTAGTTATTTATACGCTACAGTGTTTACACGAGGGCCGGCGACAAGGTCGTCTTTGGCATCTGCGTGAAAGTGGCTGCTTAACTCGTCCACTTGCTAGAGTCAATGAGATCGAGATGCTGGGCGGCCTTCGTTAATCTCTTTGCTGCTCGAGGTGCTCCTCTTAAAAATAAATTCTTTGTAACAATATAAGCATATTAAAGCTATTTTTTCCTTGTCACAATTTTTTTGTTTAATAAATTAACTTTCAAATGATTAAATTTAATTTAATGTCATCATTTATGAAAAACTTTGATTATATTAGTTTTAATAAAATAAAAATTAAATTATTTAACACGTGAATAACAATGTGACTGCAACGTTTCCAGCAGAACTGTCAAAAAATTTGTAAACATTTCTAAGTTTTAAATTTAAACTACGCCATATTATTTTAATTTCTAATTTAAAGATAAATTGATAAATAAATTAATAGAGCAATAGTATAATTAAATTATTTATATATACAAATTCATTTTTTCATGTTCGGGGGAATTATTTTGTTGCGTCTTTTAAGTCTTGCTATGCGCCTAATAGAAACTGGAAATTCGCCTCATTTAATTTCTTTCTGTTGCAATTATATCTGCAAATGACCAATTGTTGTTTTGTTAACCCGTAGCAATGAAATTCTCTTTTACATTTGATTTAAAGCCAGCTCTCACTCTTTGTGTGCAATTTTTTATTGGTATTCAGTCGGTAAATTGACATTTTTCACGCATCAATTGGCAATTTGCAGTCTTTGAGAGCTCCTATCATTGGTTGCGGTGATTTGAACGCGAGCAGCAGCAGCAACTACCACACACAATGACGAAATTTGTTCTGGCGCGAGTGCAGTATCTAGCGCGGCCTCGCTTGCGCAGCAGCCGGTGAAAGTTTTGCACGAGAACCTCAAATCGCAAAAGTGCAGCACAAAAAAGTGCAACCATTCTTATTGGAGTGCAGCTTGTCTGCAAAAAAGGGATCGGTGTTTTTTTTTTATCAACGGTGAAAGGATTTCGAATTAGGCGGTGAAAATTTAATGGACGGTCCGGTCGCGACGACCAAATTATATGCACCGCCTTCTAAAAATGTGCGTAGGGATAAAAGTTAGCACGGCGGGGCGACGCCAATCCTTCGGCGCGGCCTCGCACTTTTTATTATCGCCGCGCTTGATTACGCGCGACTTTTATATATGTTTTCGACTCATTTGCCACACTCGCCGTTTGCTTGCACTGACTTGCACGCCGAGATTTTTTGCCCTGAAATCCTGAATGGGAAAACCGAGTGTTTGCGCCGCTCGTGGGCACGAAAGCGGAATTGTTCGTACTGACGGAGATTTGTTGACAATGCCACTGCAATTCACCTCGGATATTAAACGTTTAAGCAGGGCGTGAACAAAATGTGAATGGCACTTTACAGCTGTGGTTAAATTTTCAATTACTAGAATAACATTACTGATTGTGAGCTCCAGAGAGAAGAGGGATTTTTTTAACTAAATTCTTTTACAACACTAACAAAGTAAAAGAACCGTTCTGAAATTAATTCGAACAGGTTTCAACTACCTACAATTAATAAGTTTTGAAATTCACTCAATCTAGGTTGTTTTGTAATTCAAAATGCAACCTGCAAGACACAAATGTGAAGAATTTGTGTTTTCTTTTTTTTTGAAGTATGCAAATTCTTGGCAAGTATGTCCAGCTGGTTGCATATATATTTAAAAAATTGAACGCTTAATATTGACTCATCTGATAATGAGGAATAAGAACTTTCAAACCTTCATTTGGTAGTCAAGACTTGTTTGAATTTTACATTTGAGGGCTTGGATTGTTTTCTTTCTTATTTCGTTTATTTTCAAGGATTGATTAATTTCGATTAAAAAATAATGAGAAACTCTCGGGTTAGTAAGTTAGGAACTTAACAAATGCAGGACGCGGACTGTGACTGAGAACTGCGCGGGTGTGAAACATTCACCCATGATTGATTGAGACAAAGTGATACAAATGGCACGCGTGCAGATCTTAGACCGGAAGATTCAGACTATCACACGCTTCCTGTTCCGGCTGATCGGGCGCCTGGTGCTGGGCGGCGGCGGCGGTGGTGGAGGCGGCGGCGGCGGCGACGCGGCCTCCGAAGGGACGGGCGCGTCGTCGTCGTCGGGCGGCACCAACGGCCGCCGCATTAGCATCACCCTGCCCACGTACCCGCCCGGTCTGGACGACGAAGACGAGGAGGACGAGGAAGAGGACAAGGAAGAGGACAACGCGCTGCCCTCTGCGTCCGAGCCCGAGGCGAAACTCACCCACGCCCCGGTCTGTAATCCTGCAATGCTGTCTGGAATGCGAAGCTTCTGTTGCTGACACGCTTGAGGTGGAGGGACTGACTAATTAATTACCACAATACCGTTTTTTTTTTGTCTTTCTCGCGTGTGATTAACAAACAAAATTAACCAAGTACACACACCTTTGGTCTGCGAAAAAGTTGGCAGATACGTTTGTTGTTTGTTTTTCTAATGATTATGTTTCTTGTGCCATTAATTCAGATTGCGCTTCTAGGAAAGGTCCATATTTAATTGCTGTTGAAGTTAACACTAATAAATAATACAGTAACCTTCAAAAACAAAAATCCAGCAAAAATACACTTTTTAAGGATAATTTATTTTTTTTAGAATTTTAATTAATTAATTAATCAAAATAGCATAAATAATTTATAAAATTTAATTTTAAAAAAGGATTTTGCATTAAACGTTTAATTTATTTAATAAATCAATTATAAAACTTTGTTTATTAATTAAATTAAACGCAAACGTAAAATCCCATTTTTAAATTAAATTTTATAAACCATTTTCATGCTATTTTGATCACCCATAATGATAAATAAATTCAAATATTAACATTTATAGTGTAGAGAATAGAGTAGTTTTATTACAAATATATATTAAAAATTATTTTTCCCCTTGGGCGTCAAAAATGAAAGTTATTTTGCTTGTTTAGCTTCGTCTGTCCATGATAGGACCTTGCTATATTTAGCATTTAAGATGCTTCTTGCATGTGTTAATTGAGATTCAGTATTAATTTGCCAGTTCGCACGTTTCGGCCGCGGCGCGCTATTTATTGTGCAACAGTTCTGTTGCCTTTGTCACTTCTCGCGTGCTGTGCAAATTAACGCGCGAATACAAATATACCTCTATGGCATCAAAAGATGATTAAGCATGTTCTGCTGATGCGAGTGTGAGGTAACGCAAACAGAAAGTAGTGCCATTGACGCGTCAACTCTTATATTTTTTGTGTTATTTATTTTTATCTATTTTTTTAGGCACTTTCTTTCTTCCTCATAATATTACAGCGTCTGTGTATAATATGGTGTTAGTCTCTCTACCTTTTGCTATGAAACCCTAAACAAATAATAATTACAATCTCATACACGCAAATCTTCACCACGCGTGAACCTATTTTCCCTCAAAAACGTATATTATGCTTTTAAATTGGAAATTTCAATTAAAATTAAGAGATCGCATGCGATCGCCGGGGATCATTGCTGAAATGACCGCATCGTAAAAAAAATCCACAGCACAGGTTTGCTAGGAAAGCTGAGGGAGTAAAAGTTGTTTCCACCTGAAAGATCTCACCGTCTTGGCCTGACAAATTTCTCTTCCAAATCCGACTTCTTCTGTTTCCTGTCTGCCTGGCTAATTCAATGTTTTTTTCCCACTCATTAATCACTTGTTAATCCGTTCCGTTCTTTTTATCGTCATTTTGTAATAAAAAACTTCCAATGTTTCATGTTCTAAAATAAGTCATTAAAGATTTAAACTTTAATAAATTATTTTGAAATAACAAAAAATATTAATATTTTTATTTAAAAAAGACATATATTGAGATGTCAAAATGACGATTGAGAATTTTCATTTGTAAATTATTTCGATTAATTATATTTTTGCGTTCGTCTCAACAGGAGGAAGTGAAATCTCGAGTGGCGCGTGCTGCTGAGGAGACCAAACCTGAGGCCAAGGAAGCCGACCAAGAAGCGGCCGCCGATGACCAGGAAGGACGCGACAAGCGGTTCCTCTTCGGTTTCGGGCGCCAGTCTGAGGAAGGAGGCCAGGGCAGCGGCGGCGGAAGCGGCAACTTCCTCTTCGACCTGATCAGGGTATGGTTGCGCGTTCGCAAACTGCTGTGCGGGGCCCCCTGTACAAATCGACCTATTTTCCTTCATAATTAACTCGACATTTTTCTCCCTTTTCATTAATAATAAACTCATTTTATTTCATTCACGATAACGCAAAAACATCGAAGCAGCTTTTTTGGTTTGCATGTTTTTGTTTTGGCGGATCGAGACCGAAAAAAAATTGCGTTGGAAAAAAAATTGTAAAATAAATGGCAATTGGTGCGCACGCAGAACACGGCGTCGCGCACGGCCAGGGCGGCCGGTGGCATTTACAGACTAGTAGCAGGAACTGACGAAGGCGCCGCCACCGAAATCAAGTACAGTCCTTGGCTGCGAAAGGCAGAGCAGGACGAGGAACCTCAGGCGGCCGCCTCGGGCATCTCACTGGGCCTCGGAGTCGGCTTGAGCGGAAAGGCTTCGGTAACAACGACAAACTTTTGCTCGGCAGTGATGGGAAATTCGTGCCACTTTAATTGATTTCGGAAAAGAGTAAACTAAAATTATGCAAATCGAATTTGCATGAATTTCCCAGCACTTGCTCCAAGTTCTCCGTCAAGCAGGCGTTTGTTTGTAGATCTTCAGAGCTAGAGTATTCGCACAACCTTCGTAGACCAGCAGCTGCTGCCGAACAAAGCAATTTATCATATTTTTTTGACTAAACACACGTACTGGTAGATTTTATTAAAATTAAATTTTTCTTGAAATTTGTTTTCCACTATTTCTGGCAACTAAAAACTTATTATTAAAAAATATGTCTTGAAAAACACTTTCATATTGTTGACAATGTATATTTGCATGCATTTTGTATTTATACAGAACAAATTTGAAGTATTTGACCAATATTTAGTAAGTTCTATTAATCTTGGTTTAAGGGAGTTGCAAAAAAAAAAAAAATTACTCTGAAAAAAATTTGTGAATAAAATAACAACTCTATATAATTTAGTTGCCATTTTCTTTTGCACGATTTGATGTACAGTAATTTAATTTCACCACTCTCTAGCAATCAATCTTGCCTTCCATTTCTTTCTCTCGTACTGAAAAATCTTCTCATTTCGCAAAATTTTTTGAAAATTTTTAGAAAATTTAATAATCTTTGTGAAATTCCCCAGCTCATTGCCGGTTCTGGCGCGACGGAAGATGCGAACGACCACGCAACAACTGGACCCTCGGCGCCGTCCGCGCCTTCCTATTACAACAGTGGCGTTGCCGCAGCGCACGCCGAGGCGCCCGAAGTTGACGCCAAGGAGGACGGATACACGTCTGGAATCCCCGGACCCATCACTCGCCTCTTCGTCATTGCCAACCGTGGCGTTTCCAATCTCATCCAGGACCTCATCCTTGTAAGTTCAAACACCAAATTTTAGAAGAAAAAAAGAAATTTGACTTTTGATTTAATTTGCAGCGTTTGGCTCAAACCAGCGAGAGGATAGTCAACTTCAAGGCGCGTCTCATCACCTCCATCATCTAATTTAATTTATATTTGTCACTTGGCCGCCTACGTACATCGGACCTACGAGGGATCAGTCTCGAAAGAAGAGAAACGAAATTCGATCGATTTTGCCTTTTCGGTTTAATAAATAATCAGTTGTAATCAACACACACATGACGGAATTTGTAAATAAGCGCTCATTTTTTTTTTCAAAAACTTCTGCCAATGCTGGGGAAGTTCCAATTTTTTCCTCTCTCCGCCTTTCAAAAGGCCTCTTGCAGGAGACCCTTTTTTACTCAGAAAGGGTCAATCTCTGCGACAGGTCTTTTAAAGAAAGCACCCCTGGCACACTAACCACCCGCAGCGTGGAATGTGATATTTGTAACTCGTGTTAACTAGACACACATGAGATGGAACGTTTTAAATATGTATTTTGTCGTATTATATTATAATATTCATGTTAAGGTGCATCTGATTTATGTGTAATGTCATGTTTGTAATTTAATCCTCGTAAATTATTGTATCTACTTCCCTACTTTACCCAAGATGGAGTATTTTTTCAACTTATTTTTAGCACAATTTGTTTAACACCGAGAGTTTTTAATAAGAAAGATGTGCCTGAGACCTTCTCGAGTGCCCACACTTTCTTCTCTAAAGATTTTACAATATTTCTTGTTTGAAACTAGCGCAGATGTTTTGATTACCTTCAATTAGAATAAGTTCAAGACAGCCGCTCAAGTCGCAATAATTGGTATGAATATAAGCAACCTTAACACATGTTTTGTCTACTGAATAAAAAAATAAATTCGTGTGCGGAAAACTCGACTTGTTTAAATTCTCGGCTCTCCTCAAGTTAAGTGACGACATAAGTATAAAATATGCATCTCTAGAACTCTGATAAAGAAGCGGAGCTAATTTAAATATCAATCGAAGCTCAATGAAAATCTTTGTGCCCTGATAATTAATTTTTGACGTTTCTTTGTTCAGTCAGCAATTCCAGGTAAAACAAAACTGGCACCAAAGTAAAGTTAAAAATAAAGTAAAATAAAAACAAATTTACTTTAAACTTAATTGCACAATCAGATGTACTGGTAATTCTCCTTTGCGTCAAGCAGAGGTGCTTCGTCAGGCCGCGCCTCAAACTCGAATTGCTCCATCCAGTTCGTCTGGTTGGGCCGACAGAAACCAAGGCAGCGGCATTCGACAAAATCGACAAAGTTTTGGACTAGGCCCTTGTGGAAGGGACTTTTCTGGCCACTAAAGTGCTTGTAGCGACCTGCGTTGATCCGTTCGTTAGTTGTCATTGCAAGGAACACGATCTAGAATTAATTGTTAAAATCACCATCAATATGAAAATAAAATAAAGTTTCTAATTAAATTTTGCTTAAAATGGATGAAATAAGTTTGAGACTTTAAAAAAAAAAATTGAACTTTAGTACAGGAAAATGAAAATATTAAAAAAAAAAAATTAGATATAAATTATTTTGAGGCATAATTTTTAATTTAATTTTGGTTTGCTTACTTGGTAGGCCTGGCAGCAGGTAAGAATCGCAACCCAGACGGAATGAAAAGCCGCATGCAGGGCAATCCAGGCCACCCATGTGTCACAGCTAAGAACTCCCATCAGACCTGAGAAAAGGATTAATTAATAAATAATAATATAAGTTAATTATTTATAAAAATTATTATGGAAAATGTAAAATTTTAAAAAAAAATTCATTTAATTTTTTCTTTATTAATAGTAAATTTTTATATTATCCTATTTTTTAATAAAAATTTAGTTTCTATTTTTGGTATAAATAATTTTGAAAAATTTTGAATTTTAAATTATCAATGTTTCACATTTTTTTTAATTATAATTATTTACCTGCTAAGAATCCGTGGGCAGAGAGAGCATTGGGGCATCGCACCTGCCAGAAGGCAACGCAGCCGTAGAACATGAAAATGCACATGACAAGCAACATGACGAGGAAGAGCATGAAGTGGCGGTGGTTGCGCGCTCCGATGCAGTTATTGACCCATGGACAGTGGTGGTCGAACTTGGCCACGCATCTGTTGCACACCGAGCAGTGCTTTGAGCGAATGGGTCGCCGCACCAGGCACGAACTGCAGAACCACTGAGGCTCGAAACCATCTCGCTCCGCAAGTTCAATGATCACCTAAAATCAAATAATTTGTATTTGAATTAAAATAATTATAAAAAATATATAATATTTTTAAATCAATTATTTACAAAATTTTTTCACAAAAATTAACCATTGAAAAACTTTTATTTACTTAAAGTAAAAATGAATTTAAATGTTATAGAATATTAAAAAACAAATTATTATTATTTTTTTGATCACTTTTAACTTAAACCAAATTAAATGAATACTTTTCAAACAACTTATTTGCATATTATAACTTTTAATTTTTAATAGAATATATTCAAGAAACTGACCCTGAACTTCTGCTCCATGGAACTGGAGACGAGGCCTGGGTCTCCGCGCCATGTCCTCAGATATGCAAACCAGAGCACGCCAGAACCTGCAAGGAAGGCGAGCGAAGTGATGGGCGAGATGACCGGAGCAATCCAGAGCAGCCAGATGAGGTACATCCACAGCTTGGTGGCCAAGTAGATGGCCATGGGCAGGATGTTGGAGAGGCGGTCGTCAAACAAGAGCCCCGAGATGAAGTGGAAAGCGATGAACGTGACTACCAGGATGCCAAGCTTGGCCAACGCCTGAAGCTCCAAGTCGAGGATGACGCCGACTGCGTAGAAGGCCAGGAAGGGCGCGCCCATCATGCACCAGTATCGTAATCTCTGATTACCAAGAATGAGTTTTAAAATATACAAAAGACAAAATAATATCCAACCTTATCTTTAATGACTTTGCGGCAAGGGTTGCGACGAGGAACTCCAGACATCTCATGAATTTTCTCAAGAACCTTCGGATTCATCCAACTGGACGACTTATTTATCACAAGCAGACTGTATGGTGTAAGTCCCTGTTTAAATAATTATTAAAATTTTAATTTACCATTTATAGGATGAAAATCTTAATGAAATGTACCTGATTATTTGGAATCTCTAGACTGGCTCCGTGTTCGATAAGAACCCCGATGGCAGTGCCGTTCTTGGCCATGACCGCACAGTGCAAAGCTGTATTTCCAAAAAGCTTCTCCTGCGCAGAAGTTGAAGCACCAAATGTCAACAGCAACCGAGTCGGATCAAGACTGCTACAAAAAAAAATCAGTCAAAAATTTAATAATTCAAATAAAAAACAATTTTACTTTTGGTTTTTGCAGACGCTCCACATCAGAGGCGTCATGCCAGTCTTGTCCTGCATGTTGACGTTGATGCCTTTGGCCACCAGATATGCAACAATTGCTGTGAATCCGAACTGAGCGGCCAAGTGGATGCAGGAGCAACCTTCGCCGTCTCGGATGGTCGGATCTGCACCGTACTGCATCAGAAGCACCATCGAGCCCAAATGGCCCTGTCTGAGGAAACATAAAAATGAACTCATTGAGAAAAAAAAATACTTTTTTGCTTACCTCGTTGCCCAGTGAAGGGGTGTGGATTGGAGTTCGCCTCCAACAGCGTCAACAACAGCACCGATTCCAACATAATACTTGATCAGTTCTCGACGATTGTTGATGGCAGCCCAGTGCAGAAGCGTCACCGTCTCTGCGTCGGGCGCATTCACGTCAAGCCCGGCTTCTATCAACTCCTTGCACCGCTCAATGGCACCATACTATGAAAATAAAGAACATTTTAAAATAAAAAAGTATAATTTAACCGAGGCAACTCGAATCTGTCACAAGGATGATCAAGGTCAAAATTATTTTTTGTTTATACCTGTGTGGCTTTTACTATGTCGTATCCTCCGTAATCCTGAGCACCTTCTCCGCCGCCTCCTGATGAGCCGGAAGGTTCGTTAAAAATGGTGCTTTTGGCCAATTCCTGTTCCCGTTTGGCCCGCTTTGCAGACGCCCCTGGTTTGCAAGCATCCTTAAATTTGGACAGAGGTTAAAAGTCAATACTCGATTCCCGACTTTTGTCATACCTGGGCCATGAGCTGCACTGGGTTGCAGGACGAGTCGTCAGAAGACATGACTGAGGAGAACGTTCACTCTCAGATTTGCAGTTTTTTCGACAGTCGGTGCTCACCTCGCTTCATTATCGAGCTGTAAAGTTAATTGAAAAAATATAGCCATTTTGCTCACGAGGAAAAAATGAATTGGATTTTTAAAAATTTTGCGACTCTAACAATAACTGAGAGCGAGTGGTACAAAAAAAATATGATGCTAAACTCAAATCAATTCAATAATAACAATTCGACCTAAGTTTTTTCCTTGTCTCAAAAATTAGGAACTTATGTACAATTATCCATTTTTAATTATGCCGTTTTTGTGATTTATGATGTGAATTTTCGTTAAATAGTAGCATTGAAAATCATTAAAATAATTAATAATACCTTATGAAGACGGGCCGAGTTCCATAATTTCTTGCTACCTCTCAACAAAAACAATTTGTGTTTTCTGCTTGATTCGACCACCGAGCCCGCTCCGACCAAATACGTAAGAAACTTCACTGGGTTTTCTGCCTGTTTACTTTGATTATGGATAAGTTGGAGTTATCTCTGATTCACAGTCGAGAACCTTTTATCGCTCATCGTCCATCGGAGCACTCGTTTTTTAATTTTTGTTTTCGCGAATCGCAATTTTAGCCGCAAGAAGTAAAGCTACTCAAGGGAGGGGGCGAAAAGGGCGTGGTAGAGTCCGAGGAGGGGGCGGGTCAGAATTTTGATGGCTTTTGGCGCGAGAAGAGCACAATTTTGCAGTGCGTGTTAAAAATTTCTTTCATTATTGTCTTCGACACTAAATGGTACGTTAAGGGATTGCGATAATTACAATTGTAATAATTTTAGATTAATTTTAATTCATTTTTATATCATCTGTAGCATTCGTGTATGATTTCCAAAAAATGGTAAATAGTTCAAACAGAAATCAATAATATGCATGGGTAAAAAAAAATTAGAAATCAAATCAAAGTAATAATTATTTTTGTTCCTTTTGTTTGTGCCCTGTACACATAATTATATTTAAATCTGATAAATATAGAGTGTAACAAAATAAAGGAATTTTGATTAAAATATTTTAAATTAAATTAGTTTCTTCTTACAGTAAATCAAGCGATGCGAAAAATGAAAATTTAAACACGGTTAATTTTTTCATACAGATTTAATTTTAATTTAGTCTATTAAAGTATGAAACTACTGCACAATATAATATTTTAAGTATTTTAACTGCAGCAGAAAGGTAGCGCCACCGTCGAGAATCAACTTGTGTTGACCTTTGGATGAGTCACACCTTCCAACAACAGGTGATTCAGGATTCAGGTGTATAATGGGAGGATCTCTCTGAAAAATACTATTTGGATGACACATAAAGGATGCATGCCTGCGAATCAGATCATGATTCAGCCGCGGCTAAGACGGCCACCAACAATTCTGTGAGTGCTAAACGCGGCTAAACACTTAAAATTTGCAGCGTTTATTTTACTTCTGGAATTATTTATTCAGGTAATACTGACGGACCAAGCGGCGGCGACCACTCTGGACCCTCGGTTTGAGTGTCCGATTTGCTTGGGCTGCCTAAGAGAACCCTTGCTGACCAGCTGCGGCCACAGATTCTGCAAAGAGTGTATCAACGAATGGCTACAGTGAGTGTACAAAAATAACTCAATATTTGAAGAAATACAATATTTTTGGTTGTAAGGAAATTTTCGAATTAAATTTTGATTTATCTGCACAAAATAGAACTTACAAAAATATATATTAATTAAAAAAGTATTTTTTTTTAAATAGTGACTTGGTTCTTCTCAAATAATTTAAATATAGAGCCTGATCTTGTATTTTTAAAAAAGAATAGATTGACTCAGATTGATTTATTTAAAATTTTTATAGGAAAAAGGACGGGCGTTGCCCAATAGATAACAGGGTGCTGGGCGAGAAGGATCTCATACCTGACAAGGGAGTGTTGGCCGAAATCATGGAACCCTTCCTCGGCTGCCCTTTTGCCTCTCGCGGCTGCAAAGACACCCTTTCACCCTGGGAACTTGAGTCACACGTCGTCTCATGTTTGTTCCAGGTAAATTCAAATTATTAATCTAGCCGCTGAAAATATAAATTACTGATGGATTTCAGAACGCGGAGCCAATTAGCGGTGCCGATGGGTGCCAATGGTGCGGCGCCGCTTTGCAGGATGAAGAGCAGCTGCAGAAGCACCTCGACGATGAATGTGCTAAAGTGCCTTGCTCGTGTCGCTTCAGAGAAGTTGGTTGCAGGGCCACCGTCCCAAGGGCTGACCTGCCAGCTCACCTGGACTCACAAATCCACGACCATTTAAATGTATGATTTATTTAAATCCTTTTATTTAAAATTTGTGCTTGACGCTTTTACAATAATTTTTATTAAAAAGTTGCAGACGTGATAAATTTATTTTAAGTCAGTGAAATCAAAATTTTTGATGGATTTTTAGCTCTTATTAAGAAAAATAATTGCAACGCACAAAATTGTAAATAATATTAGATTTGCTGGATTATTACTATTTTAATATTTAAATTTTTAGCTTGTGTCAGCGGCTTACAACAAATTGAGTGTTTTGGTACGCGAGCAAAGTAGAGACCTGATCGACTTCAAGAGCCAGGAGGCTGACAAAAGATGGGAGGCGCCGCCAAAGGCCGAGGCCAGTTCTGCCAGCGCTGAGCACCAAGCAGGTTCCTACATTCATTATTTTCAAAAAAAGATTTTTGATTCTAATAAAATTTTTGCAATAGCTGAAGAAGGTGCTGGGGAACTTTTGAAGTCCCTTTTCGAGCGGGTGGTGGCTCTGGAGCAGCGCAACCGAGAGCAGGCCATCCAGATTGAAAACCTACGAGACATAGCAGGATCGTCGTCTTTGCAGTCTGGACACTACGTGTGGCACTTGCGAGGGGTGCAAGGCCAGCTCAAGGCCATGCAAGCGGCGCTGCCTGGCCTGAAGATGCTCTACAGCGCACCCTTCCGCACCGCGCCCTTCGGATACTCCTTCTGCGTGCGTCTCAACCTCAACCCTGCGGGCAGTGCCCTGAGTCTGCACGTCCACCTGGTCAGGGGTGAGCACGACGTCTCCCTTGAATGGCCCTTCAAGGGTCGCATCGCCCTGATTGCAGCAAACCAGCGCCGGCCCGAGTCCCACATCCAAGAAACCATGTTTGCTGAGAGTCACTTGGCTGCCTTCCAGAGACCTCAGCGTGACCTCAATCCCAGGGGCTTCGGTTTTGCCGAGTTTGTATCTCTCCATGACCTGCTTACTGATGGATTCATCAAGGACGATTCCATAATCATCAGAGTGCACATTGAGAGCAGTGATTGAGTTAAATCAATTTGCTAATTATATTTAAGAATAATTTATAGAAAAGTGATTTTGATTTTTTGGGAGGTTTATCAGTATTAAAAAATATTATTAATTCACAATCTCAAGCCCCAAATTTGTTATCATGTCCTACAATTTGTTTTTGAGAAAAATCATTTTGAAATATATTTGATTTTAATTAAAAATATTTTTTATTTCAAATTTATATTGCCAATTTTTTTTTTATCTGAAACAAAGAATATCGTAGACAAAGAAAATGCCTTTTTGAAAAAAAGTAGAGAGAGAAGTTCTTTATTTTTTTTTCTCCGCAAATTTATATTTGATCTTCTGTTTACTTAGCCTTGGTTGGGCCTGGGAGGTGGCCTTGCAGGTCTGTTCTGCTGGCTCTGAGGGCGAGGGGGTGGTCTGGACGTCGGTCTTTGCTGCGTGAACGGATCAATCACGGTGTCCGAGTGTCTGATGAAGACGTCGCCAAGGGCCATGTTGGGGGTCAAGAATTGTGCAGTAGTGACGACTCCAGTGCGCGGCAGACGGTCGAAGGGGTAGCCCATGGCGCGACGATCAGGATACGCTTGGTCTCGGATTCCACAATAGGAGGCCGCCTCGGCGCAGGGTCCAGGTCTGCGATTGGCCGCGCGCAAGTCCCAGTCGGTCTGCGCGTCCGAAATCATTGCAAAGATCACGCTTGGGAAACCTTCAGGGCTGCCTTTGGGAATGAGCATGTGCTGCGGCCAGCCGCAACCGCAGAAGTTGAAATCGTCGAGAACGCCGCCACTTGCGTTCGTAGGTGGTCTATTCTGCTCAAGGTCGCGGAAAGTGCGCTCAAATGGAATTGTGACAGACGACATTCGAGACTCTCGTACAATGTTGTTTCTGTTTGGTTGCACTGAAAAGTTGATTTATGGAAATTTATCATTTAAATTTATTTTATTTTTCAATCTAGACGAATTAAAAAAAAAATTATTTTCTTGCTTACAATTAAAAAGAAAAACTACTTACAGTTAACAGTGAATTTGTCCAATTCAATGAAAACATTTTTATGATCAACAAATGACCATTCTTGCCCTCGCTCATCAAACTTAGGAGCAAGGAAGAGGCGCACTAGAGCCTGCCGAGCCTGTCCCTGGTTCTCAACCTGCAAATTTATTCACAATGAAGATACGATTACAAATTCAAAAATATATTTACATTAATATTGACTTGGAAGCCCCTGTGATTGAGATGCGTGAATCTGGCAAGAACAGCTCCGCGAGGGTTGAAATCCATGCCGCGGCTCAGGTCGACCGTGTTCTTTTGCCAGAAGGTTTCTAGCACATTTTGCGCTGAACTGGGCGTTTGCACGGAAATTCCAGTGATTCTGACGCCAGGGAAGTCCAGTTGCTGGGTGGTATAGCGCGGCAGAGTGTTTTTGTGCTCAGTAAATATGTCGTTGACCATCGAGTGGATGCGATAAAATACGGGATCACGCATCGCCGTGGCTGAATCTCCAATCACTCCAAAGGTCTCCAGGTGGCGCTGGTCAGGGTCATGCACTAATGACACAGCAACGTGCAAAAGGTTGTGAAGATTGCCATAAAGTTGCTGATTTGGGCTCAGGTCGGAAGGCTCGATCATGTTTCCAAGGAAGTCGATGCCATCACGTTCTGTCAAAGCCAAACGAGTTCCGTTCGGCTGAAAATAAATTATATATGAATTTTTTTTCCTTAAATCAATTATTTTTTTCTTACCATATCAACGCTGCCCCTGTGGATGGATTCAAAGACTCGGTCCCTCCAGCGCTGCAGCTCGGCAATGTCAAACTTGAGCTGGTCAGCCTCGCGGTTGACGTCTCTCAGGATGGCGCCACTGGGACGTCCGGCCCAATTACGACTGGCCACCTGGCTGTTCAGTTTAGGGAAGTAGGCCTCGTCGATGGGGTCGTTGAAGTTCTGCAGACGCTTGACGCGTGGCAGACGGTTACACATGCGCTCAAAGTCGTAGCGAGCAATGATCTGCTGGTGCATGTAGTAGAAGAGCTCGCCACGACGGTCCTTGTTCACCACCTCGCGGGGGCCGGAGAAGGGGTAGATCAGATGCCAGTGCCAATGGTGCAGGTTGATGCCCAAGTCTTCACGGAAATAGGCTAAACGGTGCTCCAGCTCTAGGTTGGTGGCAGTGTAGTCTACGGGGATCTCCAGAGGAGTCTAAAATATCAGATTTTATAAATTCCTTCTTCATCTGAATAAATTTATTTGAAAATTTTGACCCTCGAGAAGTGAATAGATTAGGCTTTTTCCTCGTTGAAAATTTGTTTTTATTCAAGTCAGATGAGCCGTTTTGTAATTGAATAAAAACAATTTTTCAACAAGGAAAGGCCTGATCTCTTCCCTCTTTCATAAATAAATTGATTTTGTCATAAAAATGAGTGTTAAAATTTACCCTGGCTGTCTCGTCCAAGATGTTTGCTTCTTCTCTAGCTCGAACAAATAAGGCACCATCGACAAACCTATCAGGAAAAGTTTCAGAGAGGGGAGGCAGGTGAACGTCCTTTGTGTCAGGTCGGTGCAGCACGGCCACTGAGAAGCCGTAGACAAAGAGGCCCGGATTTATGCGATCTCTGATATACGCAGAAGCTGAGACAAAATCTTCAGTGGTCCTCATGCCTAAATTGCGATCAGATAAGTAAAATGTCAAAAATAAAATTGAAATATTTTACCAATCAGGATGCCAATAAGCCTGGACGCCAGTTGGCGGTGCATGGGCACAAAGGTGCTAAATTGAGCGCGGCGGGGCAGTGTCAGAAGGGCTGATATATCAGGTACAGTAATGCCCTTGATGGGTACTTGGGTAGTGTCGCCGTCACTAAAGCGGTTCTTCAGTGCAGTTGCCTGCTCCCTATATTTTGTTGCCTGTAAAAAGTGAAAAGTTGCATAAAATTCACAATATTATAATTTATTATATACCAAGTATTCCGGGGGCACATCAAGGATTAGACCCTTTTCACCTTTTGGCATGAAAACCGGCTCTGTGGGCCGCTCCAAAAGTGACAGCGCTACATCTTGAAGTTTGTAAGGCTTCTGCGAATTTACTATTCCTGCAATTGTTGATTGAGAGAAAAAATTAATATATACTGGCAAAAAATAATCCTAATAAATCATGTAAATTGAATTTAATTCCATAAAATGGGGTTTTGTGATTTTTTGGAATAAAGTTTGCTATAATTTAAGAAATTTTACGCTGCGTCCCTTACAAAAATAAAAGTGAAATTATTTTCTGGCCAAAAATAAAGGATTAATTGAACATGACCCTTCAATTTGTTTAAAATTTAATTATAAAAGTTTCTAATGTTACAAATAAATAAATAATTATATTATATCTTACCTGCTGCAAGGAGGAAAACAGCAAAGAAAAGAACCTGCATCTCAGACTGTTGCCAGCCAAGTGAAGACACAATCGTGAGAATAACCGGTCAGCAAAACCTTGAACCTTTTGGTCTCTGCGCCAAACTGGTCTCGCTCATTGACGCAAGCGAAGTAAAAAATATTTTAACTGCAGCCGCAGTGAATGGGAACCTTAGATGAGGGGGAAAATTGTTTCTCATATCGACTTTTGTTTTCACCTTGGCATGACAGGGATTCCCCACGGTTATTTTGTTGTGCGCTCTCCTCAGCAACAAACTGTCATTAATTACCATAACTAATATTTCAGTTCTAGAAAGAGAAGGTTTAGAAAATTAAAAGCTTTACAAGCATTTTTCACGCGAGTTTATTTAAGAGATAGAGCAACATCATGTCACCATTCATATAATTTCAGTTAACAATGTTTTTGATGCTTTTAACACAGCAATAAGAGTAATTATGGTTCGTAAATTCAGAACGTTTTTGATCATTGCAGAAGCAAAATATTTTGTTTTGCTAATTTAATTTGCCACTCCAATTCAGGCGTCATGACAACGATTTTAATGCGCGCATTTAGTATATTTTTTTTCTTCTTTACTTTAACATTAATTTTCATGAAAATCAATTTCAAATCAATTTGTTACAATTGATTAGTGGATTAAATTTGTATGTATATAACAATAAATTTTGATCAGATCTAGAATAATGAGATCACAGGGTCAGCGGTCACATGCCCTCGGGCTTAGGCAGGTTTGTGTTGTACGCGCGGATCACCTCAGACTGCGTCACCGCGCCGTGCTCCTCTTGTGAAAACGCATATCCATCTATGGTAATCAAGGAAGACCAAAATTTAAAGTAACGATCAATATTTCTGTGTGCTCATCCCTGGCACTAAGCATATTTTGCTGCCAATTTTTTTTCATTAAAAAAAAAACTTCAATAAGAATATCTCAGGGCCAAAGATGAGAGCAGCACTTTTGAGGTTGGAACCACACCCAAGCTATCGTGTTTGCACAATTGAAAAAAAAATATATTATAATAATATGAGAAGAAAAAAGGCCGTTGGTTGAAATCATATAAGTTCCAAGCTCAATTTTAGAATAATTCTAAATTCTAGAGGCAGTTAATAAGAGATGGTTTCTAATTTTGATTGTCTTAAGTTTTGAAAATTGACACCAGCTAAAAAAAAAATGGGCGTCCATCTGAAAAGCAATTAATATGTACTGCAGTAAAAATGGAATATTATAATATATTAATTATCAACAATATTGTACATTATTTGATGGACCAATAAGGTAATTTGGTTCAGAAGGTCAAATTGGGTCAAATATTGCAGAGCTTTTTCTATAATAAAGAGCGACCTGAACTACGAACTGTACAGTTTTACAAGAACATACCATCCTGTTATTAAAAAACGAAATTATTAAAATAATTTTTCATTTTCATCATTATCAATAAATATTCTAATCTAATTTTCACCATCATATAAATTAAGATTTAGGCATATTTTAAACTTACTAACTCCCTCCTTTGAAACTTTAAAATCTATCTTTTTAAATTTTTCTTCATTTCATCTCAAAATATATTTTTTCTTTCACAATTGGCATAAAATAGAATTGAATTTTTTATTAATTAAATTAAAGGTATTCAAAAGTGGTCAAAAAATATATATTTCAACCATTTCAACCATTATCTCAAAGTTTACATAGTAAAATGTTTATAGTGCTCTTATTTTTGAAGCACTTTTTTGAAAATTTACAGAGATGGTTGTTGGTTTTTGATTATTTACAAAGTTAGAGCGCAACAGGAAAATTAGATATTATTTATCATGTTTTTGAGTTATCAAATTTTCACCTGCGTCTACCTAATTGTTAAATATACAACATTAGTTGAACAGAGTGGGCAGCTATTGCGATTTGGGTTAGACTAAATTAAACCATCGGGCCGAGGGTGTTGCAAAGGCACGCACGCTCCAAAGGGTCTCTTATTCTCTACAGGGACCGGTGTTGAGACTTACGCGAGAGTTCCACCTCAATGTTGGAACTGTTGGGCGCCCGGCGGAACACGTTCTTGACGTTCTTGAGCAGCCGTGCCGTCTCGGTCAGTCTGCAAGCAGCAGCCGCGATCAGAGCCTGGCGCCGCACTCGCGGTTTTTTGTTTTTTTGTTTTTTGGCAAGAAGGGGCCACACGCACTCAGGCACGCACACACACGCAAAGCAAACACCGGGAGCATGGGATAGAAGCCAAGGCGAGCAAGCCGAAGAAATGCACAACGAGAGAGACAAATATTTGAGATTAATACTTACACTTGGGCGGGCGGTCCTGAGCATGCACGGGACTAAACAGAAAGGCACAAAAAGACACGAATTATAACCAAATCATAATCAAAACTGCATGCCAGTTGATCATGCCTCTCGCACGCGACCGCCTCGGACCCATCGTCTCGTTAGCCCGCCCGTCGAAAAAAAAGAAGTGTTTATTCATCTCTCAAGTACAGATAATTGTTCATATTTGTGAATTTCAACCCGAGGGTGAAATCAGAGGCGTCAGTGCGACAGCAACGGTTGTAAAATAATGTCTCTCATGGGAGTGCGGGAAGAAGTGTGATGCGTCAGTTTTGCGCCTTCTTGGTCTACTAAATATTTGCAAGAAGTATACTTGTAAGACCTTAAGAGTCGCGGGCAAGGAATCAACTCCTTGTTGCTGGGTACAGAGTGACACAGGTGGGGTGGTTTGGAGGTGTTCGTACAAACGCTACTTCAACAGAGCGATCCGAATGAGATCATAGTGGGAATTACAGAGAAGTACAAATTCAAAAGTCAGTCAATCGAAAAAGGATAATAATATCAATGCTGGGGTAGAGTGTCAAGTCAATTTAAAGGATTTATTAGTTGGTCAGGTTATTCACACGCGCAGTTGCGGTTAATTGGTTAGTCTGCTTTAAGAGGTCGCATTTTTGGAGTCAGTCATGAAAGGTTCAGGGCAGAAGGACAAATCGGATGATGCATCGCGCATGCGTTTTAAGGTATGTTGCAGTCTATTCAATCCTGGCATTGAACAAAAATTGAACAGACTGCAGATTATGGGTAGAATGGTAATGATTTAGAGCAATGGGGTACCTGCTACGCTCCTTCTGCATGATTCGACTAGGGTCACGGTTGCGCACTTCACTCTCGCGTACGTTTTCCTCCAAATTCTTGTTGGTCCAAAGCCAACCACTGAAAAAATCAATTTGAATTTGTGAATGTTGCTTAAAAAGGATTGAATAAAATACATTTTCATGGTGGCATCCGGGAGCAGCGCTGTAAACGGAATGAGTACGAGTCCGAGCCAGAAGACGGGAGACGTGAAGACCATGTGGTCCTGACCGGCCATTACAGCGCCCAAAGGGATTGTTGGCCAGAAGTTACTGCACAAAATTTTTTATTGAATAAAATGTCAAAAAATGAAACACGAAACTAACCTATAGATGACCAGGAAGATAAACCAAGCAATGATGGAACCCCAAATGGCTAGGTGGGTGACCCACGTCCAATAATGAGTGACTAGCGCAGCTTTCAGACACACCGTCATTACCACATACTGCAAAGAAATCACTTTTATATAACATTTATCTTTAAAAAAGTTATTTTAATATTTAAAAAGCTAAATATTTTTCAAGCTAGTAATCATCCTTCTTAAGTTTAGAAGATTACCGAGTAAACGGTGTTTCCAAGGACTAGATATCCGCCCTCTCGTCCATTGCTCCATACAACATCCTGCTGGAAGGCCATCAGAGGGAGCCAATAAAGGAGAACGGAGTGAAACAGGGAATTGGCAATCCAGATCCAAAAGACGCGACGGTTAAAAGCGCTGCCGAGCTGAGAACTCTTGTACAGCAGCGGGAAGCTCATCATTGCATCAGCACTGCAGGCTCGGTCGAACAGGCCCATTGCCAGCGGGGGCGCTGCTGTGAAAAGCTGCAAGATTTTGAAGTTTCAGTATCAGGAACAAAATTAAAACATTACATTTAGAAAACAATTTGAAATAATTATTTAATATTCAACTTTACTAACCACATTGTAGAATCCAATGGTCCAGCGCTCAAAGAGGATCTGACCAGACCACCCAGAATAGATGGCGTACCACAGCTCGATGACATACAGACAGATGTTCTTGTAAAAACTGTACAGGATCAGTTTGCTCATTCGCGCGTAATTCCACGCTCCGTGCACAAACAGCAGTCGGGCCAAATAACGAAACTATACAAATTAAATTAGTGATTTGAAATTATATCAATTAAAACTAAATACCTGTGCAATTGAATAATCAGATGCGCAGGCAGCCTGAAGTCCCTCTTGACCAGAAATTCCAATTCCAACGTTGGCCTTTTGGATCATGGCGACGTCGTTGGCTCCGTCGCCAATTGCTAATGTAATGAATTTTGTGTGCGCAGTGACCATGCCAACTACTTCAGCCTTCTGCAGCGGAGAGACGCGACAGCACACCACTGATCGACAGCTTGTGCAAAGTGCAAGAAATTCACGACAAAGGTCGTATGACAGTGCGTAAGTAAGCGTCTTCCCATCAACGATCAGTGCAAAGTCACTGTCCCGCGCTGAGCAGCCGCCGCCGCCCAGCGCACTTATACTCCGAATGTACTCATTTATTTTATCTCTAGTGCTCTGCAATTAGGTAATAATTAATTATGATATCAAATTGGTGTTTAATGAATTAATCTTACATCTAAACTTCCTTGGTCTAGAATAAGGATCTGCATGCCCTGAGTTAAAAGACGACACGAGTAGCCAATGTTAATGGCCGTCTCTTGTTTATCGCCCGTTAAAATCCATACATGGATATCAGCCTTAAGAAACTGTGCAATGGCCTCCGGAACCTATGTTATAAAGATTAATTTAAAATTAATCAAAAAATTTGAAAAAGATTAAATTTATTGGTAAGAAAAATTTAAAATTTCATTCAAAACTCACCCCATCTTGTAGTTTGTCCTCAATAGCAGTGGCGCCGACCAGTCGAAGGCCGATTTCAATTAGCTCGGCCGCTTCTTCAATTCGTGTAGCTCGATCTTGCAGTGCCGTTGCTGCCTTGTGATAGGTATGCTTCCACTCCTGTATTTTAATTTAATTAGCTTTTCAATTGAATTTTTGGTAATTTAAGAAGTGACCTCGTAGTGCTCTTCTGAAATATCTGCAACGGCGCAGCAAAGGGTGCGCAGACCCTCAGTGGCAAATCCCTCGAGGTGGTGCAAAGTGAGGTCGCAGTTCGTGCGGTCATTTAGCCGCTCAAAAATGACAGAATCGGCGCCTTTGCAGAAAAGCTTGATCTGTCCAGTCGGCGTTCGCACCACCACTGACATGCGCTTGCGTGTACTTGTAAATTCAATTACGTTCAGGATCTCATAGCGCTCCTCACATCCCAATACGCTGATTGTGACAAACTCAGGCACCCGCGTTTCAAAGACAAAGCCAAATTGACGCGCACCCTCCACCAAGGCTCTCTCATCTGGAAATGAAAAAAAAAAATTAAAGTTTGTTGGAAAATCATTTTAAAATAAATAAATAGTCAACCGAGGCGCACTGCAATGGATGGATTTGTGATCCGAAACTGTTTTACTTTTTATTTCAATTTTAAACAGCAACAATTATAAGATTGAAATAAAAATCTACTTACCAGGCGAAGCTGCATGGTAGAGGATAGTACCATTTTCTTTGTCACGCTCAGGAATGACTGTGTGACAAACAGCCAGCAACGTGAGGAACTCTCGGATGCGCTGCCCCGTCGGTTTGTCAGCTGCAAGCATGGTGCGGATCAAGTGTGACTCGTGCGGCTGTTCGTGGGCTTCGGGAAAGCCAAACACCTCTCCAGCCACAGAACACTTCTTGAACACCATCACGTTGCACGTCAGCGTGCCAGTCTTGTCAGTGAAGATGAATTTGACCTGGCCCAGCTCTTCGTTCAGGTTCGACGTGCGCGCCGCAGCTGGCGTCCCTGACTCGACGTGGAACATTTCTTTGTCCTCATTTATGAAGGTTGCCTAGTTTAAATCCACCGTAAGATGAAAAGAAACAAAAGAAAAATGTGACAAACTTACCTGAAAATACCTTACAACTTCTAGTGAAACTTGAAGGGAAATAGGAATGAGATTGTTGAAGAGGATAATGAAGGTAAGCAGATTGTAGAAAAAATTTGTAGAATCTGAAAATAATAGATATTTTTAACAGCTTTTAACTTTAATAAGTTTAAAGCAAACCTTTCATGGGGATGTATGTGTGTGTTTCCGCGTTAACGGAGTTCCAGATGGCGTTGAAGATTGCACTCACAATGCAGAGACCGACGAGCAGGCCGAAGAGGATGAGAACCTGAGAGTTGGTGGCACGGTCCAAAGAGGACCTCTTGAGGGGCGCCTTATTTGAATTCTGCATCAGCTTTGTGTCCACACCGGTGTAAACAACCAGGCCAAAAATCCAGTTGGTGTTCCTCAGCTTGGCACCTCTCAGCAGCAACTGCTCCGGTCCTAGGGGTAGAGAACCACGGCCCATCACTGTGACGTTACCACTGAAGTCGTACAGGTTGAAGTGCGGCGGTTCGCAGTCTAGACTGGCAGCAAAACTTTGAAGTTGCGCCGTGTCGAGAAGCGACGAGGTTTGGCTAAGTCCCTGTCGGATCTTTAGATTTGTTTCTCCGTCCAAATTGGCAGTCTCAATGTAGCACATTCCCTGAGGCTCACTATGTAATGCATTGTTAATTTGCTTTTTAATTCAAAAGAAAGCAATCTTATTGAATACCTAGATGAGAGGAGCACCATGTCTGCAGGGAAAAAGGAGTCATTGTGCACCTTGACGACGTCCCCAACTTCAACGTTCCGCCACATCACAGAATCCCAGGCACCGCTCCTCAAAACTTCCACCTTGCGTCTGTTTGTCTCATTGTCTGCCTTGTGCCGTTTCTAAAACATTCATTATTATTACACTATATCTCACCAATAATAATTTCTAATAAGAAAATTACTCAAATTACTAATAAAATTGCATCGGATGAGTTCTGACATTAAAATTGATCTAAATAGTTTAGGAATTAAATGAAATTGAATTCTCACATAGTCCTCAATGACCTCCTTGATGGCCGAGATCATGAGAATGAAGAAGAGGGGCACGATGGTCGTGTAGCGTCCGGTGGGCGACACGTCCGGAATTTGCTGGAGCAAACCGATGAAGAGGAAGAAACAGTTGGAGTAGCGCTGGAACTGCTCGTACAGAAAGCAAGGGAAGAAGGAGATGAAGCTGTACTTGGCCGTCGACACGTAGTTGGAACAGAAGCGCTGCGGTGGCGGCGTCGGTTGGGACGCACCGCCGTCGGTGGTGTCGACCGCCGCCGCGTCCCACAGGTGCCGATTGAACCAGATGCGCCGCACCGCCTTGTGCCCGCCGGCCCGGCCCTCCGATAGACCTGAAGTCTGGTCATCATCCTCTGTTGACAACAAACAACATTTTGATTTTAATACTTTCGTGGGCAAAAAGAATCAAATGGAAAGAAATTTATATTGTAATTTTTTTTAGTTATTTATGGAAATGACTACTTGAGTTATTGCAAACACACATGTGAATTAAAATAAGTGGGAAATATTTCTTCGAAATCATACAATGGTGTTAAATATTCCACGAGCTGTTTCTACGAACAGGAAACTTTAGTTACGAGCCTGGGTCACGAGAGCGAATCCATTATAAATATTCTATTCTCGTAGTAGTTCAACTTTATTCCATATAGATTTTTGCACAGGCACCTCCACGCCCATTTACAATATAATCCTTCGTGAATAATGCATAAAAGTGAATCAACAAAATATGTTAATTTTAAGATCAATTCACCTAATACCATATTTTACTTTTATTTCATTTTAAATTTTTATTCATTTTTTACTTAAAATGCTTTCAATATTCATTATTTAATATTATTGATTAATTAATTTTATCTTGGAAATTGATTAATGCAAATTGTTAACAATTTTCTTGCCTATTTTATTTTATCTAATTTAAGAACAAGCTAAAAAAAATACTAATTAGGTCAATTTCCTGAGTCATCCGATTTAATTGCAACAATTAAGTCGCACACCTGTCTACTTAAAAATGTAAATGCAATCAATATGTGACTTATACGCTTTTCAATCGATCGGGGCCTGCTGAAGGACACAAGGGACAAAGCTCCAGCGCCAAAATGAGACAGTTTTTTTGGCCGTCATAAAATTTTTATGTCTTCGAACGACTGCGGAGTGTAAAAAAGCTTTTTGTTATGTCATCGGGAGGCGCCTGCAAATCTCAAGGGGAGAAATTTGCGCAAATGAAAATCATGCTAAATCAAATTGAATCAACAGATTTATTATATTTTTGGAGGCAAAGTTGTTCTCGGACTTGTATTTTACTTATTTTAATTTTAATTCCAAACGAAGAGGAAAACGTCAAAATGTCACATGCACCAATTAATCATTAATCCATGACATGCTTGAGGATGAGAGAAGTGCGAGATTATAACAGGTTGGAGCGGATTTGGCGGGGTCGGAGGGAGTCCTGGGGTCGGGGCAATGCGCGCACTTACTGGGTCGGGTGCGGCCCCGGAGAATGGCGGCGCGGTCGGACAACTCGGGGGTCGATTGTTCGGCCCAGGCCCAGAAGCGGAGTTGCGGCGGCCCGACCCTGGTGCTCATTCCGGCGGCGCCATTTCGCCTCTTCCACTTTCACCCCCTACTGACTGAGCCACCGACCGAAAGCCACCCCCGGTCACCATGGCAACGCGGCCCCCGCTGATCACCGACTCCCCACGACAGCAACAGGGCGCGCGAAGGATTATTGGAGGAAAGCCAGAATTAAAAACAATTGAGAAAAAGCTTGGCGGACGTGATGACATAATTCACGGTTTTGTCGTCGAGGCAATTGAAATGGAAAATGGGAAATTCTAAAAAATACTTCAAATAGTTGGTATTTTGCGTGTTTTTTCTGCTTTAATTAGTGTCTTTGTTTTTATGTTGTAAAGTGTGAAGAAGATTCAGGGTTTAATTTTTTTCGTGGTTTTACAGAAACTTGGCTTTGAAGAATAGAAAATGGAATGCATACCAAAATTGTGACTTTTAATCAAGAAATTAATTTAAAATTAATCAAAAATCTTTCCTGTTTGTGTCAAAAATAATCAAATAACTGGCCTGGATCGCGATTTCGCCCAATTCCAAGGTTCATCAGCAGACCTGAATTTTACAACTGCAACTCCGCCCTAATTTTCCGAGTTTTAATTAAGTTTTTATTTTTTTGTGGAACATAAAAAGGTAAAGTTTTTGTTCCATTTTTAATTTCTTTGTTAAAAGTCAAAATTTTAGCATGAATTCCATTCTTTCAAGCCAAGTTCTTCTCGTGCAGTTTCAGTAGAACCACGAAAAACCTCTCAAAATATAATTCAGGGCTAGTTATTTTTAGAGGCAAAGTGAGCGACTTCCGAGAACGGAGAGTTAAAAAATGGTGCTTTCTTCTTTTTAGCAATTTTTCGTCAATAACGCTAATTACTATGAGGACGAGAAATTACCTGTGCTGATAGCTTTGGTGACGCTAATCAGCGCTAACAAGAACGTAAGACTAAAAAGAACCTTCAAAAGATAAGGCATTGGAACAAGGAGTGGTTTGAAAGTCTGAAAGTTCAGCTCCTTATTTCAGCATGAAATGTAATTTTACATCACAAATAAAAGTGGGCTTTGGAGGAGTTATTCAAGTAGTAAAATCATAAGAATTCAAATTTAAATATTTTTATTGAAACAAAAATTTCAATTTCTGACATGGAGGGTCGCAGATCGTAACTGAAAATTGCAGACCGGTGCATTATAAACTTTTTATCTTGAAATTGAAAAAAAATTGAATGCAAACACTCGAGGTGAATTTTAACTAGGTTCGCCCGGTTTCAATTAAAAAAAAGTTTTTTTGTAAACTTGAAAACATTTCAAAACAAATCTGCTTTATTTTTGGATATCATCTCATGTTATTTGTCAACAAAACGATACCTGCGGCAGAAAGCAGAGGCGTTTGGAGGAGTATTGCGTGGTCTCTGTCGTGGAGGAAAGAGCGCCACAGAGGAAACAACATCGCGCGCTAACTGCGCTAAACGGACCAAACGCGGTCAGTTAATTAAACTTTGCGAATGCGGACAAAGCCATATTCAGCCGACAATTCCCTTCTTGTCAGCTGTGTGCGGAAACCATCATCAGCTGATTTTACTGGCTCGCTCCACGTGACCGCGAATAAAAAGCACCGACGTAACACGATGTACGAGTTTAAATTGATTCAAATTTGGCTGCGACGCTCGAATCAGATTTGGAGCGGGAAGTATAGAAAGTCTATAAAATGTGCTTTATCTTATCTCTCAGGTTAAAGACAAATAATATATACGATCAGGTGTGTACTTGGAAAAGGCGATTAACAACTCACACTCATCAGTATACAGTCATTACAGCCCAGCAGTCTGCAGAGGCTTATCAGTATTTTTAGGGCTGTGACAGTAAACAAGGAGAATGTCAAATATTGTATTATGAAATAAAAACTCCTGGGTTTAAATCTGTTTGTTTTAAAATTACGTACTTATTCCTGAATGAATCATTCCATTTATTTGAACAATTAGTTCTTTTCTTATCTCAATCTTGTCTGCACAAATTGTCAGGAAAAAAAAGCTACGATGTATTGACAAAATTAAATTCAGAGGCAAAAAAGTAAAATTAAAACCAAAGAAAAAATTAATGAAAAGTAAAATTAAGTGTTTTTAACAATTTTTACGTGGTTTTACAGAAACTGTGCGAGAAAACCTTAGCTTCAAAGAATGGAATAAAAGTCAAAATTGTTTTTTAATTCAGATTATTATTTTGTAAATGGCTCAAAAATTAATTTTTTTTGTGTCACAAAGAATAAAAAATTATATTATAAAAACCCGGAAAACTAAGGCAAAACAGAGCAACATAACTGGACTGGATCGCGATTTCGTCCAATTCCAGAGGGCTCATGAGCAGACTCTGTTTGCCTGAGTTTTCCGGGTCTTAATTGAGGATTTTTTTGTGACACAGAAATATTAATTTTTAGAGTCATTTAAAATTAATTGCTTAATTAAAAGTCAAAATTTTGGTACATATTCCATTCTTTAAAGCCAAGTTTTTCTCGCACAGTTTCAGTAAAACCACGTGAAAAACCTTTTAAAACACTAAATTTTACTTAATATTCATTTTTTCTTTGGTTCTTTTGCATTTTTATTCTTCCAAATTTCATTAATTAAACCCTGAAACTGCTTTTCACGTTACAACACAAACAAATAATACACTATCAACTATTTGAAGATTGTAAAATTTATTGGTTCAAATTGTAAATTGGAAGGATATCATTATAACAAATACAAAGAATAATAAAATTTTCATTAAAAATGTTTATTTTTTTACTACTAAAAATAAATGCAAATTATATAATATAAAAATAATTTTTTTTAATAATTAGATTATGTCTTATAAGAATTGTCGCAGATGAAACTAGCCCAAAAGAGTGCAGAGGTGCAGTCGAAACATTCAAGTCTGCTGATCAGCTCTGGAATTGGACAAAATCGTGATCCAGGCCCTTTTTGCCCTAATTTTACAGATTTTAATGAAGTTTTTTATTTTTGATACACAAAAGGTACAATATTTTGTGTCATTTAAAAGTAACTTCTTAATTGCAAGTCAAAATGTTTCCATTATTTAAAATCTAATTTCAGTAAAACCTTTTAAAAAGGAGAAACTACTTAGAGTAAATTTAGAAACACAATATTTCGATTAGCCAACTTGCTTTTAGTAAGACGAAGGAAGCAACGCTATATACAATACAACAACATTATTTCTGTCTACATTCTACTCAAGGGAAAGAAAAATGTCATTCATTTTTCTCTTCTATATACTATAATATGGTGCGGCAGCAAAGAAAGCTTTATACGCGGCGGGTTTAAGGGCGCTCGGCAGCGGCCCAATTGGCCCAAGCTCGATAAGACACGGACGTTGGCACCACAGACCGTCTTGCTCGTCAACCAGCGACTCGTGGTTGCGGCGCACCGAGAAGCGTGCCCGGGCCGTGCGCGCGCTCACCAGCACCGAGGGGCCCGCCCTGGGTCCGAATCGGGACCCTACGCGGCCCCTTAGCTTCAGTGGCGCACTCGCCATTCGCGACTAACAGGATTGACGAGTCAATAATCGGCTCGTCGAACTCCGACGATTCCCACCGATTGTTTAATGTGCACTTCATTGGGGTCAATAAGCGGACGGGGCGAATCACTCGACGTGGAAATTTGAAATAAATTCTAGTTCCCAATGAATAAAATTATTATATTATTTTTTACTCCAAAGAAAATCATTTTCAGAGAATATTTTCAATTTTTTTTTTCAGGTGGACATATCGATATGTGAATTAGTTAAATTTTCTTTCTCGCAACAACTTCCGCTCTGAAATTGTATGCAGCAGTCGTGCGACTTCACCTTGCGCAACTTGAGCTTCTCTCGGCTTGATAGCGTCGCGGATCGATGGGCGAACGTGACCCGGTCAAAGGGCACAGGCCCTCTGGCGGCCGGTTTGCGGATTTTCCCACTCATTCGCCGCATCTATTTCTTTTTCTTGTTAAACCCTCTTCGGAGGCAAAAGGCGATTTCGTGCTCGATCCTTCCCCTTTGCGACCCTTTTTTTATTCGCCACTGCTGCGCTCGCTCCAACAAAGCCAACGACGAAAGAAAGCGGCGCAGTAAAATCATTCAACCCAGCATAATTCCATTTCAGCCAATTTATTTTTCGGACGATAATACAACTTATACCCTTTGATATTCTGATATAAAAGTAAAAGTTTATGGATAGAGTTGATGCTAAAATTATTGTTAACAAACGCCTTCTGCTCAAAATAGTCCAAAATTAATAATTTCTTATATTCAATCAGTGATTTTCATTTTGAATTCAGTACATATGAAAGTCTAGTATAAAAATCTAGTATATGTAAATTTTATTCATTATGAATAAAACATTAAAATTTTTTGAGACTCCAAGATTTACATTCTTGTATTTGACTCTTGGCATCAAGTCTGGACAAAAAACGATATCAACTCAAAAGTTTCAGTGAGAGAGAGAATTTTTTTTAGGAAATGGAGAACTTGGAGAAGGACCAAAAAAATTGTAGAAAAAAATGAAGATCTTAAAATTTATACAGAAAGCTCTTTTAACAATGTGAACTTGAATTAACCAAATTAGAACAGCGGATGTGTATAATTTTTATTTATAAAGAATACGGTCGGGACTAATTTGTCAAATCTAAACGGACTCGGCTTTGGCACATTTCAAGCAGTCCAGTTACGCGTTCCTCCCGTTTGAACTTTTTGTTACATTATTTTTGGAACCCTTCCAATTTGGAATCTTTTGGACCAAATATTTTGACACTAGGACTATTCTGCGCATGACTTCAGCGCTATTTTGATATTATTTCAGAAGTGAAATACAACAAAATCTTACATAACTTTTCTTACTTCACGAACCAAAGAGATTCAACTGAATAAATAAGTAAATCTTTGGAAATGAAGAGAAAATTAATTTTTATTCTAAAACAAAACGGCTCTACCAGTTTCGATCACGGTCTGCGACCCAATTTCAAGCAAGGGATAAAATTAAAAAAATTGAAAAAAGCACCACATTTTAGTTAAAATTAAAATCTGAAAACTAACATAATTTTTAAATTTTCCTGATTTTTTTAATTTTTTCTTGCTCATGAAATAGGGTCGCAGACCGTGACCGAAACTGGTAGAGCCGTTTTATTTTTGAATAAAAACAATTTTCGCAACGAGGAAAAACCCAATCTCTTGATTTCCATGAAAATCTCCTCGTGTTTCATTTTCTTCAAAGTAAATCTTTATTAAAACTTAAAATATTTTGCCTTAAAAATTAAAAAAGTGATTTATTTTCAAATTTTACTTCATTAATTAATTTTGTTATTAGCAATCTTAACTTGGACTTGGACTTCTGCAACCGGCACGAACAATAATAAACAAAAAGAATACAAGAAAAGTGAGACTAACCGTAATGGTGCTGTTGCCGTTGTCGACTCGCGAGCTCGATGTCCTCGTCGGCTAGGTCGGGCGACATTTTTCAGGGCTACGTGTGGCCGACTGGTGACCGTCGCACGTGCCACCGCATCCTCCTGCGCTGCTCCTGCCAACAAAGGACGAACAAGAGTGTTGAGAACCGTCGTGTCTGTGCCATTTCGGTGCCCTTTCGCCCAAAGGTCACCCCCGCGGGCCCCGCGCACGCCTATCGATCAAACAAAGAAGGTTGAGAGCCGCCCTTTGGCCGGAACGTCTGCGCGTCGCAAAACCGGAACCAAACGACGCCCGCCGCAAATAGGCCGCCGAGGCCACTTGCACACCTCCGGTGCCAAACCAACCCCCACGCATTGGCGGTGGACGTCGCAATTAGCGTTTGCTCCCAGAGGAGCGATTCCGCCTGTGCAAAATATTGTCAAGAGTTTCAGGTTACCGATGTGGTTGAAAAATAATATGGTTGATAAAACTTGATAGTCTTTGAGTTTTTCCATGAGTAAAACAATATTCTGATACAATTATATAGCATGAAAATGAAGAGATTGGGCTTTTCCTCGTTGCAAAAATTTATTCAAAAACAAAGGTCTGCGACCCTATTTCATGAGCAAGAAAATTAAAAAAAAAAAAAAAATCAGCAAAATTGAACAAAAAAACAAACAACACTTTTAAAGATTAAAATTAAAATCTAAAAAAAAAAAAAAATCAATTTTGCTGATCTTTTTTTTTTTTGTATTTTTCTTGCTTATGAAAAATACCGACACTGAAAAAGTGACCGAAACTGGTAGAGCCGTTTTGTTTTTGAATATAAACAATTTTTGCAATGAGGAAAAGCCCGATGATCTCTTTATTTCCATCATCATTTCCTCGAGTGTCAAATTCTTCAAACAAATTATATAGCAGACAAAAATAAAAAATTAATTATAAAATTAAATTGATCCTAGCTTCATTTTTAATTTTCCATCTGCCGAAAGATGTAATTTTTAAAATTAATCGTTGGGCATGACAAATTTAATAAATTAAAAATTGTGTTAGAAAAAGTTTTGATGATTTACTTGTATGCGGAAAACGCAACCTGCACAACACAGAAAATTGAACTTCAGTCATAACTTTTGCAAATTTGAAATATTTCAGGCAGGTTTCATTCAATTCTATTTCATATTTAGAAAACAAAAATCGGTTCAGTGTTTCCAGGAATATGTGAATTTTTTATTTTGAATTTATGCAACCCTTGAAACAAAATATGACAAGCCACTTACCCTGGGAAATAATTACCGATTTTTAATTTCAAAATACAAAATTGAAGCATTCGTTGGCCTGAATGCTAACCCTTCTGGTATAAAAGAAATACTTACAATTATGAATAAAATAAAATTTTCTGTGCTACACAGGTTGCCTATCCTGCAAATATTCTTTAAAAATCAACTTTTAAATGTGCAATGATAGCCATGATGACAAATAAATTCAATGAAAATACAGTCTGGAGTCTGGAATGTCGTCGCCGGGCAGGTGGCCATGGTCGTTGAATAAAATTGACATTCGTGAATGAAATTTGATACAAATGTTAACTGTCGGTGAAAATTTCTTATTCAATGATAAAATATTTTATTTATCCTAAATCGAAATTTAATTCAAATTATTACAGTTACATACGAAATCTCTATTACTTTGAATCTCTTGTGAATTGAAAGGGAAATTCGCACCAATCGAGAAGTTTAACATTTGTCACGAGGGGACCGAAATAGTCTGACGAAATTCATTTTCCGTCGACCAATCAATAAGAAATTATTCAACATCCAGGCAATCAGAATGTCGGCGGGAGTTCACTGGGGGGATGCGTGACTTGATCACAGTTTTCCGACGTGCATTAAGATTTGGGTGCGGTTGTGATTGAGTCTGGACAATCGAGACCACACCCTGTCCGTTCGTCCTTTACGTTCACCCGCACGTGGAATTACCTGTTAAATAAATTGATGGGCTCTGTCCAGCCCCACGTGCCACCTGAACTCGTCGGCAACCCCAATACGCCCATTATTGCAACCCACTTTAAAGAGCGTCAATCGATGCACAATCAACATTGAAAAGTTATTATTCGTATAATAAATTGCATATTATTTTTTTCAGTGTAGTCCTCCTGGGATTCTCACGTTGGAAGCAATATTATCAAGGGATGACTTCTGAACTTAATTTCCCCCATTCATATGACGTATAAAATTAATATTTTGGTTTGCCCAGCGGAAATGAAAAAATAAAATGCGGAAGTTTTTAACCAAATATTAGATTCTTGATAAGAAATTAAAAGTAAAGTTTGTGGTTTGCGTATAGTAAGTTGTAGGTATAAAAATTTAAATTTATGTGTATAGTTTTTTGCTAAGCACTCATGACTGCATTGAATGGAGAATAAATAAATAAATAAATTTAATTAAAACAAAAATAAACACAATTAATTTAACACTTAATAGTTTTTTTAAGACATAATATACACTGTAAATAAAACTTCTCAACCTTTTTCCAATAGATCAATGTAAATTATTTGAGTCGACTGAGATAATGATTTTATTTTTTAACCTTAATTGGGGTGATATGAACGAGATTTTCTGAAATTTTTATCAATTTTGATGGGGCAATTTTTAAAGACAAAAAATATTTTACAAAATTCCAAATGTAAAAATTTGAAATTTGAACAATTCAGTTCTCCCGATAAATTTACGATTTTTTTTTTGTAAGGAAATCATTAAAAGAATAATCATTTTAATCACTTAAAACTTAATAATTCATTAAATATAATGAATTGATTAAATCTTGAAATTTTATTTAACCTTTACTATAATTATGCCTTTAAAAAAATATCTTCAGTGAGATCAAATTAATTTAAATATTTCTATTTGTTTAGCTGCTGATTAAAACATAATGTGACATACAACAATTCTGTTTCAATTCAATTTGTGCAGAAAGGAAAAATGAGAGAAAAACGTGACCTCAATTTACATAAAACGCATAAAATTATTATCCAACTCCTGACCTGGAAAAATTATCACTGGAGCAAAATGACTTTGAACAATAATTAAAATTTTGGCATTCACTGGATCATCAAAATATTGTTGCACTTGTACCACTCTCGTCCCAATTGCCAATTGAGGCGCGATTGACGTCAATCATTCATTTCTGCCAAGCCGGCGGCACTCTCAATCAGACAATTTTTACGACACAAGCGACGAGGAACATTTGCAATCCATTTGGTAGATTTTTACGCAACGCTTTTAACAGTTATTACATATTTATATTATATCTCGTATAGCCAAAAGTAGTGCAGGAAAAACCCCAGGAAATGATGACATAAATTGATAATAGAAAATATTACAATGTCATGCGATTTTTGTAATTATTGACGACTAAAAATTATTATTTTTACGATTATCCTTTCATAAAAACAAAATAAAAATTCTAAAAATAAATGTTAACGTAAACAAATCTTGACTGTCTCTGTCAACCAAAATTAAAAATAGTTATATTACCTAGTCAAACTTCTCCTGATGTCGATGAATTCGGAATGACTGATGGTTTTTTTAAACCGCTGTGTACATTTTGCTCGTCGCAGACATGTCCAGGCTGTCCAGCAGAGCTATGTACGGAAAACAGCAACGGCTTTTCTTATTTTCGGTCTTCTCAGTTCGAGCATTCATGCAAAACTTGGTGGAAGTTGAAGGGCGAAGAGACGCAGAAAAACATTCTACGGTGATGCTTGTTGACCGCGGCGGCGACGGTTCGACGCCAATGCCAGCAGCTGGAAGGCTGGGGAGGGACGCAGGACGGAACGGACCAACCGAAGCACTAAACTATGTAACTAACGTTTAACGTTAGCAGTTATTATTGCAGCACTGGAGTGTGCATAATTCTACGCTATGGCTATACGTACGTTTACGTTACGTACGCCTTGGCTAAAAGCAGACTGCAGAATGCAGGTCGCAACGACGCCTACCGGTAACAAGAGCAAAAGCAAACAAAAGCTGCTCATCTTAAGAACGGTTGAAGATAAAGGAAAAAAGTTACATCGAATGCCCGAAGAATGGAATTCTCGAGCGTCACCCAACAAAACAAAACTCTGTTGTGATATTAAAATGCCACGCCCACTCGTTTCTTTCATCGATAAACTTGCACAGCCACGCCCCCTTCACAAGCAAAACATCAAGCAGCCGTGCCAGCAAGGCCCTTTGTTTTCAAAGATTATCAACAATTTAGTAAAATATAAAAGTGCATTCAGGAGAGCTGAGTAGCTTAAGGCGAGGACTAGCTTATGAAATATGAATCAAAGATTTTATTTATTTGCAATTTTTATAAATTTAAGTAGCAAGGAAAAAATTGCATTTATATTTTTGTTCTATATTTTCAGGCTTAATGTAATTTGAGAATTTCTGGAGACGTGAATTAAAATTTTGAAATGTCTCCCAGAGACAAGGATGACCTGAAAGAAAGAGAAATGCTGCAGGCGGTGGTCATCGATGACCTCGTCAGTAGCGAGTACGGCTCTGCAGGACTGAAGGTTGCTCAAATTTTCGCACCAATCTTTCTGATTTCTTGCATCACATTTACATTATATTTTACTAAATTTTATTCTTCATTTGCGTAGAGTCTGCTTCCCTTTGCGAACATCCAAGCGATTGACTACACCCTCTCGTGCCTAAGTGATGTCGGGGTCAAGCAGACCTTTGTGTACACAGCTCGAAGAAGTGAACAGCTGGAAGACCATATTGGGTATTTTACTGCTTTTTTTTTAATTTATAGCTTTTCAAATGTCAAAATTAAAGGCGTTGTGGTTGGAACGAGCCAGGATCGATGGCCGTGAAGGTGGTTGCGTGCGAAGGATCTCAGTCCTTCGGGGACCTCATGCGAGAACTGGACACCAGCAACAGCATTCAAGGCAATTTCCTTTTGCTTTACGCCGACACCGTCTGCACTGCCGATCTAAAACCCATCATCAATAAGCACAAGTATGAAGTTCTCTCTAGTAATATTTAAATATAAAAATTTTTACAATTCCAGAGCCACCGCATTGAAGGACAAAAACGCCGTCATTACAATGGTTTACACTCACACCAACCCCAGGCACGAGGGCCATTCCCAAGAGCGCGAATTGGCTCTCGGACTGGCAAACGGACGTGTGGTTTTTCACAAACGAGTCAAGACGGACAGCCATGACCTCGAAGTGCCTACGGAGTTGCTGCTGAGCAACTCGAGTGTGGAGCTCAGATTTGACCTGCTGGACCCCTGCGTGGCTGTCTGTTCTCTAACGGTGCCTCCGATCTTTTCGGACAACTTTGATTTTCAAACGAGAGACGACTTCGTCAAAGGGCTGCTACTCAACGAAGATATTTTAGGACACACCATGTATGCGCACGTCCTCGAGCAGGCGTATGTTGCAAGGGCAGCTTCTTTGTCTTCTTACCACGCAATGAAGTAAAAATCTGGAACTTATTTTAACTAGCCTGACTAATTTTTTGACTTCAGCATGGATGTCCTCAGACGGTGGACTTTTCCGATGGTGCCGGACGCGTCTTTCTTACTTACCGATGCAGCTTTTAATTACAACATTGACCAGAATGTCTGCTCACAACCAGGAGTTAGAATAGGGTATGTGCAATTGTAATTAAAAATCTATTGTTGCACAATTTTAAAATCCCTTTTTACAGACGAAGTGATGTTGAAGATTGTGTAATTGGATCTGATTCGAAAATTGGCAACAACTGCCACTTGAAGATGTGTGTTGTAGGCAAAAACTGTGTTATAAAAGATGAAGTCCAATTAAACCACGCTGTTCTCTGGGACAACTGTGTTATTGAGGTATTATTTTAAATTTAATTAATTTGTCCGAGCCTTTAACTTCTTGAATAGATTTTGATTCTTTTGATCGATTTATCAGCATTTTATGATGGATAATTTGTATTGTTGTTTTGCAGAAAGGCACCAAGGCAGACAATATTTTTGCTCCTGCGAACTCACAATTAGATAAGTCTAAAGTGCAGAAATGTAATAAAATCCTTAAGTTTCCGGTAATTTTATTAATTAATTTTGCATAGTTTCTACATTGACCAGCAAAAATGCAAATCAGAAGGAGGCAAATGAGCCAAGTGATACGGAAAGCAGTGAGGAAGAGGCTGACGATTTTGGCCAGATGGACGAATATGAATGTAAAATCTGTTAAAATTTTGTTGATTTGCAACCCGTAAATAATTTAATATTGGCAGCTTTCTTCAACGAAGTGCAAGACAGTCTGATGAGAGGATTCAAGGAGAAAGTGAACACTGACGATCTTGTGGTTGAGATCAACTCGTCTCGGTTTGCGAACGACATCCCTGCTTCCGAGGTCAGCCAATGGGTGTCAAAGGTCATTTTTGGGCTGCCTCAGCAGGTTTCTCAGCCGGCCAAAGTTGTGCTCTCTTATTTTAAACCAATCTTTGCAAAGTACGTCTCTAATAGTGCCAAGGACCAACTCAACTGCCTCACAGCTCTGGAGGTTTTTATTTTCATTAGTTTTTGAAGCTGATAAATTTTCATAATTAAATTCAGGAGGTAACAACTGGCGCTAACAATGCCGAGGAAGCAGCTCGATTGCTCGGTCTGCTTTACAACTGGGAGATACTCGAAGAGGATCCAATCATCGAGTGGTTCGAGAATAATGCCGGGGATCAGTTAAAACAACAGGTTAGCCAGAAATTTAATTTTAACATTTTTAATTATGATTTTCTGTTCTTAGCAAAACATGAGGACCTTCATCACTTGGCTTAGGAGTGCGGAGGAGGAATCCGAAGAGTCTGATTAAGTCTTCACTAAATTTTTGTCTGTTGCAATGGCTATGTCAAAGTGACATTCTGCTTAATAAACTCCTTTATTTCAGAAGAAAAATAAATAAATTTTTTTTATTCAAGCCAAATAGCTTCCCGACGATTTATGGTTGTCTAAATTTCAACACTGTTCCCATTTTGCAATTTCTAAAATAAAATGATTATTTTAATTTTTAAATCAAAATTTATACTGCCGATGGTTCCAGAAGTTATATATTAATTTTATTGATCAATACACCTGACAAAAAACACGACTTATATACAAAACAACAGACTTTCAGGGAGCAGCTCTTAATCTTGCTTAGCGGGTTGCTTCGCCGTGCTGACTTCAGCGTAGGCCCGGTAAATGAAGAGGGCAAGGGCAGCGTGCAAAACTGCCACCGAGGTCAACGCCGACCAAACATTGCTGGCGACACTTTCACCCATGAGAACGTCAAAAAGACAATACTTGCTCACAAAAAAAGAGGCGACCGGGGCGACGATGATGAGCACGCAGTAAAAAAAGACGGTCTTGAACATCTGCCTCTCCGGAATATTGTACGTCTCCTGTTTAAAATTGAGATGTAAACAGTTGTTGACAAAAAGGCAATTTTTTTTCAATTTTTATTTTACCTGCTGAGGAGATTTCATTGTGATCGCTGGCGGGCTGAGAATCGATCGGAATGTGGTGTGCAAAATTTAGTGGCTTGTAAAGAAACTCATAGTTTCTCAGTTATCAGTGCGGTGGAAATTAGAAGATCACGAGCTCACTCTTTTGAAGAAGTTTTGTCGGAATGAAAATGGAGGCGTGGTCAGCGGGGAGCCGGCGATAAGCGTTCGCGGCAGCCGCACAGAAATCGCGCACTTGCGATTCTCGACTTTAGCTAAGAAATACACACAGTGCGCCAAGACTGTGGTGTTGAAGTGCCTAATGCACCTTTTCATTGTCACTTATCAGTTTATGTTAATGTCGTTTTTCGTTATACGTAGAACAAAAAGATAAATAATAAAAAAGGAAAAAATTATGCAAAAACTTAACTATGTATTTAAATATGAATCCATAAAAAAGTAATTAATAAAGTTTACAAAAATTCCGGACTTTTATAATTATTAACGCATTAGATTCCAATTAATATAGAGCAATCTAAAAAATATTTTCGTTTTAACTTTTTTAAGAGATAATTATGAAAATTGAAAGTATATCAATTTTTTATTTTTGCATCTTTCAATATTATTTACAAACCACTTAAATGGATAAAAAAATTGCTTGTTTTGTCCACTGAAAAGAAATTTATTTATTTATTCTCCATTCAAATTATTTTTATAGTTTTGGGTTTTTTCTGTTTAAATTTATATATTTTGAAAGCTTCCACTTTCGCGATCAATGAATAATAATAATTATTAAAAATATGGGAAACAATTTGGAAATAGTACTATGCTTATCAAAATAGGGGCAGGAGCCAGCGCAAACCATGATAATTTTAATTAATTTAATTATTTTATTGGTCTTTCGGGGGTGATCGAAGCGCAAACGCAAATAAGTTTTGGACAAATAAATGTGCCTTTGTGCCCGGATTTCCTGTATGTACGCCAATATCAGGTGCTGATCACTCAAATTTCGCGTGTGGCGTATGCGTGCGGTTGAAATTTTTATGGTGCAGTTTTATCGTGGAAATTGATCAAAGTAATTATTATCGAATTATATTATATAGTTTGGTTTTATATTTTTGACGTGTGCCAGGAAGTCTGTTGCAGGGAAAAAATAACTCGCGGTTGCTTAGAAACGTGAAAATGTATTATGATTAAATTTAAAACTGATCTTGTTTGAATACATCAGAAATAAAATAATAATTTGAATTTTCTAAACTAAAAATATATTTTCAACACTCTTCAATATTATTTTCGTTGAGAGAAAAATTACATGAGTGTCGCAAAAAATTGTAACGAATTAAAAAATCCGAACGAAATGGTAATCAATGAGAAATTCGAGAAAGTATGCAACCCGAAGACATCAGTGTCAGGCGCGTTGCATACGTAGCGCTGCTTTTGTGCATTCGCTGCAAGGCTGAGATTTATAAAATCTGTGGAGTGAAAATCCTGTGTATTTGTATTCCAATTATATATTCCACCGTGAAGGCGGGAAATGAAGTTTCGATCTTTATCACCGGAATTGCATTCCCTAAAGATTTAAAACGCATTAAAAAACAACTGCTTTAAAAAAGTGTAAAAATTAAAAATTTAAATTGAAGAAAAGGGGAGGACACGGTGTGTGTGTTGCCGGTAAAAAGTGAAAAAAAGTAACATATATAGGAGAAGTGCAGGCTGGAGGGTCGCTTACACAGCAAAAGACGAGTAGGTTGTTAAGTCGGCGGGGAGGGAGGGGGAGGGAACTCTCCACCAAGGGCCGTTTGTGTGCGACGAGCATTGCGTGCAAGCGCGAGAGGGAGAGGAAAAGAGAGGCAGCAAAACAACACTAGGAGCCGAATCGGTGCCGGACTGCGACAGCATCAAAGGAAGGCAAGCGTCACTACTGACTGCACTGGCAAAGTGAGCTGCAGTAGTTTAGTCAGTGCGAGGATTAGCGAGACGTACTCGCGGCGCCACAGCCGAGTGAGCAGCAAATTTGTCCAGAAATAGACAGGCGGCCTTCGCCAGGCGAGAAATCAGAGGTGAGTTTTGCGAAAAGCGGCGATTCGGTTTTAAAAAGACGAGGTCCTTAAAGAGACTTGGCGCAAAAGATAGGGGTGGTTTTTCGCGGGAAGAATAGCTACAGGCTCGCTGTAGAAAGTGGCGCTAGCTAGGGGCGCGCGCGTTTTAGCCTCGATGCAAACAAGTGGCTAGATTTGGCCCAACATCGATCGGTCAACGCGCCTCATAAAAAAATAAAAAAAAAAAAAATAATACAGCAAGGCTTATAAATACTTTTAGTCATTTTAAATACTGTTCTAATTACAATTGTAATAATTTTTATCAAAAAAATCAACGGGTTTGATTTAAGAAGGAAATTAATTAAACAAATATCTTTAAATATTCATTGCGAAGGCTCGGCGGCGTTTTTATTTTCGCTGCCGCTTCGGGGTGCCGCCCGCTGCATATCGATCGGAACGCACGTTTTTCTGTTAGGGGAGGACGAGGGAGAGGGGGTGCGTTTAAGGCGTCGCTCTCTCGCACCCTTTGCTTCTCATATATAATGTTTTCGCTTTTCTCGCATGTGCACGCCGAAGCCGCGCCGGCAGATTTCCGAACCAATCGTGACCGTGAACAATTCACCCGGCTCTAATTTTTTTTTCAATAAAGAGGGTTGGAGAAACATGCAACTTGCCACAAATTACATAATCTTGATTTACGCGTTTGACTCGAGCATTCGGAGGAATAATTTGAAATTTCACGCACGCTATTGCTGTTGCTTTTTTATGTTCTCCTTGCCACACCCTAAGTCATAATTTTGGAAATCTTCACTCATGCTCCTAAATGATTTTTTTTACCAAAATAAGCGTTTTTAAGTTTAAAAAATTCAATTTCTTCTTCCGCCAAAATCAACCTGAGCACACACTTTTTTAAATGCTTCCGCAAGAATTGTTCATATTCAGTAATCAAGAAGCGTTTTTTCTTATTTTTAAAGATTTAGAAATAAATTTCACAAATGATTAATAAACTGAAATTGTTTTTAACTGGTTTTTTTTTACCTCCAATCTTTGAGATGGAAAACTGAAATGATTGACTCTCTTTTCTTCTATGCTCTAAAAATTTATTATTTTCTTTAAAAATGATAAACTGAAACCGTCTAAATCAAATATTGAATTTTGCCAGCCAATTTCCTATTTTTTAAAAAATAAACATGCAAATGTTTTGAGATAGTTGAGAATAAAAACCATGAATGTCATTTGAATCTTTGTTGACTACTCTAATAATCAAAACAAAAGAAAGCTACACCCGACTCGATACATTTTGCGGGTCATTAAAATTGACTCCTATAAAATTAAGCCTTTACGCATTTAATGTTTTCCTTTCCTTCTATTCCAGTCTTATTTCGCTTCTTCGAATGATATTTTTTTTTGTCAGCTAAAATATTTTTTTACAATTTGCGACACTCTTTGTATCTAATTTGATATTGATAAATAGAACAGCATTTTTTTATTGGTGATAGGCAAATTGCGCATCAAAACGTGACAAGAATCCATAAAAATCGCAGACACTCGCAGTCCTGTTAAACTAATCTGCTCTGCATGGGATTATCAAGCATAGCGTGAATACAAAATCATTTCCAATAGTGTCAGCACGGAGTCAATTTGCATCCTTGCGCTGTTGAATATACCTTTTCTGTTCTTTTTTTCATTGGATTGCTTTAAATGCAATTTAATCCATCAAAAACAGTAAAAATACTAAATTCATTTGCTTAAAACCGCACCAACGTTTGTCAACTTAATAAGGTGATATTGTTTTGTTAATTTTTGCATTATTCCTTTAAAATTAATTTGGTATTCAAGCAGACTTCATATTTTTTTTTTCGTTTAGAAAGCTCAGTGATGCAGACTAAATGAACTTTGTCACATTTAATCTAAAAAATACCCTTTTTTATGTTCAAATCCATAGGGGTGCTTGACCTTTTCAACTATTTGGTTTGATTCCTGCAATGATGTCACGTCAAAGGCGCGTCAAATAATTCAGGCTTAAGATGGGGGTCCCCTCTTTTTTTTTTTAATTCAATGTCGCGGTGGAACAACACAAAGAAATAGCGTCCATCGTATTATCTGCCAGCATTGGGACGGTCCCTCTTAATCCTCAAACACATAATCATAGGGCTACAAGATTTCTATGTAATTACGGCTCATCCATTAATTTTTCGTTTTATTCGGTTCATTTCTCCATTTATAAATTATTTTTACAAGTAGTCAATTCGACAAACCCGCTGTAATGTATAAAAAAAACATGAGTTAAAAAAGTAAAAGAACTATCAAAAAATTAGTGCGCTTTTGATTAATAAACCTCTTGTACTCAGGTTTTTTCACATAATTATTTTTAAATTAAAAATGACATTTCTTTTGCTAATATGGTGAACTGGAGCATAATTTGCTAAATGTATCCCACGGATCGTCTCTTCAGAATTCTTTATCCAGCTAAACGCTTTTCTTCAAGCTCCCGAAGTTAAAGAAACGTACAATTCAAAAACAGTTATACTGAAAACGTGCTGGCCTTGTTGAGTAAAGACCAGGATTCTAAAGCCTTCTCAAAAACATCATTCCGACCGGTGCGTGCTTTTGCTCCACAGAGATAGATTTAACCTGCACCTTTCAAAAATTCTTCGTCGAATATACTTCTTCTCGTATATGTGAACGTTTTCTTAGTTTGATTTTTTTTTAAATGAGGAATTACTAATAATTAAACAATGCTCATGTTTTTTTTTAGACAAATTCATCATTTTGTTTTATCTATGTGCAACATCCAACCATTTTATTTTTGATGAAAATCAACTCTTATTCGTTTTTGATTGCAAAGCTCAAATTCACATTTTAGAAATGTAGAAATAAATAACGAGGAAAATAAATATTATTTCTTTTTGTTACATTTTCGTAGAAAAGAATATCAGTATAAACTGAATGCTTGAAATATTTTGATTTTTTCCATTATTTTGTATTAAAATTTCAAAATTGTGTTTCCTTTAAGGTTTAAAAGTCACGCGATTTTATTTTTAAGTGCAATTCCGCATGATTAAAAAAAATCAGAAACGGATCCGACCAATTGTGAACTTAAAAATGAATAATAACTTCTTGTGCATGTGAAAAGCCCGCATTGCTTCTTTAGCACTTATTTTTAGTGCTTTAAAATAAAGATTTGGATAACACATCATTTTTTTCTTATTATTTAACTGGACACTGGTGTCCAAACGTAGCGTGCAATTGTGTAGGTGGCAAGCATGCTGCAGAGAAATAAACAGAGGCGAGAATTAAAAATGCGACCGCGCTTGAAAAGGGCGTCTTAAGTGGGGAACAAGGTAATTTGAGGAGAAACCCGAGCACGCCGCAAAACCGTACTCGAGAGCCAACACCCGTAACGCAGTGCACGAGTAGGAATTTAAAAGCAAAAGCAGAAAAGCTGCTGAAGAAGTAGTATAAGAACAAGTTGCGGTTTGGTTGGAAGACTCAAAATTAGACATCCCGTATGACATGGGTATAATATCACGGTCTCGGCCATTAACAACATTTTTTTTTTCAAACAATAGAACTGATCAAATAAATAAAATATAGTTTCTTTTAATCTTTATTTTCTTACTGGCTCTTTAAACAAATCTCATATATGGGGTCCCTTTTCTATTAAATATTACAATTTTGAAACCATAGAAAATATTATGTTATTCATTTTAGACCAATAGTTTTTTTTTATATAATTACAAAATCATTGAGAGGGGAATAAAAATTATGTGTCATTTCATTAAGTAATTCCTAAGTATTTTCAAGAGATTCTTGAATCTAGTTTCGTAGAGGAAAATATTTTTAAGCAGCAATTGATATTTTAATTATATTGTTCCTCAATGTTTTGGTAAATATTTCCAGCTAAAATGAAACCGAAAACCATTAATTGTTTCAGATGAGTGAGATCGAGCAGGATGTGAAAAAGAGCCAGGACAAGTTGGACATCCAGGAGGAGGAGAAGCAGAAGCAGCAGGAGCCAGACGAGCCACCTGCTGAAAAACCAGACGCGCCTCCTGAGGAAGAGGCCAAAGCTGATGGGGACCAAAAAGAGGCCCCGGAAGAGGAGGCGGCCACGGTGGAAGAGGCGACCAAAAGCAAAGGAAGCCTCAAGAAAGGTCTTTCAAACATAAAGAGCAAAATCCCCCCAATCTTCAGCCGCAGCAAATCAAAGGAGCGCAAGGTCAGTTTTTTTATTTTTAATAATTTAAATTAAAATAAGGCATCCAAAGCTGGTATTTAAACTTTGGAATGGAATATGAAACCTAAGTAATTCAAAATCAAATTTTATATTTCAACAATTTACATCAAAATCAATTTAGAGGAGAAAATAAAATTATTTCTTGTATTTAAAAAAAAAAATTAATTTTGAGCTAAAATATAGGTATAGGTTTTCTTATTATAATTTTTTTTAATAAAGCAATGAGTCTGTATACGAACATTAATGGATTTATTTATTTATTGGAACTCAACTAATGGAAAAATCGATATATTGTTATAAACTGTACAGCTTTGACCCAGTATCTGAGACCAACAAGTCTTATGAATAAAAGCTGTATTTTTTTAACATAATTTGTAATCTATTGTGATTGGAACATTCAAATGTTTCCTTTATTTCAAACTTTTATTTATACCATACGATCACTTTAAGTTTGGCGTCTTCCTTATGCGTGTGTTGTTTTATTCGGAACAGGAAAAGAAAACCGAGGGAGGCGAAAACGAGGAAGATAAGCAACTCTTGCAGGGTGAGGAGGCTCCTCTGTCGCCCACAAAAACGGACGAGGCTGCCGGCGCGGAGGAGGAAGAAAAGGTGCCCGCCAAGTCTTGGTCGAAAGAAGTGCTTGCTAAAATTCCTAAGGTCAAAATGCCCTCGAACCCTTTCAAAAAGTCTGCCACGAAGGTGTGTTGAAATGAAAAAATTATTCCTCGATGGGTAAAGTTTGACCCTTTTTGTGTATTTTAAAAAGGGCTGCGAACCGGTTGAATTGGAGGAGAAAGGGGAAAAGGCAGAGGATGCTGAAAATAAAGACCAGGAGGAGGAAGAAGAAAAGAAGGAAGAGGAAGAGAAAACCGAGCAGCCGAAACCAGTGTCCAGGACCACGCAACTGCTCAAGGCCATCAGGGCGCCTCTCGAAGCTGTCTGGCCAAGGAGAAATAAGGTCAGTGTAACATTTTCTTTGTAATTAAATACAGTAACATTTATTTATTTTGGTTTTTACACTATTTAATTGATAAGATTTGGCATTGCTGAAAATTTAATTTATTTATCGACCAGTTACGAGAAGGATCACTTTTTTTGCTCTTAAATTTTTTTATATTTTTTTGAAACTTATCAAAGGATATGAGCGCGTAATGCTGACATAACGTCACGCAGCAGCGGTTGAGTAAAGTTTGGAAAATATGCAACTTGCACGACGTGACTGTCTCGATATTGCCTAAATCAAATATATTTCTATTTTTTATGAACAATTACTCACCCTCACTGTTAAACGTGTTGTTTGAAGCTAGGTTTCATTGTTCTTCAACTTTGAGTATTTGACGCGGTTTTTTAGATTCAGAAGTCAATGGTTTTATTGTAGTTAATTATTATAAACAGAAAAACAAGCAATTTAATTATTTGTGAGTTATACGCTTTATCAATCCATGAAAAATCATACATTTTAATAACGAAATAATATTTTTAATAAAACACAATAAATTTTTTATAAAGATCTTTTTCTTTAGAATAAAAAAAAAATCAATATTCAATGCGCTTCCTCTTTTTATAATGAAACCCGCTTGCAAGTTGATTTTGGCGCGCGCAAAGATGCTAGGGGTGAAATCGATAGTTGTCTGGCCTTAACTCTATAGTGCATTTTCCACACACGTACCAGACAGTCGACAAGAGGGAGGGATGCTAACCGATCAATATAAATTTTCTTTGTCAAAGCGTGTTGTATAAAAGCAAACAAAGAAGCAGGGGTTGTTTAATTACTGGAATCACATAACATGTCTGGTCTGCAGGAGAAGGACGCTGAGGCAGGTGAAACGGATCCTGAAAAGCAGAAACTTGACAGTGAAGACGTCGAGGATGGACTAGAAAAGGTGGAGCTCAATGACGTTGAGCTAGGCACTGAGGTAAATTACTTTAAAAGCATGATATTTTTTACAGTTCTCCTTACTAGATAATGACAAGGGTTTTTAACACAAATTTAAAAAAAATTATTTAAGAAGTTATTTACTTGTCATATTAATTAAATATATCTTTGGTCTCGTCTTCTAATCATTTGCATGTCTGTGTTCTAGAAAAATGAAAAGGTTGAAGAGAAAGACGCAACTGCAACCGATGAGGAGTCTCTGGTGGGCAACTTGAAGTCTACCTTTCAGCAACATCGTTTCCTCATTAGTAAGAATTCTCTATTAATATTTATACAAATATTTAAATTTTAATAATTATTTTCAGTTGGACTGATTGTTTTCTTGTCACTGCTGCTGCTACTAATCATACTGGCTGTGACTGGCCCAAGAAGACCTCGCTACAATGAAATTCTGATCAACGGCACATACGTAACCACTGTTACATCCTGCGGTCCCGTAGAAGGGTTGGTTTTTTATTATACTGAAAAAAAAAACTAAAAATTAAATTATTATTGCTTGTAGAAAACTAGATGAGGGCGAATTCACATTTAAAGGCATACCATATGCAGTGCCGCCGGTGGACAACTTGCGCTTCGCACCTGCCAAGCCGTTGCGGAGTCTGGAACAGTGTTGGAACGGAACGTTCCGCGCATGGACCCACAATAGCAGCGAGTCTGGACCGAATCAATGCTGGCAGCTCTACCGCAATGGATCTCATGATGGCGATGAAGATTGTTTGACGCTAGACGTGTACACACGTCGTGTGCGCCATGACGCCCCTCTGCCGGTCGTGGTCATCATATCTTCCGAGACCATGGTTGGTGGACACTCGTTTAGACCGGCACGTGGAATGGCTAGACAGAGAGACGTTGTCTATGTGCAGCCTCGATTCCGTCTAGGAGCCTTCGGCTTCCTTGCTTCAAGGTATATTTCAAATTATAACTTTTTGATATTAATCACAAGAATTCAAACCAAGATTTTTTTCTTTTTAATGTACAAAAAAAATTTAATATTATATAATAATTAAAAATTAAATGGATTTCAGCATAATCTCAAGCACCACCTATCCACCACACTCTGGCAATTACGCGCTCACTGACGTTATAGCTGCACTCGAGTGGGTCCAAATCAACATTGAGCACTTTGGAGGTGACCCTGATGTAAGTGATTTTATCTTCCAAATATTTCGAGCGTTTTTTTTAAATATTTTTCTTCAGGCTGTTACCGTTGTTGGACACAGAGCTGGTGCCTCCCTTGTAACGGCGCTGACTGCTCTCGGTAAGCGCAGAGAGGCGCCCATCCAAAGGCTCTTCAACCAGGTGAGTTTTTAATATTATCAGCTTAAAAATATGAATTTATGTTTTAAATTAATTAAATAGGTGTGGCTGAGCAGTGGCTCTGGAGTCCTCGCAAACCAGACGTTGAAGGATGCGGAAAGTGCTGGTCGAGAGTTTTTCAACGCAGTCGGTTGCCCTACAGCAGAGTGCGTTCGACGCCTTGATCCCGAAGACATTCTAGACCGCGTTCCTGAAGACTGGAAGAAGAACATCTGGAAGTCCGAGTTGCCCATTGGACCTCCACCAATTGACCAGCACCACTGGATTATTCAGGATGGAGTGGTGGTGCGCCAAAACCTGATGAACGCCTGGAGGGAGAACGGCCTTCCATACAAAGTCGTCTTTGGTAATTTATAAAGTTTTACCAAACCGGAACCCATTACTGAATTTCTATATTAAATAGGAACAACTGCCCATGTTGAAGCAACCAAAGAACTGCAATCAAAGAAGGATTGGACCCAGAGAGTGAACTTTGAGAACTATGTGCGCGGCTCAGTGCTGGGATCTAGCAATGTGCCGAATGGCATATTTGGCGAGGTGCTGAAGCGCTACGAACCGCCCTCATGGCCTCAGCTTGCTTCTATGATCAGTGACCTCCGCACCATTTGCCCTCTGTACCAAACTGCAAAGGAACTTGCCTCTGTAAAGTCTACAAGTAAGTTTTAAAATTTTAACAGATTTATATTCTATAATGAAGAAGTTGTATTACCCTAAAATTTTGATTTCAACCAAACCTTGTCTCATGATAATTTCTCCCTTTCAATTTGCAGCCATGAAAACCGGCAATCGTCATGCCTCGTCGGTGCACTTCTACGTTGTGACGCAAACACGCAACTCTAACTATTACGGCAACGTTGCTGACATGGGCGCCGACATTGAAGCGATTCTGGGTCTGTACGAGGCACACAGCCCTGAGGAGAAGCGATACCTCTCAGCCATGCAGAACTTCTTCTACCGCTTCGTGTGGCACCAGGAGCTCCCACCAGGTGCCTCGGGCTCGGAGCGAAGCTCCGCTCTGCCTCAAAACATCATAATGGTCGGTCAAGACGTCTCGATCAAGAGCTCTTATAACAACTGCGACTTCTGGATCCAAAGGGGGCTCACCAGCAATTATGCTCGTGTTGAGTAAAAAACAAAATAATCATACATCCTCAAATGGACCTTTTTGCGTGCCAAATTTACTCAAATGCTCGCAACGACGAATTACAAAAGAAACCACCTGGACCAAATCATGCCAAAAATATGAGCTCTCTATGAATTTTAGCAATTAATTTGTGTAAAAAGCATTTTGAATAATTGGACTTGTGTCAACTCTATTTTAAGGTTAAGAATAGCCACCTGAATTCATTTTTGAGTACTTTAAAAAGATTGTTATGATTATCGTGATTGCTTTATACCGCCTATTTATGAATGAGACTGACCTGTAAGAAAATCAATCATAGCTGTAGCAGCAAATCTCGTTCGCTTTTTAACCCCCGCGCCTCTCTCCTTTTGTAAGCTGTAAGCTCAACAAGTACTAAACAAACTTTTAACTTCCATTTAAAAACTCTTCCCCGACAAATGAAAAAAAAAACTAATTTTTACTGCTGCTCCAAGAAGCAAATGGAATTCTGCATTTAAATAACAATGCTCGTATTGCATACACTATATACATAATATTGTAGCTCATTGGTAAGCGTTAGCATTTTTACCGTGTACCATAGCCCCTTGGTGTGAATCATAATGTAAACAACACGCAGTGTGCTGGCGATTCTTTTTAAAAGTAGCAAATGAATAAGTCTTGTAACATTATTAAGAAAATAAAATGCACAAACAAGTTAATGAGTTTCATTTATAATATATTTCTCCTTTTGTACAGAGAAAATTGTTTGTTTTTTTTACATTTTTATTGAGTCAATCCTTTGAATTAGTAAATCATCAAGTATTCATCAATATAAATGATTGATTTTGAATAATAAAAAATGATTGGAATAATATATAAGTCGTTCAATAATTTTACATAGACAGATTTTCAATTGTGTCCGTTTCTTATCTACTGCGCCTTGACTATGATGTGAAAACTTTCCCAAATTTCCACGATTTAGTTTAGAAAAATCATTTATCTCGTCAAAATCACATGAATTATAAAGATTTATTTCTAACAATGAGACGCGATTTCCCTGAAATGGCACCAGCAATGGCTTAATTATTGTGGCGATTTAATTTCGCACATCAAGATCGAGCAATTTTCTCTTTACATAGCATTACCCTGTTGTTTGTTTAAATGGGAAATATTTATATAGCAGAATAAGCAAAAGGGACTTGATGAAATCAAGTTTTAACTCATAACGAGGTAGGAAACACATTTACCCCAATTTCGGAGAAATTTACAATCAATGACATCATACTGGAATGACACTTTAAAATTTAAATGCTCACTGAATTATTGCACAATAAAATATTTTGCTCGTTCCTGTATTTTGTCAGCAGTACAGAATTTTTTTTTTTGCATTGATTGATGTTTTTCGAAGTTTGCCCTTTGAGCAACTGTCGAGATGAAAAATTCTTAAGTCTACATTATTTTCACGAAATGCAAAGAAATAATGAGAAACCGCTTTCCACTGCTTTAAAGTCTTTTGGTGGATACAAGAACATCAAAGTATACATAAGTAGTTAATTACGTAAATAATTGTCTTTGGAGAATTTAAAACTCACTTAAAATTCGTCCAAGTTTGGAAGAGAAGACTTCTTACTTAGTTGTTGTTGTTGGCAAAACTATACTCGAGAAGATCAATGCTCTCGTCTGTTGGAATATAATAATTAATTTTTTTCCCGTTCCAATATTTGCATTAAATAATTCAAACTCACAGGTGTGCATAGGGGATGATTTGTGGTGCACCATCTCATTTTTGTTAATGGAGTGTGTGGTCAGGGTCGTCGTGCTACGGATTGGTGAAGCTGCGGAAAAAGTGCCGTCTCAAATAATCACGGCCAATTTTTCTTTTTGTGTCCAAATACATCCGACGAAACGTCGGCGATGGATTTAACTACATTAGAAAAATGCATCACACTAGCATTCAATACAACAAACAGGGTCTGGTGAGAGCAAATGAAAGAAGGTTTTTTCGTGATTAATACAATCACAGGATATAATTTTGTTGCTTCTTACAGCTTCATAATCTACATACAACATTGTCTACAATTACTATTTACATTAAAATAAAACCAGTTGATAGAAAAAGTGGCTACTTTTCATATAAAAAAAAACGGCTCGACATTAATGTATAACGTGGTGTGGTTAATAAATTATGGCGGCGAAATCAAAGCGTGCGAAGCGATTTGGGGGTCAAAATTCTGCGCTACTCATTGTCAGGCCACAACTGCAAAATCAAGACCAACAATTTTGAGTCTTTAAGGTAAAAATTTGGAGGCAAGGCTCAATTGGATTGAAAGACCAAAGTAAAATATAGAATAGTGGAATGCAAGAAAGTAGGAAAAGTGAAGAAAAATGAAAATCAAATTCATGCATCGTCATGCAGGCTTACATGTATTACAAGAACACCCTTATAAATTCAATTTCTCTCCCACTTGATTTGGGCAGAGGAAATTTTTTCAAGAGTCCCAATTTACATCACATCTACGAAGAACTCACAAGGATTTCCCATGGCCATTCGAAACGACTGGCGGCTGCCAGAGACTTCCTCAGGGACGTGCTGAAGCTGCCGACCACTTCCACTGCACCCTCCGCTGCCTGCACTTCCAGCCCCACTTGCTGCTCCAGCTGCTGCCGTTGAGCCGCTCTGTTCAGAGCCACTTGAACGAGACCTTCGAGAGCCAGACTCGCTTGCTGCACCTGAAGGTTAAAAAAAAAAATTACCATCAGCAACAATATTCAAGAAAGAGCAAATTTAATAATGGGGACATTTGTAAGAACGAACCTTGTTGGTGCGGAGAAGATGAGGGTAAAGGTGGAAGATTCGGCGGCATTCCTGATGCCGGAGCTCGTATGGCGGATCCTACTAAGCTCGCGGCGCCATCTGATCCACTGCTTCCTCCTGGCGGACGATAATCTTTGCTGACAACCAATTTAAAGGTTTCCAAATGCAACATACCGGAAGTGGATTTTGCAGGATGCTCCTCTTCGAAGCCGTACACACTTGGCTCGTTTGTATAATTAAAGGGCATGGGCGCATAACCTGACGCTGGGTGCGGCAAAAAGGTGCCTGCGTAAGGCATGTGCCCTCCCACACCACCCCATGGCACTGTAGAGGTTGCGCTTGGTGGCGGCAAAGGGCCGACAGACACCGACTCGTCCTCGTGTAACTTCAGCGTAGACATAGCTGTGAAATTTTTAACCACTTTAGACTGAGCTTTTGCTAAACCACAATTACGTCAAAACATTATATATATTATTGCTTAATTGAAAATTTAAAATACTTACAGCTGCATAAGTCACCAAAGACGTAGTAGCACTGCTCAGAAAAGGTGATCTTATTAACTGTGTGCCGAATGTAGCCTGCCTTGAGCATTTGGGATGCGTACTTCCGTGCATCCCGACGGTCACTGAAGCCGTCGATGTGTGTGTTTAACCAGTCAACCACATCGGCGCCTATTCACAGAATAATTAGAAAAAATGTATAAACTAATAGAAAAACGCATTACCAATAAATGCATTGGGAATTGTGATTTTCAGCCAAAGCCGGTCTCGAACCTCTAAACCTGAATCTGGCCGTGCCATAGCTCGTACAATCACTGGCATTTCCGTTCTAACAGTCAAGTGCATTTCTTCAATGGTTCCTATTGAAGGAAATTTGACATAATTCAATGAGGATAATATCTTAATAAAAAAACTAGTTTTTCAACTTCCAACAGAATTATGAAGAGATATTAAAGTAATCAAAAACTCACTTTGTTCGCAGTCTGGCATACTAGATGTAATCGAAGAACTGGTAGATGTGAGGGTGCTGACTGAAGGTGGTCTTAACGGAAAGTCTCCTGTAATTGGATTAAAAAAATTCTCTGTATGATTATCCAAATTAATCAGTTATTAAAAAACTTTGATAATTTATTTTGATTTGAACAATTCGACATACCTCTAATAGCTGCTGTGTGTGCAACCCATGCCCCAGGGTCAATTGGCCTAACTGGTTCTGTCCGTGGTATTGTAAAATAGCCTTTGGGATTTGGCTCCCAACACTTTGCCACTACCAGCTTAATTGGGCTACAAAAATAAATAAATGTTGCATTTTGATGAGTTGCACTAAAGTTACATCTGCTTACCCTGGTTTTTGCACAACTTCCCTGAGAACTCGGACAGCTTCGTCATTGCTCATGTTTTCAAAGTTGATGTCATTGACTTGCAGAATCATGTCACCAGGCTCAATGCGTCCATCCAGAGCTACCGCACCCCTGGATCAAGATTTTTGTTATTTATGTAACACAAAAGCCAACTAAACAAACCCTTTCATGATAGAGCCAACATAAATTCCACCATCACCTCCCTTGTTGCTTTGGCCAACTATGCTGATGCCGAGGAAATTAACTGCGTCCATGCTGAGCGACACTGTGATGATGTTTAGCGACATGGTCGAATCTGTGATGCTTGAAAAAGAGGACGTCCTCGACATAGGAGGCATTCTGTGCCGCCTCCGACGTTGACGACGCCTTAAATGCGCCCGGGACACACTGCTGTGCTCTATAAATAAAATAAAAAATGTGTCGAAAAGATTCAAAAGCAAAGGGAAAGAAATGTTACCTGTGGTGGTAGTTATGTGAGAGGTGGCGTCATCCTCAGAGTCAAGGCAGCTTGTGGTCTCAAGTTCTGAGCTTATCATGGACGAGGATTCGTAACCATGGCCTGAGCGCTGCTGTCTGCCTGTTTGACCGTTTGGGCGTGCTCCTTGCAAACCTTTAAAAAAAATTAAAAAAAAAATTAAGTTAAAACAGTTTAAGGGCTAATTTTTTTAGAAAATAAATTTATGATAAGGATGTGACGAGGGTTGTGACAGAAAAGCAAAACTCACCATTGTATCGAATGTATTTATCGTATTTTTCCACATGATGACGAACAGGCCGGGCGCCCCCTAATAACAAAATAAAAAAATGCTTGAACATAACGTGCAGGATTTTAAAATAATATTGGAAAAAATTAACCGTAAAAAGCAGGGTGAAGTGTGAGAGGGGGTAAAAAAAAGCATCTGCTTACCTGGCCGAGAGCTGATAATTGATTCAGTTTCTGTACATGTCGAGTCCTCCATTGTGCGAGTCGCGGCGTGTGTCATGTGAGCCATCCTAAAATTAAATTTGAAAAAGAATAATCAAGATATCGATTTTCTTTATTTAAAACATTAAAATATGTAAAATAAACTTGATATTTTAAAATAAAAGATGCTGACAAAAAAAATATGGAAAAGCCATTATTGAGTCTAATCTAAATTTTGATAGAGATGTTTGATAAGAAAGCTGATTTTAGTGTTAACCAGACAAAAGATCTGAAAAATATATTTAAAGGCGAATTTATTTCAATTTTGAAGCAATTCATCAAAATTTTTTATTCAATATTTATTTTGTTAATAAATGTTTCCATGTAAATTATAGTTTTTAATTAAGGTTGCCAATTTTATATAAATTTAGAACCTGAAATTTGAAGTCTGTGTGTCAACAACAATGCCAATGGGCTGGCGCTCCTGCTTTGGTTCCGAGTTTGCGGCACTATCTGTGCACTGAGACGCACCGTCTGAACGATCGGACACACTGCTGCCTTCTGCAGAAACCAACTGAGACACGGAAATTGTCAGTTAAACAAATAATATTACTTAAAAAAATCGTTACCCATGAGACAACCCGGCCATTGAAACAAGGCAAGTGAGAGTCATCGTCCACAATTTCTTCTTTCACGACCCTAAAATAAAATAAATTTTTTTTAATAAATTTTTCTCACAATTCGCTGCAGCAGTAAATTTTAAATAGACGTTTTTATTAGTTCAAATTAAATGAATCTCTTTATAATTTCAATGGATCAATGTATTAATTCCCGGAATTTCCCACGAGTAGACAATACACTCATATAAAATTAAAAGAATAACCCCACCAAAAAAGAAATAACAGCATTTTGGTATTTTTAATACAGATGAAGCTGTCCCGTTCAAACCCAAATCAGGAAAATTATGAGAAATGTCCAAATATGCAAAACATAAATCAATCTCGAAAATACTACGTTAAATTTCTAAATTTGCTTCAATCAAATTAGGATGATCAAATTTTTTTAGGAATCCGTGCGTGAACACGACGGAAATCAATTTATACCCGAAGTCATCGTCCATCGACTTGAAGAAGAACTTGAAGTTGGGCCGATTGAGGATGTTCTTGAAGTCGGCCAGAGTGACCCGCTCAGGCGGGATGGGCAGCTTGACCAAATACGGCGTCTCTTCATCGTCGATGTGGTAAATTATCTTCGTTTCCTCCATCACGAAGAAAAACGAGCAGGTATTGCTCGAACTCAGCACATGAACGACTAGTAAACAAGATTTATGTCAATTTTGCTCGGCACAGGAGTTACCCATGCAATATGGCCGCTTCCATGACACTAAACAGAACAAGAGAAACCATTTGTATAATTATACAAATTCTTGTCGGCGCGAAGTGAAAACGTACGGGAGAGGCGAAGGAGGAGGCTGCGATTTATCTCTCTTTGTTGCCCAAGAATCAAAAGCTCTGTTCTCCGCATACACTTGGTACAGGTAGAGGGGGTAACAAAGATTTTCTTCTGGGGGATTGAATGAGAATGCAGAGGATGGGCAACGACAATCGCCATGACAGTTATCAGATTGCGTGCAGCGCCTCTACCCTGAGGAATCACAACTAATGCAGGTTGATTTGCCCGTTTCTCTTGTGAAAGGTGCGACCGAATACCGAATACGTCATGGCTGGCGACATCAGATCTTACAATCAATTTTCGTTTATAAAATAGCCGTGGCCAAAACATTAAAAGTACAAGGTCATTTTAAAATTTTTATTTCATCGACTTTTGATTGGTAAACACAGAGGTTTGCGCTGTGACGTAAAACTCGTCTCATCTTTTCCTCTCCTCCCGTTTCTTGACCTCCCACCTTACGCTCTCGGCTCTCTCCTCTCTCCTTAACTCCTTTATTTTGTGGTAAACCCTGGACCCCGCCTGCTGGCCACCTGCGCTTCGTTTCAGATGAATCGGTCGAATCTTCTGTCGACCCGAGAGATTTGTCATCTTTGTCGAGGTAATTGATTTTCCATCACGTTGTCAACATAATTTATCATCAAATTAATTGATTTTGCAATTGAAAAAAGTTGTTTGGTAAATTGCCAGTGCCTCGTCAATTCGTTGCAATTCCAGTGTCATGAATCACTCGGACGTGTACATAAGCAAAAACAAACAAATTGATAAAGGCAGCTCATGGGCTTGTTGAGCAAGATAGCTTTTTAATTTCTCTTTTCCTCGTGTTTCAGTTGCTGAGTTATGGCTGTAGACATAAGTACGTCGAAAATACAGCAACAAATAATGTCAATGGCCGGGGGCAGCCAACGAAAGGTGGCACCTGCGGTGCCTCCAAAGCCTGCCAAGAAACCTCAACCGCAGGTATCGTATTTTAATTCCAAGACACAAACACGCAGTTTTATATTCATTCCTTGTTCTTTGTGTTAATTCTGACTTGTTTTTCTCAGGTTCCACGAAGCGAGAGTATCAAAAAGCCAGCAGAACCGTCGTACAGCACTGTCCTTCATGGACAATCTCAGGGCCAGGGCTCCACACGGCTCTATTCCAATCTGCCTCAGCAGATGGACGAGAGTTCCTTTGGTGGATCAACAGCCACCTACTGCAATCTTCCTTATAACAGTGGTAAAATCAATTGACAAAAAAAATATAAATTTATTATTTATTTTAATTTTTAACATTTCTTTGAATAAAAAATTAAAGATTCTAATTTTTATTGAAAGGTGGAGACATGGATGATCTTCCGCCGCCACCTCTGATGTCAAACTTAAGTCGCATGAATACAGCGTGTCTGCCACCACCACCTGATGATCTTTTACCTCCTGCACCTTCGTCTCCGGTTAGCTCCAGCTATTCCGAGCTGCGACGCGCACAACCCACAACGCAGCAGGTCACACAGGTTCAACTGCCTGTCGCACAGCAGGGCGCTCTTCAGCAGAACCCCTACTACCCTCAGTACAATCCTTATGCACCTGGCTCACAAGTAAGACTTGTATACAATATTTATGAATAAATTATACTTTTTTTTCGCTCTTTTCTTTCAATAATATTTTCTATTATACTCATTTTCTTTTGGGTAAACTCTTTTATTTTTTTATTTACAGACGTCCTCAACATACGAGTCCATTTATGAGCCCATCAATCCTCGACCTGCCAGTCAACTGTCGACAAACTCAAACTACTCTCTGTATGCTCCATACGTCTCAAAAACCCAGACCAAACAGCAAGTTACTGACAGTGGCAAGGAGGCTGAGGTTGACGCCCTCACAGACCTTTTATTGCAGTCGATGGACTCGGCTAACCCCGATTCAGACTTTTATGGTACACTTTAATCTGCTCTTCCTTGACTTTTAAATTTTATATTCATCAATATGAATTCTACAGGCATTTGCAGTCAGTGCAATGAGAAAGTCATTGGCGAGGGCTCTGGTTGCACAGCCATGGACAAAATCTATCACATCCGATGCTTCACATGCCATCATTGCCAAATCCCGCTGCAGGGCAAACCATTTTACGGTCTCGAGGGCAAACCCTACTGCGAGGAAGACTACCTGGTAATTTCTTTTTTTTTTTACAAAAAAGATTTAATTGTACTATTTAAATATTCATTTAAAGAAAAATATCGAATTTTGGTTTCTTTGAGCTGTATAATTGGTTATTTTAGAACACTCTGGAGAAGTGCTCTGTCTGCATGAAGCCTATCCTGGACAGAATTCTTCGAGCGACAGGAAAACCGTACCACCCTGGCTGTTTTTGCTGCGTAGTTTGTGGACAGAGTTTGGATGGCATTCCTTTTACTGTTGACGCCACCAACCAGATCCATTGCATTGAAGATTTTCACAAGTAAGACCTCAGACAGGTGTATTAACAAATCTAATTATTTTTCAACAACAGAAAATTTGCTCCTCGTTGCTGTGTGTGTCGTCTGCCGATAATGCCAGAGCCCGACGCTGAGGAAACGGTTCGGGTGGTGGCCCTTGACCGCAGTTTCCATATCAATTGCTACAAATGCGAGGTTTGTAATATTAAATTTGAACCAATCAAAAGCAACCTCAAAAATAACTTTTGTTAGGATTGTGGACTTCTTTTGTCGTCTGAAGCTGAGGGACGTGGGTGCTACCCTCTTGACGATCATGTCCTCTGCAAAGGCTGCAACGCTTCAAGAGTGCAGAGGCTTACTTCGCACATTGCCACTGAACTTTGAAAGATATTCCTCCTTAGACTCCAATGTATTGAATTTAAGATTAGTGATCAAAAGGATCTCTGTTCTATCTTTTGCATCATGGTTTAGCTTTTATTTTTGTATGGATTCTGAAATGACTCCGATTTTTTTTGTAATTCCATTTTATTTTTCATGCTACTGCAAAAACCATTCCGAAACATGCAATTTAGATTTTTTGCTTTCTCATTATATAAGAATTTTCTACGCCTGAACATATATATAGCTTAAAACATATTGTTGCTGTAGCGGAAAATAGAATGATCTCCTGGTGGGGCTTCACCCATATGTCGCATTGTTTCCGTTGGGAAAGTGGAAGGGCAATTTTCTGTGACAGCAACGATATATGAAAAACTAAAGGTTTTCCATTTTTGTGCTGCAAATCTGCTACAAATGCAATATTATGACGTTTTACTGTAAAACTTACACATAGCCCCAACACTAATTTTAAATAGACATTTAAAATATTTTTTGCGACTTCATTCAAAAAATCTGTTATTTTAATTAAGTTTTGATATTTTTTAGTTTTTTGTTGCTGAAATGAGAAAACCTGCCATACTTATTTTTGACAGCTCTGATTGAGCTATCAATTGCATTTCACCCTCCGCAGAGGTGGTATCGCATTGTTGTTGATCAATGTATTATTAAAAATGGTAATAAAAAATGAAACAAACAAAATATTTAATTACAAAAATTTTAAATTCACTCTGTAGAATGTATAGGTTGAATTGCATGATAGTCATATTTATAACTATGCAATACAAAATTTGTTAGTCTTCATCATACTTTCTTTGTAGCAATTTATTATTATTTTAAATTCTTTTATAGAACTCACTATTTTTGTATGCATGGAAATCATTGCAATTTCAATTCTAGAAAAATCATTATTTAATACAGTTAATACCATTAAATACTAAAAAAATCTGCATTTGCTTCATTTTTTTTTTTTTTTACTTTTTGGCATGTTAATATTGTTGTTTATTTGTCCAAATTGTTACATCACATTGTTTACATGCAACGATGCAACTGTTGAAAACACTTAATTGAAAAAAAGGAATTTAATACATTCTGAAAAATGATACATTCCAAATATTTATTTCCACATAATTATTTCATTTTTAGTCTGTAAATTTGCTAAAATTAACGAGTTTCGAATTTCGCGCCAGCGCCTAAATCGCCAATCCTTCTCTCTGTGCCAATCAATTTCTCAGAAAGATGCGCCATCTTTAAACATCAAAACACGCTCGGCACCGCTCAAAAAGTTTGCAACTTTGCGCTCCAAAACACGTTTTCACGTTTCGCTCTGAATTTCAGGGAATTCTGGTAGATAAAAATTCTCGTAATATTTTGCATTCACTCTTATTGTGTGGAGAAATTTCTAGAGCAATGATGCTTTAAGAAAGACACCGCGACCGTTAAGAAATGGACCCAAAAGAGGACCCTGAGGAAGTCGCCGTGTCCGACGACGAGGGAGGTTCACCGGCTTCTAATCCAGGTGACGATGATGATGATGACTTCGACCAACAGAACCCTCCTGAAGAGGAAGAAGAAGCGTCGGAGTATGAAGATGATGATGTGGAGCCGCTCGACGAAGAAGAAGACGACGTCGATGATCGTTTTTCTGCTCAAGCTCAGCCACCTTCGCAAAGCCGTAGCCCGGAGGTTGAAGTTCTGAGCGTCTTGAGTAGTGATAGCGACGAAGATGATGATGACTTGCCCCCAGCAATGTCTCATAACCGGACAATCGCTCTCAGCAGCTCGCCTATGCAGGTTTCCGACAGGACTGAGGAAGAGGATGTCAGCGGCGAGGAGGCTGAAGAAGAGGTGGACGACGAAGAAGAAATGCAGCAGGGAGGTTATGAGACAGAGGAGATGGACCCTAGTGAGGAAGAGCAAAGTGCAGACGAAGAGGCCCTGCAGATAACAGAAGAGGGCCCTGAAGATCCAGCTTCTGAAAAAGAAGAAGAGGATATTGCAGAAGCGGCTCCGAGTGAAGCTGGAGGCGACAGCAGCATTAACTACAAATTTTCCAAGCCCTTTGAGCCGACTGAGCCATTAGATTTGCCCCATTTGGACCCTTTGACACAAGACTTGATGGACTCTGTTGAAGAACTGAAGGTCCTGCCTGATAGTGTGCTCACTAAGCTCACCAACATTTGGGCTGCCAAGGACAGGGAGCTTAAAAATTTGAAAGATCAACTTTCAGGTAAAAATTCCTTAGCTATTGTAACTGAATAAAATCACATTCATACAATGAAAGATACTAAGATAATTTTTAACATTCTTAATTTTTAATATTTTTCTTTTCTTAGCTTCCGAAGATATTTCTTCCACTTCCAAGTTTGAGGAGTTAGAGTCAAATTTTGCTATTGACATGCCTCCTGTTGAGCAGACGTTGGAAGCCTTGAATGAAGCTTTATTGAAGTAAGCCATTTTTACTAATTGAATCATGCAAAAGAAATTTACTTCTTTCTTTACTTTAGGAAGCACAAAGAAGTGAAACTTATGCATTTGCAGAGAGACAGTGCCCAGTCTCGAGAAAAAGAAGTGCTTCGTCAGTTGAGGTGCAAAGACGAAGAAGTTCAACGAATTGCTATTGAAAATAAAAACCTTTCTGCTCAACTCACCTTAGCTATCACTACAAAATGTGATGCCTCTTTGAAGCTGCAAAGCATTGAAGGAAGAGAAATTGAGTTGAACAACAAGTGAGTTAAATAAATGTTTAATTTTTGATTTTTATTTTTCACTTGAACCTTATTTTAGGGAGTGGAGACTGAACCAGGAAAATGCCTCGTACAAAGCCAACCTGAAGAATGTTACTGAAAAGCTTGATAGTACAGCTCGAGAGCTAACTCAGCTGAAGCACGAAATGTCCGTCAAAGTGACAGACCTGGAAATTCTGCTGCGAGAATCTAGAAGCGAAGTTGAAAGGGCTGAATCTGCTGCAGCATCTTTGAAGGAAACTCTTGCTCAGGAAGAGCGAAGGATCGAGAGCCTTTTGGAAAAGCTCCGAGAGGCCCGGGATGCAGAAATTTCAATTCGAGAGGCTCACAACCAAGAAATAAATGCCAAAGTTCGCATTGCAAAGTTGTATGAAGGTGATTCAATAATTCAATTTTCTTTTGTAATTTTGATACTGATATTATCAATTTTAGAGCAATATAAAGAAGCAGAAAAGGTCAACTCGCAATACATTAGCACCATAAATGAACTGCAAATTACAATCAGAGAAGCTGCTGAGAAGTGTGGAGAATATGAGACTAGAGCTGAGACACAGAAAGTTGATTTTGAGAGAGAAATTGAGCAAAAGAACAAAATGATCTTTGATTTGCGCGATGAGCTGAAAAACGCCAATGCGCTTATTAAACAACTGAATGAAAGCATTATGGAGGAACAAGTTGCTGCCATTGCACCTTCTGCATCCTCGGCCAGACAAATGATTCATGCCAACCTGACCTTTACTGAGATTTATAACATGTACAAAAACAAGGAGAATGAACTTGAACTTGTGAAAGCTGAAAACGAAGAGCTTAGGGCATCCATGGCTGCAACAATGAATGAGGTAATGTTAATTAGAAGATTATTGTATTAATTAATTAAATATCTTCCTAGATCGAGGAAAAGGTTCCTTTGTTGAGCAAAGAAAGAGAAGTATTGAATATGACCATGATGGAGAATGAACGCATCGTTGGTGACTACGACAAACTTGCTCAGGAGCTTGAAGTTGTCAAAGAAGAAGCTCTACAAGCCAGAAGAAATGTAGGACTTATACAAAGGGAAAAACAAAGGATGCAAAACCAGATAGACGATCTTAGCAGACAAGTAAAAATTTGAAATTTAAAGGAAGAATGGATGAAATATAAAATGGGAATCAATTAAATTACAGGTTGTTGTGCTGTTACGAGAGGTCGAGGCACTAAACTCGAGACGTCCAACTTCACGTTCAAGCTTTTCTGAGAGCTACATGGACTATTCTAGAATGACTCCAAGTGAAATGCTTTCTCACAGGCTTGTCCCCTTCCGTGATATTGAGGAACTTCAAACAAGAAACATCGAGCTGCTGGCAGCCATTCGAGAACTGTCCAAAGAAGCTGAGGAAGAAGCCCAGTTGAAAGAAAGTGGAATGGTATGCTATAAAATTTAAGATTGATTTGTTGTGTTTATGCACTCTGATATTATTCTTAGGACATTTCGTCACTTGTAACTAAGCTTGAGAATGCTGTGACAGAATTGAATGAGATGAAAGAAAAGGAGTGCCACAACCGTCTTTTAATTGAGCAACTCACAGAGCAGAGGAATCAATTCCGAGATATATCTCAGCACGGCCGAGGTTCTCATGACGTTGGCTTGTCACCCATGAAATTTGTAAGTTGTAACATCTTAGGAAGTGCAATTAGTTTAATAAACAAAATTTTAATAGGATGCATCCCCAAGGAAGAGAGCTGGGCCACTGCCTCCTCTAAACGAGGACAAGGAGTTAAATGCTCAGCTTGTAAAGGCAAAAGACGCTTTTAATAATTTGAACAAGGCTTTTGATGCCCTTATGAAGGAGAAGACTGACGAGTCGGCATCTCTCAATAAGGAAATTGAGAAGCTGAAGGAGAAGATTGAGGAGAAAAAGTAATGATTAAAAATTCTGTTTTTGTTTTTAATTAATACTGTGTGTAGCATTGTGGTGGCTAAGCTGAATGCTTTGTGCGAGCACAAAGAAGGAAAGTTGACTTCAGCTCTAGATAAAATCAAAGACTTGACTAAACAAGGAGAAGCACTACAAGCTAAATGCAAATCTCAGGCAGAATTCCTCTCAAATGAATCAAAGGTAAATTATATAATTGAGTAGGCAGAAGTCATAATAATTTTCATGCAGAAACGCCAAGACTCGATGAATGAGCTGCACAATTTGCGTTGCTCCTTGAATCGCAAAGAGTCTGATTTGAACAAAGCAAGAGCAGAACTCGAGAATGCAAGAATGTTGGAGGAGTCTTTGAGGAAGGAATGCTCAACCTGGAAGAAATCCTATGAAGTAGATTTTCATAGCAATTAGAAGCCTTTTTAGATTAAAATATAATTTTAAATAGGAAAGAGGTTCCATTCAAGCTTCAGTTGAGCAAATGCGAGTGGCTCTTGAGAAATCAAGAACGGAAGGAAGTGAAATTCTGATCCGACAACTTGACGAAAGTAGGCTGGAAGCAGCTAGCTCGCAAAAAAGACTGCAGGAGGAAATTAAGAGATATGGTGATGAGCTGAAGCAACTGAAGTCGGCATTGGACCAGGAAAGAGCTAATGTTTTGAAAGAACAAGCCAACACTGAAGCTGCCAAGGATGAGAAACTGATTGTCCAAGCACAATTGAGTCAGGCCTTACGTGACGTTCAAGCACTCCGAGCTCACAGGAATCCGAGCGTGGATTCGTCCATACAAACTGAAGTTTTTGGTGAGTCTAAGGTCCATAAGTATGCACATCACAACAATGAAATATGATTTGATTGTTGTAATGTACATGCTTAATGCCTCTGTTGCTTTGATTGATTTACTAACTTTAAATTTGTTGTTAATTCTTCAGTTAGTGAAGAAGTGGTTAGGGAGAAGATTATGGCTCAGAGGGCGTCCGAGTACGAAGTGCTGGTGCAGTCTTTGAAACTGGAACTTGCCAGAGCTAAATCAAGTGAATTGGAATTCAAGAACATTGCTGATGCTACAGAAAAGAGTGTTGTGAATTTGAAAGAGGCTGTTTTGGCTGCTCAGTCAAATTATGAAGAATGGCAAGTAATTTCTTTGTAATGAATATCTTGTTTTATGAGAAAAATGATTACAGCAAAGCAAAATATGAAGAGAGTGAGAAATGTATGAAAGAGGTGATTGAAAATCTAGAGCGTGAGTTGTCCGAGACTACAGCCAGAGTGCAAACTGCAAGTGCTGAAGCAACTGAGCAGCTGGAAATTGTCAAGCGTGAACTTGCTGACATGAAGTCTGAGAATCAACAGTTGCAAATTGCTGTTGATGAGAGTCTGGTAAGAATAAAATTTATTTTCTTTAGAATTTGTGATTTATTGCAATTAATTTTAATAGGTGCTGAAAAGTGCATTGACTGCTGCAGAAGAAGAGTCTCGAAGAGTTGGAGAAAGATTGACTTACGAGACTGAGCAAAACATGAAAAACATGCAAATCATGGAAGATTTGAAGAACCAAATATCAATTGCAGCTTCGGAAAAAGCTGCTGTTGTGTAAGTTATTGAAGTGTTGTGTTTTTTTTTTTTTTTTTTTAATTATTTCCATTATTCATCTAAAATAGGGAAGAACTTGAACAATACAAGAAACTAGTTGCTCAATTGGAACTTGATCTAGATGACAAAGAGATGAAACTGGCAGAGGCCAGTTCAGGTCACGAGCAGGCTTTGCTGGATATCAGACAGCACAACGATGCCCTGCACAACCAGATTCAGACCATGAGTGCAGAACTCAGTGCCATCAAGCAGGGAACTTTCTCTGAGAGGAAGTCTTTGTTTGGAGAGGGTACAAGTCAACTCAACATCAGCAGGTTTGTTTTTTAATTGACAGAGGATTCAGAATTATTTCAACTATCACTATTTCATGTAGTATTTCCACTGACGATTCTCAGTCTGCTGAGCAACTGATGCAAATCATTAAGCATTTGAGAAGTGAAAAGGAATCTCTCACATTACAGTGTGATGAATTTAGATCAAAGTGGATGGAGGCAAAGGTCCGCATGGAAATCCTAGAGCAACAAGTAAAAGATTTCTTTTATCAAGTAAATTTATTAAACTTTCATTCAATCAAAGCTGGAAGAAGCCACAAGACGAGGTGCTTCTGATACTCCCGAGGGTCCCGAACTTGTTACAAGAGCCAGATATGAAGAAGTGGAGCGTAGAATTGAAACGATGAATGTCCTGAAAGAATCTGCAAACCTGAATCGAGAGGAATGTGTTGAACTTAAAAAGGATAAAGCTGAGCTTGAGCAGAGAGTCGCTTCACTCCTTCAAGAAGTAGCGGATTACCAAGCTAAAGCCAGGAGATTTGAGGAAATGGCTGGTACTTTACAGGTAACAGTAAAAGCGCTATGAAAGTATAATTTTCTTATATAAAATCCAATCACAGGCTGAGTTCAAGCTTGCAAGAGGTGAAGCAGACAGATGGAGGACTTGTGCCAATCAACTTACTGAAAAAGCCAACCAAGCCAATCCTGAGGAGCTGAAGAAACTGTTGCAAGAAAGAGAAAATTTGCAGAAGCAGTTGCAGGCGGAAAGAGAAGCCCTCAGCCGAGAACGTGAAGAGTCCAGAAAACTGCGAGTGGCCATTGCCGAGAAGGATCAGCAGCTAACAAGTGTCAGTGCAGAATGTGCACAAAGCAAGGCTAGCCTGGGAAAGGTGTCCGAGGACCACCAAAAGCTGATTACTGCCCACACAGAGCTAACTGATAAGCACAAAGATTTGACGTCCAAGGAACTGACCGTCCGTAGAATAGCTAAAAAGTACAAGACGCAGTATGACTCGCTGGTGGTTGAGGTCAAACAAAAAGATGCAGACAGAGCAGTTGCTGGCGCGGAAGAGGCAGAACAAGTCAAGGAATTGCAAGCAAAGCTGGAGGAGTCTGAAAAGAGAGTTGAGAATGCTGAGGCCACGGTTCATGAGCTAGAGGGGAAGCTGCAGGAAAACGAAGAACAGGTTTTTCTATACATTCTATATTGGCCAGTATTATATGTATTTTTTTTCAGCTTACAACTAAGGAAAATGAGCTTATTGCAAAGCAATCTGAGTTGGAAGCACAGATCACTAAAGGTGAAAAACTCAGGGACATGTTGTCTAAAGCTAGCAAGATAGCCACCGAAAAGAAATCTGTAGCCGAAAAAGCCATATCTGACAAAGAGATTTCTGAAAAAGAAGTAGCACGTGTAGCAAAAGAACTTGGTAATTATTTCATATGTTAAGTTTTATTGTGATGATGAAAAATCATTCAGACGAGGCCAAAGGAAGGATGGCAGCTCTACAGAGCAATTTTGAGGGAAAGTTTGCTCGCTTGGAGAAGGAAAAGCTTGAGTTGATGGCCCAAATGGAAGCTTTGCAAGCAGTGCAGCAACAGCCACAGCAGCAAGTGGTGGAACAACAAAGAGTTGTGGAAGAAAAACCTCAAGTAATTCAGCATCCAGAAAGCCAACAAGTAGAAAGCAATTTATTTTTAACTGCATAAATTTTATTTACCCGCAAATTTTTAGGCTTCTGCTAGTGATGGTAAGAGTTTGATGAGAACTGCCAATGTTCCTCCTCTATTTGCTTCTCAAGGTCGTGGACGTGGACAAGTAAGTCTTACAAAATCCGTGCAAAACCAAATAGCTTAGTGTAAAATTTAGTCTGCTGCCGTCACTCCAACAACACGGGGCACTCCAACGGCCCTTTTGAAGCCCATGAAGGCCGAAACTGAACAGGTGCAGGCACCTAGTGCTGCCGTCACCTTGCCAGCTAGTGCAGAGCCCAGCACATCAGGCACTAGGCCGCCTCAAACTGTCAGGGCCACACCAAGAGCTGAGACGCAGTCGACTGAAGCTTCTGGTCAGGATGGCCAAGACGATGGCCCCTCCAATGCCAATGTTCTTTTTGTGCGGCCACACGAGATCCATCCTGCTGCATCTTCCAGCCAAGTGCCTACAGCAGGACAGGCGCCCTCCAGCAGCCAAGTCAGCCTGAAGAGGGTTCGGGATGGAGAGGCCCCATCCCTTGAGGTGGAAGAGCCAAGGGTTTGTTCAGAATCAGTTTGCTTTTATTCAATTAATTTATTTTATGGTCATTTTTCTTCAGCAGAGCAAGCAAATGAAGAATGACAGTTCTTTGGCCAGTGTTGAAGTAGAGGAAGATGAGGAGGCAAGTTCTGCTCTGGAATCACAAGCTGAGGAAGATATCGCACTGGCTGTGTCAGACGATGAGGAGGAGGAGCAGGAAGAGATGATTGAACAAGTGGAAGAAATCGAGGTTGAAAAGCAGGAGGAAGAAATCATGGCTGAGGAAGAAGAGGAAAATGATGAAGATGACGACGACGAGGATGAGGAGGATGAAGATGATCAAGCGGAGAGCATGGAAGACCAAAATGAAGATGATGATAACCCTCCTGAGGGCGACGGAGGATCTCAAGAATTTGAAGAGGTAATATTTAGCCTTATTTGATGCAAAGCGAGTCTTGAAATTTCTCTTACAGGAGGCTGAAGAGGGAGATGAGGGAAATGCTGATGACGTCATATTGACTGGTGAGGACCAAGACCTGGAAACCCAAGAAGGGCAAGAAGAGCAACTTGCTGAGGGAGAGAACGATGATGAAAACGAAGTTCTCATCCTAGGTTCTTAATTATTCTGATTTTTGTTTTCTAACAAATGGTTGATTGCACTTAACAATGTCTTGAAATATGCAAATAATACTGATTTCTGTTGCACTCAAATATATTTTCCCAATTATGACGTTATTTTTTTTATTGTTTCCTCTTTTTTTTTGCTTGCTTTGGTGAAATTGGTTGTTATGGATTGGCTTTATCATAGGTTAGTGAGTTACCTAAAGATGTTGTTCACATTGAACTCTATTTAATTTTAGACGACGATGATGAGGACGAGTCTGAACCTACTCAACAAAATCTGGAAGCTCAGCCTTCTGAGCAGCAGCCCACTCATCAAGTTGAGGCTTCCTCCAGTTCAAGTGTAGTTCACGAGCCTCCATCAAGAAGCATGCAGTACAGACCTCCACCTCCAAGCCAAGCTCAGCTTTCATTGGTTAGCAAAAAATTTGAAACCTAAAACTTTAATATTGATAATTTTTTTAGCCTCAGCACCAAGGCTACGAAGAAGTGGGAGATTTTGGTATTGTGCCATCCACGCCAACCCTGTTTGCAAGACAGAATGTATTTAGCGACTCAGTCAGCTCGGCTCCTCAAGTTCCTCAAGTCACCCAGAGCAGATTGACGGCTTCTCAAGAACAATCCTCCCATGCAGGTAGTGATGAATAATTCATGTCAATTTGATCAATATTGTTAAATTTGCAAAATAATTTCAGTCTCCACGCTGCAGTCGGACAGACTTGAAGCAGGGGACGACCAGAGCACTGGGCGCAGTGTTCCAACAACACCTCTGCTATCTTCGCCACAAGAAACCTTGTCTGCTGGAGCTACTGCTGGACAAGGTGAAGTCGAGCTGGAAGACGACCCAGCAGATAGTGATCTGGGTGACGTTCCAAGCTCTAGTTCGACGGTTCCCACAATTCACATCAGCCCTGCTCAAGGCGAAGAATCTTTCCAACAAGGTTTGTGTTTTGCCTGGTTTTCATTTAAATGATGATCGAATAACAACCATTTTGCAGAGCAAGCCTCTCCCGCCTCATTTGCCAGAGGAAACCGAGCGCGTCGTTCTGGAGGTAACTTTGGTCCTGGACGAGCGCGATTGACGAGACCAACGCCAATTGTGTGGGGTCAGCCAGAGGAGCAGCCACAACCACCACAGCAACTGACAACTCGAGGAAGAATGACAACCGGCGCTCGGAGATCAAGACCTTCACGCTCCAATCGGGGAGGCAACCCTTTCCAACCCTTAGACTTTATGTAATTTTTTTATTATTCCATGAAAAATAGTATGGACTGTAAAATAAAAATTTTGTTCTTTATTTTAAGATGAATGCGAGTATTTCAATCAAGGTATAACTAAAACAAAGGAGGTACAGTTAACATTTATTGATAAAGGACTACAATTTTACAGAGTAATAAAATTCTTGAGTTTATTCTACCAAGGGAAATCTTTAAAATGTAAGAAGGTATTTAGAGAAAAATGCTCAAGGTGTGATTACACATGTACAAAGCTAAACTTTCATACTTAATAAGGAGGGAATTCTGGGTCATTCTCCTCTCCTTCATCGTCTCCGTCATCATCGGCAGCAACTGAAAATAATTAAAATTAGAGCACGACTGAAAATGACAAGTTTACCCTGTAACTTACCAGCATCTTTTCTCTTTCGCCCGTAAGCCCTCTTTGATGTCTGCGGAGGCAAGTCAGTTTCTCCGTGCACTAAACTGTTGCGGTACATCAAAAGCGGTTGCCAGTCCTCTCCCCTACTCGAAGGCATACCAGCCGCAATTCTGCGGTCCAGGTAGTTCAGCCTGGTCGAAAAAAAGAATGTATTCTAAGAAATGTGTTCTTTGGTAAAAACCTACACAACGCGCTTGTCTTGCTTCAGCAATTTGTTGGTGAACTCAGTCAAAATCTCGAGGAATGGCAGATTGGGCGGTGGACCAGTCGGGTCCATGGCATTCTCCAACGGGTTAACGGCAAAGAGAATTCCCTCTCTATGCAGCGCTGTGATGGCTTCCCTGTTACGAACCGCATCCAAGCCAAAGGACAATGCAAATCTTTTAGCCAATTCCTGCAGGAATTAATGTTGTTGTTTTAATAAAAGTATTATTAAAAGGTACAAAATTTTACTTTCAAACTGATGAATTCCTCTCCTTGGCGATTGACCCGCACACCATCCCTGTGTATGTCTCTAAAGAGCATTGTCAGTGATGCAGCCATTGTACGGGCGCAGTTGACTTTGTTGATCTCACGCGCCTTGCCCAGAGTTGACTTGATAATGTCACCATAATCATTGTAATACTAAGAAAAAAAGCAAAGATCAATATTTTTGAAAAAAAAATTTCTTCAAAAACTTACTCTCACATAGTGCTTGAATACATCAGCTGCAACTTGTGTAGGCATGACATTGTACACAACCAGCTTGCAAAACGATGCCAGGAAATTACGACGCTTGTGCAGCTCCTCAATTTTTGTGTGCTCGTCAGGGTCTGATAATGATTTAATGTTCGTTAAAGAGCAAAAATTAACAGGTAAAAATAAATTACCAATTTCCTCATCAATGAACACGTAGCTCTGGATAAAGTCGTTCAGCATCTGCTGGAGTGACCTGTCCGGTTCATACACTAGTGACAGCAGAGTGGAATTGCTCCCGAGCTGGCCGCAGAAGAGGATGAGAAAGTCGCAGATGGTGATGTACGCTTCCTCCTTGAAAAGCTGCACTGGAGACATGAGGAGCATCTCCTTCATCGTGTCAATAAACTGGTTGTTGCGGCTCTTCAGGTTTTCCACCTCCTGGGCAACAGTTGTGTTTGTGGCGGTGGTCGAACCACGCTCCAGCATGTCCTCCAGCTGGCGCAGGCCCCACAGAATGGAGAAGAAGGCAGCAGACATGCAGTACTTGACAGACTGAGAAAAATAAATTTTATCGATTTCAAGACTAATTGATAGTGAACATTACCTCGTCTGGGTATATTTTGTTGCCATCCTTGGCTTTTTGGATGCATTCGTACAGCAAATCGTAAATGCGCCAGGCGCCCATGTTGTGACAAGCATAGAAAATAGACACCTTCTTCAAACTCTGCACCAAACTGAACGTTTCGTCCTCGTCGGGTTCCTCGTCCTAAAGTTGCATTTCGTTTGTTTATAATTTTACATTAAACATTTAAAACTAACCCCTTCAATGAGAGAATTGTATTCGTCAAGAGACTCCTTGAATTTGTTGACAATCATGTCAATCAAAGTGCTCCTGGCCACATCACAACGAGTATAGATGGCCAAGTTCTCGCAGCACAGAGTTTCCAGAGTTTTCGAGCATGATTCAAGCACCTCAGTGTCTGTGTGGCGCTCAACCAGGTCTTGGATTATCCGCAGCAGTGAATCCAAGCTCTAAAAAAATTATCAAAAAATATTAAATTTATTTAAAAATCGTTTTAAATACCTTTTCTTGACGGGATGAGACGTAAACGTCAAGGTCGAAGTGCTGAGGAATGCTCATCAGGTTGTTAATCTTGTCAGGATCAGCACTGTACTTTGCCAACAAAAGAGGCAGGGTTGGGATGAAATGCTCCGTAAGCTTGGCTCTGTCGTCATTCACTTGTTTGACTTCTTTGGCAGAGAGAATCTGTACAAATAAATTATGAATCCATTAATTTTAGTATATTTCATTTTTGTACTTTTCTCGTCGGTCCTCTACCAACGGGTGGCTCTCCAGTGGCAGCCTGTCTGATGCAGCAGCTCATGATTTCGATGAGACTCGTTTCCTGCCTGTCGTCTAAAGGTTCCTCCTCCATTCCTGGCTCTTCTAACAGCAAGTCAGTCATGCACTCCCAGTCTTTCATCATTTCGTTCGACTCGATCAAAGAATCAACCAAGTAAGCTCCGTGCTCATGCAGTTCGGACTCGATAAAGAACTGGACAAGATCTCTGATGAGGGGCGTGTTTGGCAGACGGCGCTTGCCACGTCTGGTGCGTTGTCCAGTCTGCGTGTCTTCGTCTGGGACAAAGAGTCGCTCATTCAAAAACTCTCCTGCAGCCTGGGCGACAGCACGATGAGACGAGTAGACCAACTCGTAAACGTGCTCGCAATCCTTGTCAGAGAGAATGTCACGATGGTGTCTGAAGAGAATAATTTATGTTATTCACGAGTAATATTTTGATGATAAATAATTACTTAAGAATGCTGATAACCAAGCGAACAGCTTGCACGGCCACGTCGTATTCCTTGTCCAGAGTCATGGCTACAATTCGGTCTTTAAATTTGCTGGTAAACAATTCCAGCTTTCCTTTCAGCTCGTCAGATGCGTAAAGAGGTTGAAGAGCCTTTTTATAAGAAAAATACAAATTAGTTGTAATAAATTTTTATTTAAATTTTTTACCTGAAGGCACTTCAAGCGGACCTCTCCGCACTTGTCATGAAGAGTCCAGCCTATGTACTTCAAGTACGAATCATCCAAGAAGTTGTTGTGGAACTTCTTCATCCATATTCCAATCTCAGCCATGCAAATAGCTCTTATTTCAGGAAGGGTGTCCCTATGAAATAATGAATAATTTAGACCAAACTAAAAATAAGACTTGAGAACATAAAAAAAAATGCTTAGTTTTGAAACTTTTTTACCTGTATCTGTGTACAAACACAGACTTGAACATGTACGTGAGCATGTTCTTGATTTCATCCATGTTCTCCTCAAGCTCCTGTCGCTTGCTCATCAGAGTTTCCAGACGGTCGCTGGCTCTCTTATCTCTGGCCTTTTGACGCTCAGCCTCGTACTGTCTCTGCGTGTTGTCCAAGTTTACAGACACAGTCAGAGCAACGTCCACCAAGGCCGTCATGAGTTTCATTGCTGCACACAAGAAAAAGTAATTTAAGATTGTGAGCTTGCTAATCAGTTTGAATGACCCACCAGCAAGCGTTGCTGTGTGACGGAAAGCTCGCACTTGGGAGTCGGACAAGCCAGTCAGCAGAGAGATTACATTGTCCATAAGGTACTGGTCATAGATAATCGAGTACTGGCACTGCTTGACAAGCAGCTGCACAAACTCGCAGAAGTTGGCTTTGAACTTTTTCCACTGCTGCCCAGTCATTGTTAAAGGGTATTCACCACTTTCCTGAAGAATTACATGGCAATTAATATTATTTTAAAGGAACAATTTTAAGATGTAGTTGAAAAAGTTAAATTTTAAGCATTAATAATTACATGTAAGCAATATAAATAGATTTTAAATAGCTTATTTTTTAATCACCTCGTCAAACTCTTCAGTCATTTTCCTAATGACCTTAGCATGTTCCATCTCCTCCTGCATTTCCTCTGTGATCTTTCCCTTACAACCAGAGGCGTTGATGAAGAACTGCATCAGGGAAAGCAGAGCAGATCCTCTCTCGGTCTTGTACCTTTCGATCCAATCGTCCACGACCTGCTGCAGAGACAAGCGGCCGCTCTTGATGATCGAGTACAAACTGTTCTCGTCATCAAGTCCGGTTTCGTTTGCTGGTCGTCGACCTGGCTTCCTGCCTGGAGTGCCTCCAGTGGTGCCCCTACCAACGCTGGAAGAGCCACCTCGACTACTGTAGCTTCCCCTAGGACGCCCTCGTCCTCTGGTGGTCTTCGGGATGGGCGGAGAAGCAGCCTGGGGTTGTTCGAATTGGTGCTGAGGCTGAGTCTCGTAAGCAGAAAAGTTCTGCATGGGCTGAGCGTACGAAGTCGAAGGTTGGTTGTAGCTCTGCTGCAACTGGCTGCTCGTGTCGAACTGAGAGGAATCGCCACCACCATAGACGGTGTCCGAACTGTAAGAAAATTTATTTGGTTTTTTGAATCATAAAATTTGCTTAATGAATCCAACCCGTGGCTGCCGTGTGACATTGGGGTGGGTGGCTGGGGAGTGTAGGCCTGGTAGGCGTTGTAGGATTCGTGCATGTCGCTGGCCGAAACGTCCATCGGAGTCATAGGAGTCATCGGATTGTCATATTCCGGTGGAGGATCATCCATCCGGATTCTCTTGCCGCCTCGGCGCTGCATCTTCACTCTAAGGCAAGATTAAACTGAAGTTAAAAGGTAAATTTTTACATTATTTAAAGAAAGTGATATTCACTATTCAATTTTATCTCATAAATTTTACCTTTGAAGCAAAGCAGGCACCAAAAAAGACAGGAACGTCCGAGAAATCGACGCAAGTTTTGCGGGCAAATTGGGTGTACACAACAGGGACGCCGAAAATGGATGTTCCCGCCCTCTGTTGGTGGTTTCCGAACTTCCATTTTTTATAATTTTTTGGAAATATTATCCTGGCTGTATTAAATGTATATTATTACGCCACGGCATTCGCATTATTAGCACAAAAAAATAATAATAATAAAAATTCGTTTTTAAATTCAAATTTATTTCATTAAAACACAAAATTTTTTTGCCGGTATTTTTGACAAGTTCGCTGCAACTGCTAAAAAGTTCAAGCGCACCTCCGACCTGGAGTTGTGCTCTAGTAAGGAGAGTAAAAGGTACATAGAGGAGGCGCGGAGAGGAGGAGCCTCCTATATTGTTAAACTGGTCCAGAGCCAATCAGCGAGCTGGTCTCCTAGGAGGTAGCCTCCCTTCCGCATCTCCTCTAAAATTTTACCCTCCTTGGGACAACAGCGCCATAATTTAAATTTAAGAGAGAAAACAAAGAAAAACGTGTTGTTTTCATGCCGGGTCGAGGAATTTTTTAAGATTTTGATCTTAGAAGATCATAAAATTAGACCAAAAGTTGTTTAAAAGCTACTCAAACAATAGCAATTCAGCCCCGTTCTTATGTTACACGGCTTCCGTGACTAAGAATTGAAATGGAAGGGACAGAAGATGATGGCCAAGGTTATGGTGAGCGAGTTGAAAAGTTGAATTAAAAAAGTTATTAAATTGTCCTGTTCTGCTAACAAAAGGGATTCTTGATGTTAAACTGGCAGAAACTGAAGAAGACGAACGGATCGCTAGTCTGAGGAACCACATTGAAGATTTGCTGGAGAGAAATTTGAAAAGTCAGAAGGATTTTGATGCGTTGAAATCAAAGTATGAGAGGTAAAAAATGGTTCCAAAAATTATTTTTGTTCATAAAATAATTGAAAAATTTTCATACGTTTTTCAATTTAGCCGAGAAAAGGAACTGAGTGCTAGCAATGGGCAAAAATATGATGCCCTTGCAAAGGTGGCCGAGCTGACGGCTCTCCTGCACCAGAGGGATGATGCAGTGAAAAACTTGAAGACTGACGTGGACATGTTGGGAGCCCAATTGGCTGAAGCTTCGAGGGCAAAGAACAATGCCCTCCTCAAGTTAGACAATATATCAAGTAGAGAGGAGTCTCTCGAGAACAGGTAATTTTCTGTCTTTATAAGTAATTCTAATAGTAAAAATGATATACTTTTTTTAATCAGAAAAAGAATGATGGAGCAGGAAATGGAACTTCTGCGAGGACAAATTCGCAGCTACGAACAGAGAGTTGAGCGTCAGGAGGCAGAACTTGTAGACGCAACATCTACGTCCAGAGTCGTCCAGCTTGAAAGCCAATTGCAGAGGCTCATTGATGAGGTTGAATTTTAATGAAAAAAATTAATTTCTTTTAAGCAATGTGATGAATAATTCCTGAACAGCTCGCTGCTCGAGACCAAACTGCTGGACGTCTGAGAAACCAGCTGAAAGAGGAGCAGCAAAAAATATCCAAACTTGAAGAACGGCTCGAGCTGACCAGACTCAAGGAGGAACAAATGCAGATTATTCACAAGAAAGAACTTGAAGCGCAGATGAATGTTTCCCGCATTGCTGAAGGTGCTCACCAAATTATTCACATTGTTTTGAGCTTAATATCCACGGTATTTTTTAGAAAAATTCAAGGAATCTGAGGCCATGCTGCAGCAGTATCTGTTGAAGATCAAAGAAATTCAAACTGAACTCGACATTAAGTCCATTCCTGGAGATGCTGAGAGAAAAGCATTGGAGGAAATCAACCGCCTCAAGTCAGAGCTTGGCGCCAGAGATGCAAAAATTCTAGATTTGGACACATCTGTGGCCACGCTTGAAAGAGAACTGCAGAACATAAAGAAAGGTGAATAGCTACTGAAATAATTTAATCAATGCATAAATCTTTTTTTTAATATTATTTTTAGAAAATGTCGAGCAATACATGCAAAAGCTATTCCCATCTGCCTCTGTTGTCAGCCAACATTTGCAAGGTGATTTAAGCCTCACAGAGATTTACAAAAGGTACTCAAACACTGTTGAAGAACTCAATAAAACCAAATATGAGAGAGACTTGCTGGATGTAAAACTCAAAGGCTCAATTGAAGAGGTAATAGAATTAGTTTGACTAGATGAGCATAAATTTATTTAATTTTTTTATTCTTTTAGTTAAACGTCAATGCTGAGGCCATGTCAAAATGCCAATCTCGTCTTACGGAGGTAGAGCAGTTAGTCCAAAAGCTCACAACTGAAAACCAGAGGCTCTCGGTTGAATATGAAAATAAGAAGCTTGCTGCAAAGGAATCTGCTCGAAGTGCCAACCAGCACGCAGTCGACAAAGGACGTCTCAAGCTGCAGAACGATGATCTGAGAAAGCAGGTGATTCGACTAGTACAGGAGATTGCCGTTCTGAAGTCTGGGAATCCTGAAAACATGAGTGACGAGGACCAGTTGGTTCTCTTCAGAAGTGTTGAAGAACTGCAACACAAGAACATCGAACTGCTCTCTTTGGTGAGGGAACTGCAGATCAAAACGGAAAACGCTGAAAAGGCTTACGCTGAAGTGGAGAAGGTTGCCAGTTGCAACGAAAGACTTGAAGAACTCGTTGAACAGGTCAAGAGATACGAGGAGAGGGACACAGCAAAGTCGGAAATGGTGAAACTGCTCATTCGGCAGCGAGATCATTTTGAAGAAATGTCCCAAATGGCAATCAGAAATGCCGAGGAGAAGGTGCAAGAAATGCGGAAGAGCATGACTCCTGTAAAGAGCGTGCAGGATATGGATGTCGACTCCTCTGCTCCATCCCCATCAAGTGAAGAATCTCAACCAGTAAATTCTCAGCCTGAGAGTAGAGTTTTGTCACCCCGCACTCCAGCACCAGGTAAATTAATATGGCTTCTTTTGAAAGCTAAATTTTTGATCAAAATTTGTATTTAATTTGCAGTTCAGAGACAGCCTTTTTATCAGCAGAGAAGTATGTCTCTGAATTCTCAGCAAAGAATGAACAGACCACAGATGGGATCACCTCGGTTCTCTCCTTACAACACGCCTCCTGCCCCATCAAGAGCTTACTTGGATGGACTTCAGGCCCGACTCAAAAAATGTCAAGAGGAGCTGGACAGCACTACGAAAAATTTTGCCGAATACAGGGAAAACTCTAAGAAAAACATGGACATGGTGATTGATGACATGGAAAAGATGCGCTCTGATTTGCACGACGTGAAACTCGAAAAGGCTAATCTGAGGGCCATGTTCGACACGAGCAAGGACAAACTAGCCAGCATGAAGAACATAATGGACGGACAACAACGGCAGTTGGACGCTGTGCAGAGAATGCGAGACATCCAGGACCAGATCATCAGAAAGCACGAGAAATCGGTGGTCGAGCTGAACAAAGAGATTGTTACCACGTACGCCAAGCTCTCTAGCACTGAAGGACTGCTGGAAAGAGCCAATGCTGAGATCCGTCGACTCAGGGTAAGCGAAACCTCTGCCAGAACTGAGTGCGAGTCACTGAGGGCGTCAACGGCCAATCAGAATTTGGTGTACCTCGGCGCCCAAGAGTTGAAGGCGTGCAGACAGCGGGCAGAGGCTGAGGACAGTCTGATATTGTCCAATCAACTCCAAGCGGTGCAGAACGAGAACAGGGACTTGAAACAGAGACTCGAGACAGGTCATGTGCATCTCAACGACGAAATAAACAATCTCAAAGCCTGCCTCAACAGGGATCAAGCCCTGCTACAAGGCGCCCTTGCTGAAAAAGCCAGTGCCCAAGCCGAGTGCGCTCGGGCCACTGAACTTCTTGCCCAAGCGCAAAGAGACGTCCTCGTTTTGAGAACAAACAAAAATCCGACCGTCGCTGCCGAGGCCCAGACGGACGCTGAGTTGGATCTGACAGAGAAAGTGGCCACGCTGGAGGAACATCTGAATTTGGCAGAGGAAGGAAAAAGAACTGCCGAAGCGGAGATAGTAGATCTCACTGGAAAACTGGCCAGCGCAATGGACGCTTTGGCCCAGACACAGAAACTCTGCAATGAACTGCAGCAAAAATGTAATGCTGTTCATGATCTGGCCGAGGAAGATAAAAATGCGGCCAAACAAAAGTTGCACGCCCTGGAAGGTGAACTATCCGTGGCGAGAGAGGAACTGTCTGTGGCCAAAGAACAACTTTGTCGTGCTGAGAAGCAGATTGAGACTCTTCGAGCGGAGCTTGTCGAAGCAAGCAGGCAGCACGCCATCGCCACCGTAGGTCTGGAGACGGAGGAAGCCATCAATAAGGTAACAAACGAATTGGCTGCCTTGAAAGAAAAGCAGGAGAGATGCGAAGAGACTCTGGAGAGGGAGAAGGAACAGCACAAGTTGGACTTGCAAGCTTTAGCCATCACCAGAAAACAATTGGTTGCGTCGGAGAAGAGCGTTCTCGAGTTGAAGGAAAGGATTCTTTGTCTGGAGGGAGAGGTGCAGATGGCCAAGAACAGCTTTGAGAACGCCAAGTCGATGGCCAGTGTTGTTTCGGGCGATCGAAGTGATCTCGTCCAGGAGCTCAAAGCGCACAACGCGGTCCTCCACGAGCAACTGCAGCAGTTTATGCAACAGAGCGCGGGGCATCCTCTGAACCTGAGCGGCTCGTTCTCTGAAGAAGACACTCCTGAGCCATTGGTTCAGGTAATGAAACACCTTCGCCGTGAGCGGGACATGGCACAGTCGAAGGCGGACGCACTGGAGGCGAAGGCGGCCAACCTCAGGCTGCAAATAGACACGCTGGAGCGGAAACTGGAGGAGGCCAATGAAGACATGAAAAGGAAAAGGGAGGAGGAGACGGGTCAACTGATGACCTCCATTCCGCAGAGCAGGTACGAGGAGCTGTTGAGGCAGTCGGACACCCTAAATGCGCTCACAGACTCAAGCATCGTGCAAAGACAAAAGAACGACGCTCTGTCCAAGGAAAATGCAGAGCTGAAACCTAAATTGAAGGCGGCCCAGGAGGAGATTGAGAGTCTCAAGAATAGGAACAATCTGTTCCAAGAGAAGATTGTGGCCGAAGAGGAGAACTCGAAGGAGCTCTTGGAAAAACACAGACTAGAGACGAACAGGGCAAATCTGGCCGAGTCGAAGCTGAGGGAGTTGGAGCAAAAGTTGAATACGTCCGGATCGTCACAGCAAAACATGACCGCAGAAATTTCAAACCTGAAAGGACGCATCACCAACTTGGCTCAGGAAATGCAGAAGAAGATCGTTGAGAATAAGAAAGTCTCGCTTGAGAGGGACAACTTGCAGAAGCAATTGGATGCGGAGAAAAGTTCGGCCAGCAAAATTGCCCAAGAGTTGGCTCAAGAAAAGACGAACGTGACCTCCAAATCAGCAGAAGTGGAACAGCTGAAGAAAAGTTTGGACGAGTCAAAGAAAGAGGCTTCAGCTAAGGTCATCGAGGTGACTGCAACAGCAACTAAAATCAAAGAAGCTCTGACCAACAAGGAAAAAGAGTTCGAAGATTTGAACAACAAACACTGCAAGGTACTTAAATTATTATTCAAAAATAATATTTTGATAATGTAATTTTTTCAGAAACATAAAATAACATTAAAAATTATTATTTTTAGGTTCGTGCCATAGCAAAGAAGTACAAAGATCAGTATGATGCCTTGGCTGCCGACTCGAAGAGCAAAGCTGATGCAGTCGCTCTGACTGGAGCTCAAGAACAGGCTAAAATCCAAGAGATGGAGGCTAAGGTTGCAGAGATGCAAACGCGTCTGGCAGAAGCAGAGACTAAATCAACGGAAACAGAAAGTGAGCTGCAGAAACTCAATGAAAGTCTTGAGGTTATGACCAAGCAGGTTCGTGAATGAAAACTTTGCAAGGGTAAACATAAGAATTATATGTCAAAATTTACAGCTTGAAGAAAAGGCCACGCTTTTGGAGCAAGAGCAAAAAACCAGTTCTGAGAGGCAGAACCGAATTAAAACCGTCATTGCGCAAGCCAGAACAAAAATCAAAGAGCAAGCTGACCTGCTTGCCAAGAAGGAAGCTGCCATAAAAGAAAATTTAGAAAAGATCAAAGAAATGGAGAGTGTCGTCCAAGCTGCCAGCAATGAAGGTAAAAAGAAGTGATAAAAAATTATGAGGATATTCATTTTCTTTTCTGAACAAGAATCTGTGATTTCCCAACTGAGGAAAGAGAATGCGGAGCTGAAGGCTTTGATGGAGCAGACCAAGCAGGAATCAAAAGCTTCCAAACCCACAGCTGGACCATCAGGCACCACTCCGTCCGTGAAAATTCGACCAATGGCTTCTCAAGCTCCAAAAGTCAAGCCTCAAACTGTAATTTAAGAATAGATGATATTTCAGTATGAAATAAATTTAAATTTTCAGTCTGTCGCTGTCATTCCGACCACTAGAGCTGCACCAACTGCTCGACTCCGCCCTATGGTGAACACTCCAGTTCGCAACGTAGCTGTTCTTGCTCCTAGCCCTCAAGATCTTCCTTCAACCAGTGTCACTCCAATCCAGGGCACACCTCGCTCTCAACCCTCAGTCATAAGAGTGGCCCCAAGAGAAGAGCATTCCAGTGATTCATCTACAAGCCTGGATGAGACTGGAGCTCCGTCAACCAGCACTAATGTCTTGCTCGTGCGACCTAATGAGGTGCACCCACCAGTGTACGGCACTCAGCCCTCCACCTCCAGTGGTCCTGTAAGACTTTCTCTATCCCTGAAGAGATCCAGAGAACCAGAGACTGCAACTGCTGCTCCTGAAGAACCTCAAGTAAAATTTATTTTAATCAAACTTATTTCTTTAACATAGGTAAATATTCAGGCAAAACATCTTCATACTGAATCATCTGAAGAGGTTGAAGAAGCTTCTGTGGACCAAGAGGAACAAGAAGAAGTGGTTGAAGAACCCAGCGCCAATGCTGGAGGCACTGAAGCAGAGGAAAGCGAGGAGGCCATTAATGATGAACTCGAGGAAATGGCTGTAAGATTGATTTCAGTCCTCAGATTCATTAAGTTTCTGTTGATAATATTGAAATTAAATTTAGCTCCAAGCCGAGGAAGATGAAGATGAACAAGAGGAGCCTCTGGTAGATGACATTGAAGTTCAGCAAGAGCTTGCCGAAGAGCCTGAAGAGGCTGCTGAAGACGAGGAGGCTCAAGCTGGTATATTTTTTGCAATTATTATCATTAACGCCAATAAATATTGCAATCTTTTTTGTTGCAGAGGAAGCTGGGGAAAGTGACGGTGGTGCAGCTCAAGCCTCTGCCGATACTGAACGCCCACTCCAAATTGACCTGGTTCCGCAGGCAGCTCAGGCCCGTGCAAACTTCATGCTGGTCAGTTCTTTGTCTGATGCTAGTGATGAATGGTGTCCCCATGCTAGCTTGACGGACCCCTTAGCAATCACCCAAAATGACGAGTGCAGAAGCAACGAAGACTCTGACTCGACTTTCTTTGATGATTTCCATGATTACATCCCATCTGACTAGCACTGCTGTTCCCAATCTGTATTTTCTGTTCATATTCTGCCTTATTTGTAATCATGGCTTTTACTGTAACCACAGGTTTTGGGAATGAAATGCACGTTTTCCAATAATTTCCAAAGCTTTATTTCTTTTGAATGTTTCCTTTCTTTCCTTTGGTTACCCCTCATATGACTGGTATTCAAACTGGACAAGACGAATGCTTTGTTTTATTGATTTTTTAAAATTATTGTTGATTTATTTTGAGCACTGTTTAGACGTTTGCTTTTTTTGTACCAATTCCAGCCGTTGTTACAACAAGGCTATGAGGAGGTTGGCGATTTTGGAATCGTCCCCTCAACGCCGACACTCTTTGTTCCGCAACGCCAAAGTGGTTTCGGTGAAGTAGTTAGCTCACCACACGTTCCACAGGGCCGTCACTTTACTTTCGCCACTGAAACTGGTTTTTCCTCACAGCTGCAATCAAACGCGGGCGGTCCTTTGGACTCCGAGGAGTCCGCCGGTGGACATACAGTTCCTGGAACCCCTATCGCAATTTCGCCAGATGGTTTGCCAATTTTTAAACGTTAGTTTATCATTGCCAATATACATTTAATCCATAGATGTTGTGCCGAATATGCCTTCGGAGAGTCAGGCCTCGGACGAAATGGACGCTGGCAGTCTAGACAGCCAGAATTCACAACATGGTGCAAGCTCGTCAAGTAATGACGCTCGAGCTCCAGTTGACCCGCCGTTAGGAACTCCTCACATGCAGCGTTCCATTCCCAGAGGCAATTTTAATTCATTAAGAACACCGATGTCAACTGGTCGAGGAGCCTCTCGTGTGGCTCGGCCACCCATGTCAGCAAGACCGGCCCCGATTGTTTGGGATAGAGGCAATGGTGCCCATTTTTAAGTATATCATCATATTAAATTTTCTTTTATAGAATTTCCAGAGCGTGGAGGCCGGGGTGCGCACAGGGCGTCAGGGATTGGTGCGCAAAGGAGCCGGGGTCGAGGTCGGGCTAGGGGAGGAAACCCATTCCAAAGGGGACGCTAGGACATGCGTCAAAATCATTTTTAAATTTTCTTTTCATTTTAAATTCATGAATTTTTACTCAACAATAAAACAGCAATTGCTATGCTTATAAAATCTGTTAGTTTTATTTAAAATTTGGAATAAAATTTCCAAGAAATTGACAATGATTTGGCAAAGCCCTAAAACGCAGCATCGCAGCCAACAGGTTTTTTTGAGCTACATTCTCTTCATTTATTTTTCTCACAAGAATAAGGCACTCTTTTGCAACTAAACTCTATGTTCTCTAAATGCCCAGGTAAATAAAAACAAAGTTCGAATGAAGCATGTAACTCTAAGTGTTAAATAAATTAATTGTAGCTACACACAAGCTGTGTGATGTTTTAAAAAAATGTATCAAAATTATGTAAGAAGCCAAAGTCAGTTGTAAACAAATCATTAATCTTGTGCTTAAGAGTCTCAATGTTAATAACATATTTAGTGTAATACTGATTTCATCCAAAATCATTGTTCGCAAATTTTTAAATTTCATCACAGAAAAGTTCAACTAATTACCACGCTTAACTGTCTAATGGTGTACAAAACCGAGGCAGTTGCTTTGAGGAATAGTGATCGATCGCACTGCACGGCTATAAATTATTTCATATATAATATTCATTATACCAAAGTGAAATGCATCCAAGAAACTATTAACAGAGAAATTTAAATAATTCATAATTAACATGCGAATAATAAATTATTTAAAGGTAAGTATTCAATCAACTGCAAGTAGTCTATGCAGGAAGAACAGAAGTTATTAAACATTAATTACAAATAATAGGAGTTGCAGTTGTATTTAAGTAATTTAAGTTGCGTTAGTTCCTAAGAATTCGTAGGAACAATGAATGTTAAAAAGTGTTAAAAGTCATCCTCCATTAAGATAAAAAAAAAAATGTATGTTTCCCAATCTCAGACCGTCAACGACGTCTAACAAGTTTCTACAAATTTAAAATTTTACAATCATCTACAGTCATAAAACCTACAGGTTTCAGTTTATAACAGTTTGAAGCACAATTTAAATTTGTCTGTCAGGCAGCAAACTTGCTCTTGTGGTCAAAAGCAGGTAATTATCATCCCCAATAGGAGCATGTCTGTAAAATGAAAATAAAGTGTAATTGCAGCAAATCATTTGAAAATTACGACTCACATTGTTCCAAGCTGAGTGCGCGACTGTGCCGAGTTGAGGTGGCTACGGTGCCGCTGCACCAACTTGAGAGTAATATCTTTCAGAGAGCGAAGAGTGTTGTAGCACGACCTGGCATCTTCGATAAGAGGTGGCAGTGAAGCATTGGCTAGTGAATTGTTTGTTGTACTTTCGGAGGAGTCAGCAGAAAACGCTTGGAGCTCGCAGGCAGCTTGATTAATCATATTTTAAGTTGTGACCAATCTTTCTCACAATATAAATACCGTCAATACCTTTCAATGTTTCCAATTTGTTCAAGTGCGCTGCAAACAATGAGTGAATGCGTTCCAGCTCGCGGTCTGGATCAAGGCTGAGCTGCAACCCAGCGCCCTGAAGTCCACTTGTGACGTCTCGACAACCTTCAGCGTCCTCTCTTGTTTGCCGACAGCTGTTTAATCAATTAGGAATTTATTTTGCTGACAGTCAAGAAAAAATTTACCATAGCCAATTCCCATTCAGATATGCTGCAGGATGGTAATGCTTTAGTCGCTGTTTATTCGTTTGACAGATCTTGGTCAGCAGATCTACCCATTCCTTTTCCGCAACACAGTTTCCAGCCTAACAATGTCAATTAGTTGGTTTAATTCAATGAAACAATTTGATGAACTTACCTGAACATAGAGGGCCCTTCCGTTTGGCTGGACAATTTGGAACATGTTTTTCTTTTTGAATGAATCCTCTTGAAGTCGCTCCACTGCCAGAATGTCCGACAATGGAATGCAGAACAACGGAGGCTCTCCTGAAATTATCATTTTGTAATAAATCAGAAAAAAATATAATGTTAAATTTACCTTTCTTCTCAGAATAACTGAGGTCTTGTGTTGTCAGTTTGAAAAACCTCTTTTTGAAGTTTTTCCTCCCAAATTTCTTTCGACCTTGAGCACGTTTTATGAGCATTCTGTTGAGTAGAAGAGACAAAATATTAAAAAATTATTTTTTCTGCAACTTTGTTTTTAAATTATAGAAAAATATAAATTAGAAATAAACTACTACTCTATTGAAGATTTTCATGAGCAAATACTCACTTGTTAGTCCTATCCACTTAGCAAAACAGTTAGTCAAGTACGGTTTGATAGACACATACAAATCAGTAACATAAAAAGTCCACTTACCCTTCTTTTAACATGACGGGCTCTGCCATACCATGCTGGTCTGGATTCGATGACGCAGAAATAATTTCTAAAAACTGAGGAAATTGGTTAGTGCCTGCTAAGAAAGTTCAGCATGGACTTAATTACTTGGCGAACTGCATTGATGTGATCCTCGGTGTAACTTGCCCTGTGGACGGGCTCCATGTACTCCTCCTTCCGACAACTGACAGTTTGGCCAGCTCGGCAGCTTACTAGGTTGCCTAAGCTCTGCACAGTCTTGGAAATTAACGTAAGAGTGCGGTACGTTACAGGGTCCTGGAAATAATCAACATGAGTAATAAATAAATAAAACGTAAGAGTTTTTTTTACAATTGTTTCTGTTGTGAGATCAAAAAGCCGAGGTCCAAGAATAGCAGGTGCGAAGAATCGCAAGAATATGAATCCAGAGATAACTGAGTATCGGACTTCATTGTTGGTAGGGAAGAATGAGCAGGCAATTTGCTGCAGCTGGTGGAATGCCTCACACATAAGGGCTGGACACTGCAGCGCCGAGCTTGTGATTGCTTTGAAAACTTGCTTGACATAACCCTAAAAAAATCAAACGGCGAATCAGAATAACTGAACGTGACAAATAATAAATAAAAAAATTCAATTATCTAGATGAGGAGAAAAAAAAATATGTCATTCAATTAAAGGAAAACTCACAACAAGATTCTCTAAGTTAGCTGCTGCTTCTTCTGGTTTGTCAAGTCGGAGCGGGTCGACTTCGCATGGTTTCTTTTCGGTTAGGACGGCATCAATGACAGGCTTCAGGGTGCTGCGCAAATAATGCGGACCCGACACCCTCATCAGTTCATCCACAAGCTTGGAAGCTAATGAGTTTCCACGGAATATTGTGTTTGGGTCGCTGCAATGAAATTGCCCAATTAGAAAATGAGTGCTTAAAATCTTTGAATGCATCCAACTTACATTACTCTTGCAATTTCGTGAGTTGCCAAAACTTTGATGAGCTGGACAAATTTTTCATGGTGCATGAAGAATCTCACAAGAGGCTGAGCTGCGTCCAACTTGGCTCCGACAATTTCACCCAGCAAAAATGCCGCACTGCTCGAAACAGGCTGAAAATTTTCGTTCTCTAGTTTGGCACTTGTAAATTTTGTTTTCAAATTTACTTGAGCAGAAGTGCTTGCCAAAAGCAATTCCCTGAGCGACGAGTATGCAGCCGAAGGCAGAACGTGGTCGGCTGTGTAGTGAATGCGGAGACGAATTGAGCCAAGATCGATGTTTTGCGAACTAGACGTGGGCGACCGAGCACCGTCTCTGGGGTTCAACAAGTACCAAATGGGCTTCTGGTCCATTGACAGCAGCCCCTGCAGGTTGATCTTGACCTCTCCAAGAAAGGCTGCCTCCGTCGTACCGGCCGTGTCATGTCTGATGGACACCTGAAGCTCAACAGCCTCAGGACTGTCGCGCAACTGATACAACTGAGATGTTGACGTTGACGCTTTAGACCGCACTGACGCTCGCAGATCATCCCTGTCAAAATCTGGAAGCTGGGAAGGAAGTAAATAATTAGAACACCGCAATTTATCAAATGCGGATAAGTCTTACTTCGAAGAAAAAACACTCGTCGAAAAAAGGACTGGTGGTTTTCTTTTTTATTCGAGACTTCTTTGATAACACGCGACCATTTGAATACAGAAGGGACACGACTGCATAAGGATCACAAGCACCATTTTTCACACTCAACTCTGCACACTCAATTAGTCTAAAAATAAAATAAATTAACTAAAATTATAAAATATTATATTATCAATTTATACCTGACACTAAGACGGTGCTTTGGCTCTGAAGTCGAGTTGTTTGGAACAATAGTTTCAACTTTGAATTCTAGATGAACTTTTCCCTGGGTAATTTTTCACTTAGAAACAGCATTAATTTTATACTCCTGAATTTACCTGAACTTCTGAGTCTGCGTCCACAGGCTTGAGAGGAAACCAGTGATCTTTGTCATGAATATTTGAGAGGTGCTGTCTCCTGAGTGCGACTTTTCCTATCACTCTGGAGGTCCCTGGACCAACATTGTCTCTGACATAAACAGACAAAAAACGGAACAGTCTTGGGACCTCAAACTCAAACTCTTCACCAAAATACGGGCTGAAATTAACCAAAAATTAGTTTTCGTCATTTTATAAAATAAATTAAAAATTACTCTAGTGTGTTTGAAATTGTCGACGTCCTGTAAATTTCCTCCTGGTCGAGAGACAAGGTGCAAAAAACATCTCGTCCTTCTGAGCTGTGAGAGCGACGAGGCAGATTTTTTGCCTCTCCTGAAAAATAAGCGGTATAAATTTTAATGAGGAATTTGATGTAAACACAAGTTCATTTTTCAGTTAAGGCATTTTTAAATGACAGAGAGAAATGCGGAAATGACAAATATTGCTCAATGTCCGGGAGTACGTGGGTTTCCGAGGTTCCAGAAAAGTGATGCTCGGGGGCTCGATCGATTTCTCGCGCTGTCCCATTATCAGCGCGGAATTGTTGAATAGAGAAAAATTCGCCGTGTGCAGCGAAAGTGCGCGAGATTGAATGAATGGGTCTCTTTATCATATCAAAGTGTCGAGAGAGACAGGAAGGGTGGGGACCTAATGAATGAACCGCCTATGTAAACAAACTGATTAACGCTGGCCCGGGCCTGCATCTGTCAGCGAACCGCGAGCGCTCGCGTCCCGCGTTTCGGCGCCGCGCGCCGAACGGCGGCGCCGTCGGCCGCCGCGACTCCCGAAGCCCACACTCGTCGAGAGAGAGAGACATGAGACACCTGTTGAGTCACATGTCGCGATTTTTCCGCGGCGACGCGTCCCGCGGGGCGAATTAGGCGTCGTCCGGACGGCCGACGCACCGAGGCCGCCGGCCGACCGCGAAATTCGGCTCGCGGGCCGCCACACTTGCCTATTTTAATTTTGACTCGCTCCTCGACTCGCACAGAATCCTCGTCGTCTGCCATGTTGGTTCATCTCCGTGAGCTGCTGTGCTTGTGGTCACCTTCTTCAATGACGCGATTGGTTCATTCATGCAACATGGCCGCCACCCGCTCGGCGTTCACTTCCTGTTTCTTTCTTGTGCGTTTTTTCTGCCCGTGAAAAAGTAAATAAACAACGGGAGAGAGAAAAAGAGACGAGCGTCCGCCTACGTGCGACCGTACACACCACACACTCAAGCAAGAGAACTCGGACCTCTTCTTCTTCTTTGTCCCCCTTCTTGGTGGTTTTTGCTGAAGGAACAAAAGACCGAACGGCCGCGGAAATGAAAGAAGAGGATGTTTTAACTGCCAAAATGATTGAATCCGGCGAATTGAATAGGCAAGATGAACAAACATTTTGTTGCTGTTTTGGAAAACGGAGTTTTTTTGGTTGCAATTTTGGAACTCAATTTTTGCGGTTTGGTCTTTCGTGTTTTTTTGCGCAATTCTTCACTTGTTAAAAAAATTGCATAATTTTCTACGAAAATAAAATAATTCAAACATGATCAAATTTTCTGCCAAGAAATCCCCTGACAATACAAAAATTAAAAAAAAAATTTATTGTACTCAAATTTGTAAAAAAGATCATATATATTGTTTACTAATTTGTAATTAAATTGAATATTCTTTTTTTTTGTGTCTGATAAAAAAACAGAAATAATTAAATGCCTTTTAATTTCAATTTTAATTGTATTGAAATTAATACCACTGCAGGTTGGATTATCAAATTAAATTTTTAATCTCATCTCTTATTATCATTTTGCAGGTGGAAAGAACTGCTTCGCATGAGGCTCACGGAATGTGGCTGGCGAGATCAGGTCAAGTTGCTGTGCAGAGATGCCATCAAGCAGGGAAATGTGGAGGAAATGACTGTGGACCAGTTGAATGCAGAAGTTACACCAAAAGCCAGAAGTGCGTAGTACAAGCATTTTTGTTTTAAAATTATTAATTTTTTAAAAATAATTTCCAGCTCTTGTTCCTGACGCTGTGAAAATCGAGCTGCTGACAAAAATCAAGACCTTCCTGCAGGAAAACACAATCCAGGAGTCGCAATGAACCTGTTCTAATCAAGGACTGCGTTATGATGTTCCATTATATGAATTAATTTAAGATTAAATTTAAAAATAAAATTCATTACAGAAATCAATAAAAACAAAACCATATGTACTAAAGTTTTCTTTTCTTCTTATCATAAAAAAATGAATGTATTATTTTAATATTAATGTGAAGAAGTTCTTTATTTATAAAGCTGTAAAGATCGTGTTGAAAGAATATCATGTTTATTGAGAGGACATAAAAAATTTCATGTCGCAATGAGCAAATCACATCACTTATTTTTTTTTAACGATCTTGATCGATGCTTAGGTGGCAGCACTGTCGTTTGTGTTGATTTATTTATTTGCCAGGTGCCTTTGGTGCGGGTGCTCGAGACTCGAGAATGCCTGTCTACTTTTTGCTCTGAATTTTCCGCAATCTGCACGTTTTCCTTGGCCGTTTATCGTTTTGGCAGGTGCCCGAAAATGCCTTCTCGCTCCGAGGACATCTTGAAAGGCTTCAAAGTGTGAGTAATATTTTAAAACGACTCGAAAAATTCGAATTTCAAAAGACGCTGATGGGGGCTGAAAATCTAATCAATTCATTCGAGGGAAACACGCAGCGCAGGGGGTTGCGTGATGCAATTACTTGATTTGAATCAATCTTTTCTTTCTGGGAAGATTGTAGAAACAAAGTGACCACACAATAACGACGCCACCCTTTTTTATACTTTCAGCAACTGGATGAATCTACGAGACGCGGACACGGGAAAGATTCTCTGGCAGGGCACGGACGACTTGTAAGATTTTCCCAATTATCTCGGCTTGCCCTTTATTCATCACGTGCCCTTTATCATTGCAGATCGACTCCAGACGTGGAACATGAAGCAAAGGTCCCGATGAAAATTCTAAAATGCCGGGCCGTCTCGAGAGAAATAAACTTCTCGTCAGCAGAGCCTATGGAGAAATTTAGACTTGAACAAAAAGTGCTTTTTAAAGTAGTTTATATTTAATATTAAATTTAATTTTTACTGATAAATATAAATTCAAATTCCAGGGCCGTTGTTTAGAAGAGTGGTTCTTTGAGTTTGGCTTCGTTATTCCGAATTCGACCAACACTTGGCAATCTCTAATCGAAGCGGCGCCAGAATCGCAAATGATGCCTGCTAACGTTTTGAAGTATATTCATTTCATAATAAGATTTGCTTTTAATTACTCTGATACTTTTATTTTGCAGTGGTAATACTGTCATTGAGACAAAGTTTTTCGATGATGACCTTCTTGTATCGACATCGCTCGTTCGCCTTTATTACATCTGAATGAACAGGGAAGCTACTTAATTTGTTGAAACGGTTTTATTTTAAGTGAATGGGACCATTTAAAAAGTTCAATTATGTTTCTTTCAGTGGTTAAACTATAGAAAGTGCTAAACGGGAATTCTGTTTCGTTAAATTTAGTTCAAACGTACGCAAGATGCAAGAGTGCTTTCAAAACTAATGTATTTACTATTATCTTCTCAGTTTATATTAGAATGAACGAATTAGGTAAATTGTTATTTGAAATACACCCGAAGAATTGTCAATCCCACTGAAAATGATTAAAAGACAAATCACCAACTGTGCAGTGAAATAACTCCCAGTTCCATCCCATTATTGTAGAATTTGTTTTAGCTTTCAAAACTGTTTTGCTTGATATGAACATTTTACATCAAAAGCACACAGTTTTTCACAATTTGCATGGCAAAGACATTCCCACTGCACCTTGAAAAAAAAAAATCAAACAATTTTCCTTATCTCACTATTGCATTAATATTTACAGTGAATTTGTCTCATTAAGTGCACTGTTTTTAATTTTTTTCGGAAAGTTGATTTTTAATTTTGAAAATTGTGACGTCAAATATAATCTACACCAAAACCGCATTTCTGCCATCCACAAGTTCCTTGCAGAACCATTTAGTATGTAAGGATAAAAAAAAATCTGCATCAATGTAATGGTTGCAAAATATAATTAATTAATTTTTAATTGATAACGTTGCAGCCAACTATGTTGTCTAGTCCCAATAAAATATTTGATTATGAGATTATGTGAGAAATTTCAATTTTATTAAAATCCTTAAAAGATAGCAGATAAAAAATATAATAAAATAAAGAAGCCAGTTTAAGAATTAATTTGTCATATTGTTATCACCAATATTTATGAAAATTTACATTTATTTCATAATTATTTTAAATTGTTAGGAATTCTCCCTCTCATTTTTCCTGCTAATGACAAAATTATTCACACTGCAACCAAAAGAATTCAGGATCGCCGACTTTTGAGGGCCTCGGTCCTCCTCTTATTCCATTCCACCCATGAGATCTCAAACAAAGGAAAGGTTGCTTGTTGCTTGCATTCCACAAATCGCTCTCTTCTCATTGGCTCGCGCAAGCTCCAGAAATTTACAAAAAGTGATGAAAGGCATTCCTCGAGACAATTTTACCCACTCCTCAGTCCTCCTCTATCAAACCCTCTGCCACTTTCTGTTCTGCTGAACAAGTCTGAACTTGTTAGACCTTGTGTTAGACTGTCGCACTACATGACATCCTCCTCTTCATTTTCGTCTTCACCAAAAATAAGAACCGTCGCCAGTCGCCTTCAATCCTCTCTCTGTAGCACAACAGGTATTTTCTTTCTTCCTTGCAAAATTGAAATTTTGTTAGTTTTAACTGTAAACTCTATGAAATTGCAGTCTAAAGTTTATGCAAGACATAGTAATTATCATTATTTTAATCACAGCAGTGACGCACACGTGCGAGTGACATTTTTGCAAGCATGGAGGTGCCGATGCAGTGGACTTCGCCAGACATTCGGGTGCGTTTCTCTTTTTCTTTAATTAAAAAAAAAATTATTATTATAACTTCCTGAACCCTGGTTTCATTGCGAGATATGTATTACTTTTTAATCTCACGAGAATTACATACATAATAATGCGTCTGCACTCTGTGTCGGTGTGAATTGTGATTAAATCTAAATTTTAGTCCTGAAAATTGTTTATGTAAAATTTCTGTAAATTCTTTCAGGCAATCTCGAGTAAATCCAAGAGGAAGCGCTTAAACAGACGCAAAAGAGCCACCGGCTCCGATCATAAGTCAGATTTTGACTTGGACAGCGGCCTCAGCCATGCCCTGGTCAAAGTTTCCTTTGATCACAAAGCTGAAGAGCAGCAGCATGAGGAAGATGAGGAAATCGAAGGTAAACATATCAAAAAAATTATAATTTTTTTAATTAATTTTTCCTTTTTCCATTCGACAGTGGTGGAGACTGAAGGATTTAAACGCAATCTGAAGCTTCTCAGAGGTGAAAGAGTGGATGATGATTCTGAGAAAGCAAAGCGTGCATGGAGGAAATTCTGTGATGAAACCTTGAAAAGTGACCTCTATCTAAGCTCTGATGGTGAAGATTCCAACGACGGAATCTTGTACGAAGCCAGTGATGGCTCGTACTACTGCAACAAGCATCGCCACTACAGCGATGCATCTCGCTCGAGGGGTCACTTCTGTCCCTCCTGTGATGATGAGTACTTGACCCTCAAGTTTAAGCTGGAGCAGAAGAAGCAGCGCCAGATGGTAAATTCAATTCAAATTTATTTAAATATTTTAAACATTTTTAATGAGAGCATATTATTAAATAATTTTCTCTAATAGAATCAGAACCGCAGCCACATGTCGGAGAATGTGGATGGCTACATTGGCAACAAGTCGATGGATTATATCTTGAACTTCATTGGAGAGAAAACCACCAAGGAAAACAAAAAGGAGAAGAAGGTGAAAAAGAATCACAAGAATAAGGATGAGAAAGAGAATCCCAAAAGAGCTGGGAATAATAAGGAAGATCAGACCAAGGAGCCTAAACAAGCTGGGAATGAAGAGGATGAGGTCAAGGTGACCAAAAGAGCTGGGAATGAGGAAGATGAGGTCAAGAAGCCCAAAAGAGCTGGCAAGAGGGATGAGACTATGAAGACCAGAGCTGGCAAAAGAGGCAACGAGGATCAGGTCCCCGAGAAGTTGCCCCCGAGCAAGTCTCTGGAAACTACTGAAGTGCTTGAAAGCTCCGTCTCGGAAAAAGACAATAATGAAAATGTCAAAGAGGTCAAAGAGAAGGAGAACAAGATTCCTCAGGATAAAGAGGACATCATGAAAACTGAGAAGAACCAGGCAGGACTGAAAGAGGGCTACATGAGCCGCATATTCCTCAATTCCAAATATCGTTCCAAAGGCAACAAAAAGGTCGGCTGTTAGCCATCCAATTACTCTTGACAATTGTAAAAGCTTTTATAATGAAATTGACATTTTGATCTGAGCATATTTTGCAAATGTCCCTTGGCGATTTTCTTGTGCAAGAATTTCTCCATCAACCTCAGAATTTTCATTTGCTTAACATTTTTTTGAAAATTAAGGGATAAACATAAATGAAGAACAAAATGTGTTTGGAGAAGCAACATTTTATTTTGTAATTCCAGCTCAGTATATTGAACATAAATGTTGATGGAAATCAGTTTCAATCATATTTTCAAAAGCTTTGAAGTTCACAATAAAATCAATATTCTAAATAAAAATTACATGGTTTCAAATTATATTCAATTAACCAAATTAATTTGCTTGCCATAAAGAGCAAATACATTCGAACAGTATTATTCATAAATTTTTAAGTGCAAAGTATTCAGGAAGGTTTTTATGAAAGCTATCTCCAAAATTTTTCAACATTTATTTTGCATCATGTTTACATATTTTCAATCCGCAATAGACCTTGCGACTTTTCCACTTCAAGAGCGACAAATGGAAATCATACTTGCATCAGTAGTTTGATATACCATAGGAGGGATTGGGGTTGTTGGATTTTCTCAAGTCGTACAAGTCGGGAAGAGTTAGGCCAAAATGCTCTGTGGGCAGCGAAAATTTCTAGGTTTTGTCCGCGAGGACATTTAGAAAAGCAAATTCAGTCGCACGTCTGCACTAATTCAAATTTTCTTCTCTCATTCTCAGCGACGGGAGTGGAGAAATAAGCGACAGGCTTGGCTTGTTTGGTTTGCTTATTCTGGGGGAGCAATTGAAATGGCACCTATGAAAGGAACTGACGACTCGCTCTCACAACAAAAATATAGATATTACACGGGCATTGGCTCCTTTCGTTTGCTCACTTGCATGACAATAACACTGTACATTTTATATAAATTAATGCAGCTCTCATAGGTGCCAGTGCGGGGTGGAAACCAATGATGGCGGAGGCCCCAAAGAGCCGAAGTAGCAGGGATTGTCGGGGACTTTTATTGGGGCTTCTTTTCAGAGCTCTCGGGGCGTTTTGTGTGTGGAATCTGATTTAAACAGAACAACATTAGACGCCACACGTTTTAATATATCTTTTTTGCAACAGGTGAATAATGAATGTTACGTTAACACTGTAAGTTTTCATTCTGATATTTTTCGTTTCATGTGTTTTGAGTGTGAGATGTTTTGTGTACTGTGTGTGTGATATTTTTTTAATTTTTTTTTCTTCTTTTAAATCTTAATTTGATTACTCTTTTTGTGGTTTTCATTTTTCTCATCATCCCAGTCTTTCAACAACAACAAAAGAATCAATCGAGTTTGGAAAATAAAGAACATGGGGATCGAATTGGATAGAAACTGATAACAAATCTTTACGTACAACTTAAGGAATGATTTAAAGACAAATTCGAAAAGCTCATGCTCAAATCTCAAGAAAAAAAGTAGACAAATCGCAGTATAAAATTTGATCCAACAGAATAAATTAAACAGCATTCAAGAGTAAAACATGGGTTACAAGTTTGGAAACACTCATTCGTGCTCACCACGCTCGGATTTTAAGTATATTGTCTCCTTTCGGTAGCGAATTCGGTTAGTCTGCATTTTCTCTGGCATGACACACAACAATCAGTGACTTTATCAACAGCATAAGTCCAGTCAGGCAGGGCGTTATTCAGCGTTATTCATTTCAACTCGCATATTGCTAGAATCAGCAGCACTTGAATTAATTAATTTCATAACGGGCTCATTTGTGAGAGAGTTATGCTTATTGCTCTTGGTGTCATCCCACTTTATGGACTAGTTTGACCAGATATTCGCAAAATCTCATTGGTCGCGATTGAAAAAAAAACAACAAATTGAACCAAAAATGTGAAACTATGCTATCAATTTTGCTACAATCCTCATGTATTATGTCCTTGAACTCACGAAGCGCCAAAATTGGTTTTCGCACAGCAAAAGTACTTTTTGTTTCAGCTCAACAACTTTCTTTCAATGAACAGAGGAACCTTTTTCAACTGCTTAACATGTTGTGTGTCTCTTGGTTTGAATTTTTATCGTCTGCTAAGTTTTCATTTTTCATTTATCACAAGGCCACGACGACGTAACACTAACTGCAGTTCGAACGGCTGGGCTGCCAAAGCAGCAGATGCAAAGAGGTGTTTTTGTTGGGTATGCTTGCTTGCTTGCTAGTTTGGGGAACACACACTGCGTTCGTGTCTGTCTGTCAGCCTGAAAACGATTGGTTGTAGGAAACTTCTTCTCATTCTGCTTCAACCAGCAAGAGACCCATGCCAAAGGCAGTCCGTCCTCAACTTTCACTCGTAAAAGTAATGGATGGATCGGCTGTTTGGACTCTCCTTATTCAGCTCGCACGTGACTAATGCCCAGGCTGAAACAAATATATGGAGAATTTGAATAAATTTAATTTTGCTTGATTAATATAAATTAGATAAATAATTGAGATTATCAACTTACCATTCCCAACAAAGTTGATAATCTCCATTTGGTTATACGTGGGATGTCCAGAGTAATCAGCGGAGGACTGAGGAGGCGGTCTGAACATGGTTGAAAAGTCTTTAGTCTTCTTGGTGGTGGGCAAATCGCTCTCAGGAGCAACGATGGTGGCGGCGACTTCCACCCGAGCAGTTGGCGACGACACTACTTTCTGCTTGGTCGGTGGAGGAGGGGGCGCGAGAACAGGGGCACAGTCCAGCTGGGGAGGGAGCACGAGGCTTGCTTCATCCATCAAGGAGGGGTTCACGCTGAAACCAAAAGTCAGTCCTTCCACGCTATCACTGCACAGAGTCTTTTCATCAAATATCACAGGTGGCTGATTTTGTGGAACACGCTTCAGCGGGCGCGTCGAGACCGGAGGCGTCACCGACTTGGCCTTGGCAGGTGCAGGCGGGTTCTTTGGCGGCAGGGAAGACTGCCTTTTGACGTCGCCGTTGGGCAGCTTGGGTGGCACAGGCGGTGGCTCCTCGGACGCCTTCCGACTGCCGCCCTTGTAGCTTTCTGCAAGCGACGGGTAGTAGTCGCCAAGGACATTAAGCGGCTCTTCGGGAGGAGTGTTTGGCTCAGTCGTGGTGGACGAGATGGAAGAGGAGGCCGTCTCCTCGGCCACCTGCGGCCAGTTCTCCTCTGTGGCCGCGGCTGCTGGAGGAGGGGGTGGGGGTGGGTTTCTGGCGATCGCAGCGTAAGACATGGTGGCCGAGTGGTCAGGAGCGGAAGAGGTAGTCGAAGGAAGGCGCGAGCTGGCGGGCATGGAGTGAACGCTATCACAGTCGTCGCTGCTTTCAGCGCCGGACTGATCAGACGGCGGCATGCTGGAGGTCGACTTGAGCTTGCGACGTCCTACAGAGTGATGAGGGTAATGGTGATGATGCTGGTAGTGCTCCTCCTCGTAGCCCATTGAGCCGCCACGAATGTAAGAATGACGCACAGGGTGATCCTGGGCAACCTGTGTGAATTAGGGTTTAAAATTTAGAATTTATTTAGAAAAAAGCTGACGTGGAAATCTATTTAACTAAAAAATGTAAAATTAACTTGCCTTCTGTTTCTTGCGCCTCTGCTTCTTACTGTTAGTAACCGTTTGGAACTCGAAGCTGTCCTCGTTGTGGACAATATTGGAGTCGGAGTAGTTGTCTGGAAAGTCTGAACCAGTCAAGTTGCCTTGGAAATCTTCACTTTTGACGCTTGCATTTCCATTTTGCTCGTCCAGCATTCTATTGTACTCTTCCTCATCGTAGTCCAAATCCTTGCTTGCCTGGTGTAATAGTCATTAGTTAATGAAAGTATAAAACGCCATATCAAAATACCTCAGAAGTTCTATCTTCTCCTCCAATTGATCTGCAGTACGGCTGTATAGTGAGCTCCTCACGCTTTGATTGTGAGACCTCTTCGTAGCTGTTTGCTCTCTTGATTTTATTCCTGCCAGCATCGAGGACGCCTTTCCTACCCATTTTGGCACTTTGCTTCTGCTGGTCCTTCTTCCCGTCTTCTGAGTAGCGTTGGCTGCGACGACTTGTGCTCAAACCACCTTCATGTTTTGGCTCCTTGTGCTTTAAGTCACTAAAAGTAAAATTCACACGAGTTAGCTAAGAGATTTTTCAAAAGCGCTGCATAACTCACTTGGTAAGCGCAACCTTGCTGCCTTTGTTTGTCGCTCCTTCGCCAATGTACTTGATGAGATAGTCCAAGGGTTTGTCTCCAACGAATCCCTCGATATCCTCACTAGGAACTGTTGTATCCTGCTGTGAGAAAAAAGATTAATTCTATTTCCGACTTTAGATGAGACCAATGCTTTATTACCTTCTTCTTTTTCTTTTTTTGCGAATTGCTACTTTCAGAGTTGGCACCAGCCACATTTTCATTTTCGTCCACTTTCGAATTGAAGACGCCAGTAGGAAGTTTAGTGGCAGGTTTCCCCTAGAGAAAAATCAATAAAGACACACTGCGTTAAATTTAAGTGGTAGACTAACCGAGGATTTAAGAATGCTTGACATAGTAGTAATTGATGGAGAAGGTTTTCCATCTAATAGAGATGTGACGCTGGGTGTTTCTTGCTGCATTCCCAGACTGAAGGTTTCGGATGGATGTTGCTGCATCAAGATTTTAGTTTGACGTTGAAATGACTGATAATATGGACCATGCAGCACACAGCAGAACACAAAAAGGGAAGGAAAAGAAAAAAAAATTAGAATGAAAACAAAAGCATCACCTGAACGCCTCCAAAATTACTGTGCTAAATAGCGATGAAAATTTGAAACAAACTTTAAACCAAGGGTTGAAGCAAAGATTTGGTTAGGTGCAAAAACGATTAATGACTCTACTCACTCTGATGATATTAATGCCTTTGTCAACCTCCTCCGAGTCTTTAGAGACATTGAATGTGGCGTAAGTCTTATACGAAGCAGCAGCAGGCTCTGAAAAGGTTTCGTGGACGATGTGTTTGGCGGCAGCACTCTCGATCATTTGCTTTTCCAGCTGGAGAGACTGCATGTGGTAGCTTTTGTCTTCCCTGGCAGTTTCAAATGTGGTAAGTTCTGTGCCGAGTGGCGAGTTTGTTGAGCGGCGCGGCTCCTGAGATGTCTGGCGGGGTTGCATGCTGAAAGATCGCAGGTCTTCCAGGCTGCCTCGCACAGAGTTATTGTTGGCCGAGTAGTCTCCAGGGGGGAAGTTGTACTGCATGTCGTTCACGCTGCATGGCAGAGAGCCACCTTCACGCTGGCGAGTGCTGACACTTTCTGAGGTAACCTGTCAATTCAAATGTTCGTTTAAGTCACTACAAGAGATGGCTAAACACGATAATAATCTTGACTGGGTTTAATGTCTTTTGTCTTTTTAGGGAAAATTTAATCTTCAAATGTCCGATTATTGTCTCACCGATGAGCAAGTGGAGGAAGTCGAGGCGCCCCTGCGGAACTGGTGCGGGCCGTGCCTCCGAGCTGGCGGGTCACCCTGATGGCACTGGTTGATATTCTGCAGGGAGTGTGACTGACGCTCAGAACCACCCTTCTCCCTTCGATTGCCCAAGCGCCTTTTGTTCACCCCAAACCTGGATTCAGTGAAGGGCAAATTCGGTTCAACGTTGCTGTCCTCGTCTGTGGTTTCGACTTTCTTCAGCAGCTCCTATAGAAGAAATTTAGATTATTTTCAAAAAATTTCCTAACAGGGCGAACAAACTTACATTGAAAATTTCACTCTTTCCGACACGGTCTTTCGGGCTCTTGTAGCTGTAGGCTTCGTCAAGCAGCGCTTTGAGCTGGCCATCATTCATGTGTGACACATTGGCTGGCTTTGGTGGCTCCTGTGAACATAAATGGAATATAATTAGACCGGATAAAATTACATTGGATAAAAAACAAAGTTTTTTTTTTTTTTTAATTTGTACGTCATCAAAAGGCAGGGTTAGTTATTTTACACGGATACTCCCACTAATTGTGGTGGCGACTGAGATTTCTTTTTCCAACTAGCAGCGCAAGTTTTGAGTGCAGCTGTGAACGCAAGCGCCGTTTCATAATATCAGCTCCACTTATCATTAATTTTTAGAAAATTGAGAGCGCTGTAATGAGCAATGCCTTGGGTTCAGCGGGTTCAAAGTTTGCGTTTGTGAATTGTTGATCCTTTACTTTGAGTAAACATAGTCAGAGACAGTAAAATCTTAATAAACTCCGGAATTTATTGCGTTCCAGCTGAACATTCACATATTTTGTTCATTTTTTTGGCGTTACGAAGATCGCGTGTTACTTTTTCGCAGAGTTTCTTGCGCGGCAGTCCGGGCAATAAAAAAGTGATGTCACTGTTGGCGCTGATAAAACGGAGCGCTCTGCAATGATATTATAATGAGATATGTAATAAGCTCGCCTCCTCTTTTCATTGCTTCGCTCTCGAATTAAGGTGGGCGTGTTCCCGATCACTTTTTCCTATCTATTTCCTTACTAGGGCCTTCACGTCACGCGGGCCCACACGCAGCCCAGGAAAGCCGCCGTCACCTCCGCGCATGAATATTAATTCATGATTAGTATACGCTCGGGTGCGTTGATAAAAATTCCCTTTCCGACCGACGGAGAAGTCGAAACCTTAAGAAAACAATCGTAATCGCCCAAAGTGTGGAAAAATTTTATGTACAAGGCTGCATAACGCTTTATCGGCCGCTTATCGCATTTCTCTGCCCGCTTATCACGGCCAACTTTTTTTCACTCTCGGCTGTGGTATCAAATCGAGCTGAAAGATGGAAAAGGTCTAAAATGACAGCCTGGCAAGAGGGAGAGACCCCCCCTTTGGACAGGCATGTCTAAGGCCTCTCTCGCCGTTTTAATTCAATAACGACGGCAATTCTGGGGTTGTTGAACCACATGTTGGACTTTTTCTTTCTTTCTTTCATTCGTACCTTCAGAGCGAAACTAGGTTAGGAAAGTGAACTGCGCAACGTGTATTTTCTTATCTCGGTTTTCTTCCTGACAGAACGTTAAGGTTGTCTTTGAGCTGTTTGCTTTATTCCGAACAGTTCCTAATCAGACGATTTGGCAATACGAAAGTTGAAAAGTACGGTACGAGAGAGACAAAGGTTTGCTTTTGGGGGGAGCAAGAAAAAATAATAGGCCATGAACACGCACAGCGATATTATCGAATTGCGAAATTATAAAGTAAAGAAAGAGTCTTTGTTTTCATTGAAATTCCTAATTAGGAAAAGCAGGCATGGCAAGCAAAAAACGGTAAATGACGCAGCCATAAACCCATAAACCTCTCCAGCATGAGTTTTACTAGAAACTTTATAATCAGACCTCTTCTTAAAGAAAAGAATAATTTTGAAAAAGTTTGACGTTCTTATAATTTAACTAATCATCAGACAAGAGGATTATTTATTACATTACTGATCAAAGACAAAAGAAAATTATTTTTTTAATTTTTTGTTGTTGTTTGTTTGTTCAAATTGTTACATCAATTGATTACATTGAATTGTTGAAAACAACTTCTTTGTAAAGAAAGGCAATGTTGGACAAAACGTCACCAGCAAGAGTCGGAATATTTCTTAAGTTGTAAAATTGTGCCAATTGTGCTTTTCCAGTTAAAACAAACTAATAGCATTTTACAAATCGAAATTCGTTAACTTTTAAAAAAATTCTAAGTAGGAATGTTAATAAAAATTTAATAAATTACCTCTTTTAACCCAATTTAAAAAAGAGCTTTGCTTAGGGAAAAAATAAAGAACCAACTCTTCGATTACCCCTCAAATCCAGCTAATTATGCAGGAAGTGGAGGTGCTGTTTGAAAACAATTCAAAAGCATAATATCACAGCCCTTTCTTTGTTCGCCGTTCGGTTCTCCATTTGACACCACCACGACCATCTCTCACTCGCTGGCAGCTAGCGAGGGGGCGTGGTCGTCGAACCAACCTTGATTGTTTCCTGTGTCGCGAGTAAAATGCCGCACGGGAGTTATTTTACATTTCGCGCACACCAAACCCCGCGGGTTTCCATTCCCTCGGTCGGGCGCTTCATTATTATGCTAAGACGTCGAACACAGCGGCCGGGAATTAAAATAAAAGGAGCTTCATAAGCAGATTAGTCGTCGCTTCGATTCAAATTACTCTCGGCAGCAGAGCCATTTTTCTGCCGCACAGCTGTGACTCATGGCGAGACAAAGATAATAATAATATTACACACACAAGTCCAAACCAAACACGGGGGCTGGCGGCGACGCATCGATTTTGACGAGTCACCCACTTAGCGTTTTGCCCGAAATTTCTGGCGAAATTCCGGCCATTTTCCCGAAGACTCGTTTGTCCGCGTGTCATTTCGCTTTAGAATTCTTTGCGGATCAAAAAGTGTTAGCCGTTTTACTCTTCACACTTGCTCTTGCCCCGCAAACAACTTGGAGGAGCAAGCAAGAAGTTGGTGCTTTGATTTTTTGTGCGTGCCGTTACCAAAATAGAATCCGCATACATACGAGAATTTGAGCGAGATTGAGGCCAAAAGTCTGCGGAAAACGGGCTTTTTCCTGTACACGCCGACAATTAAAATCGCGGAAAAAAATTTAAATAAAATTGGATGGCGGCAAAAAAAAAGTTCACTCGGTGGAGAAAAAAAAATCAACAAGTGCGGGACGTAAATTTTGACTGAGGAAAATTCAAAATTCCACGTTTCCTTCCGAGAATTGTGTAATCTCCCGAGTCTGGGAATGATATTTTGAAGGAGTCCTCAAAGGTCTCGGTGTGCCGACCTTGGAAATGCCGAAATTTGAGTCTGGGGGTGGCGCCGCAGGAGCTCGAGCCCGTCAGCGCCGGGCGTCGTCTGTCAGGGGCGGAGGCGCCGCCTGGAAGACAAGGCGCCGCGTTCGGCGAGTACTCACGTGGGGCGAAGGGTGGTCGGAGGCGGTGCGGGGGCGGCGGGGGCCTGCAAATGGCGAGCAGTTGGCCGATTTCTCAACACGAGGCGGCCATCACGCGGCGTGACGTCACCCAGAGCAACAACGAAACGAAACGCGAGCCACACACAGCTCACAACCACTACTCGCTGCCGCCGCCGAGCACCGAGTCGAGTCGCCGACTGGCTCGCGAGCGATCCCAGCGACTGTTTGCGATTACCAGCGCCGCTTTTCCAGTTCGCGTGCAACTTGCTCTCTCTCACTCCGCTGCTTTTTGCGCGGACACAATTTTATTTTATTGCAAGTACACTAACTGCTCCACCATCAAATTTTGGGCGCGTTCAACAGTGGAGAAGATAAGACTCGAGGGAAAAAAACTAAAAAAAAAGAGGGACTTCCATATCTTTCAATTCAAACTTTCTTGCTATTTTTCCTCTTGAATATTTTTTATTACAATAAATGTTTTGATTAAATTAATAATTATTAATAACAATGATAACTATTGTTAATTAATAATTATTATTAAATGAATATTTGCATTGAATAAAATTTTAATTAAATTTGTATGAAAATAGATTAATTTAGATTGGCAGATGTAGAGGTTGCGGTAAAAAGAAACAATGGACTGTTTAGGCATATTTGTCTCAAACAAAGTGAAAAATGACAGCTACTTGTGGGATTTATTTTGGTCGTTTTTTTGCTGAATCATTGCAACTCCCACGTAATTCCGTACTTATTGTTATTTTAAATAATTTTATTTTATTATTTCAAAAATTTAACTAATGCAATTTATTTTTAGTAAAATTGATGGGTTTTGCTAATAAACACAGGCATAATTTTAATTTCTTTTAATTTTTATTGGTAAAAAATATGTGCGTTAAAAAAATAAATAATAATAGTTGAAAATTAAAAAAAAATCAGATTTATTCTTGCTTAAATTAATATTTTTTGGAGTTATTTCAATGAGCAACTTAAATTGCATAACAGATCAATCAATCCCAATGATTTACGAAAATTCTAAAGCCAATGTCGCTCCAAGCAAAATGAGGCAAATTACCACTACTTGCTCTCAATGACAGATAAAAACCGTCTGAAATTTTGCAATGCTTCGGCCACTTCGTTGCAAAAACCTTTGCTTGGCGCTCAGCGTGATTTTCACAAGACTCTTTCTTTGGAATTGCATTTGCACGCCCTTGGAGCAAATCTATATGTATTTTCCCCGAGTCATTAGAGGGAATAGTGAAGCAACGAGCAAGGTGTCAAATGATTAGTTAGAGGAGCCAAAAGAGAAAAACTTTTCAACTGGCCGTCGTGTGAGTTAGGTCAGTGTTTTCTTCCGCGAACCGATCGGTGCGCGAGAAAAACAAAACCAGCCAAAACAAAGTTGGGACTTCTCGCACCTGTTGAAATGGCGATAAATCAAAATACAAACGCAGCCTGTGCAAATAGACAGTATTGATTCTTCTCTTCGAATATGGCAACAAATGTGTGCAGAGAAGTAAAAATATACACACATATTAGGTTATTAGAATAAAAAATTTTAATTAGAAATATAATATAAAAAATATTGTAAATTCAAATTTAGATTTAATAAAATGGCTAAAATAAATAATATAATCCAAATTTCCTATTTAATCTTTTAACATTAATTTTACATATTAAATATTTTCTCTCTGTCACATAACAATTGGAATAATTATGGGCTCAGAGTTAAAATAGCAGGAATAGAAGAATAAAACCGGATGCTGCGTGGTGAGAAGGACAGTATTGGTTTTTTGGTGTAAATAAATGTGCTTGGAATGTACTTTTATTGATCAGCAGCGCAAGCACTCACTCTCGCTCAGAGGGGAGGCCTCGTGGGGTGCGAAGGGGGTTGCTTTGAAGCGAGCGCCGCCGCCGCACGCCAAAACATCCCCCGCACTCGCCCTCGTCCGTGCACTGGCTAAAAACGTCGCAAATTCGCGAGCAAAAAAATGTCACTGCACGTCCGCCGCGCACGTTTCGCAGCAGCGGCGACGTTGATGGAAAAAAGAGAACGCTTTTCCAAGCGCTTTCCGCCCCAAATTGAATTTTGGCTCAGCTTTTTAGAGTGATTTTTGAAATAAATTGAGACAATTTTGAAATTGTTTAAAGACTTTGATCTTTTTCACGTCCGCTCTTTGCCATTATCCGTGAAAGAAGTTTGTTCAACTTTTTGTGTGAAAATAAAGCGGCGCACGTTTGAGCAAGTCCATGGAGGCGGACGGAATTGGGAAATGCACAGGCAGCAACTTTGTTGATCCAAGGTGTGTAAAACGGTGTTGCCTCATTTGCTATCGCGCACTCGCCTGACAAACACTCGCGGCTCAAACTTAATTTGGTGCGCCTGAATTAAGAAAAAGACGTCTTGAGAAGATGCTAATCAGCAGAGAGTAAAAATTAAAAGAAACAGGATCAAAGTAAACTTTTATAAAAATTATAAAGCGAATCAGGAAATAAAATCCATAGAGAAACTCAAACATTGTGAATAGCTTGAAACTTACAACGATTGAGTTTGATTTCAATGGCAGTATTTAATTGAGTTGAGAAATCTGACAATCTGTCGGTAATTTGCAAGCGGATTTGCTTCCAATTAATTTATGCTCTTTGTGCCTTGGTTTGCTGCGTAGTTTGCTTAGCATGAAAATCAATAACATGACCTAGCAAGGCCCAAAGAATATGGCAAATAAATCAAAATTTCCAAAACAGGTTGCAATTTTAGAGCTTTTTAGGCAACATAATTATCAATTTGCACCGTTTTAGTTTCGCCAAAGCTTGTCTAGAACGTAAAAAATGTGCGGAATTTTACAATTCTAAAATTTTGGAAATTAATTTTACTATACCTCAGCAGGACAAAATACCATTTTTTATTTAAATCAAGTAATTTTATTTGAAATGATGAATTTTGCTCAAAATCAGCGCAATGAAAAAGTGTATCAATTTACTCTGTGGCAAGGATGTTTGCTCGTTACCAAGCAGGAAATTGTTACAGTTCAAATTTTTTAGTCCAATGTTTGTATTTTAAATTTCCTCTATACTTGTGATAACTTAAAAAAGATTGACAAAAAATAGCTTATTGGAGAAAAAAACGAAAATAACACATCATATATTTTAAAAAAAAATTTCAAAACCTGTTTTTTTTTTTTTTAATTCACAAAACTAAAAATAATTTAAAATAACTTTGAAATTTCTTCATAATTAATCAAAAGCAATGAAGTTCACAAGTCGAATTAAACCAAAAAAATCATACTTTGTTCTGTAATTCTCTCATTGAGCGAGGTAAAATTTTAACCCTTCCCCCTTCCGATTACGATTTTTGGTCCATTAGCCAAATTCACCCCTCTTCGGACGGAATATATAAATTCACACCCGATAAAACGTCCGTTTAAACCAGAATTTATGAGCGATGTACGCGTACGGGCCCCCGGAGCAATTTGCATTTAAATTCGCGGCGGTGAGTGCGCGTCGCGAGAATTTATGCACGCGTTTCGTCGCCAACAATGAAATGATATCGAGTGCGAGCGAGAAAAATAATCGAGAGAAATGAGTGCGGGGGAGGCGGACTGACTTTTGGAGGCTAAATTTAGAAAAGCTGTACATATATGAGCGAGACTGCTAACAAGGCAGGAACAAAACTTTTCGGCCTCGCCTGCTGAACCACAAAAAAAAAACACGATATAAATTTATTTTCCCAACTGGTCAAGTTCCATCACTATTCGAGCGCCTACAATTTTTCTCTGCTCAATTATAGTGCAATAATTCCAGGGTAAAAATGGTAAATAACGCAAAGTTGTAAACAATAATGGACTTAATTTTGAATGAGCTTTTTCTTTAGATTTTCGCATACCACATAAAAGGTTCTATATTTTAGATATTTAGTCAAATCCACAAAATAGATTGACTTTCATTGCAAAGTAATGATCAAGAGATCAAGGAATATCTGGAGGGAGTCATATTTTCTTTATTTGATTTTAAAACTCGATTGATCATGTAAAAATAATAATTAAAAATATTTTAGATATTAACTTTCTTGGTTTGTTATATATCTTTCATTAGACTTAATTTAAAATGCTAAATATTAATAATAAAAAAATACTAACAATTTGAATTAAATAATTCAATTTGCATTGTGAATTTCCTTTTGGCTATGAAATAAAATTTGTTTAATGATATTTTGATTTTTTTACTGACGCATTTTCATGCAAGACCAATTATAAAAAATCTTTGGTTCTATGAAGGTAACATAATTTTGGCAGCTCTCTCTAGTTGATTTAAAAATTTGAAATATTTATGGAAAATAATTTGCTTCAAAATGTGTTTTTTAATCTGCACCTACATGGGCTTCCTTCATTAAAAAAATAATTATTGATTACATTTATTTTCATGGATATCTAATTTTTATTTTAATTGACCCTCCTTGAGGTATCATGTGCAAATTTTAAAGAAGGGACTCTCTTCAAGGATGGGACATCACAAGCTCCTTTCATTAAGGGATCGCTTTTCGCGTTCCGAATGCACAAACATATCAGATTCTCACCTGAGCGCATTTTTCTATCGGGATCATTGCGCCGTGTGAGAGTCAATACAATATTAATGAGCTTTCGCAAGCAACTTAATTAATGGTGTAATGATGCTTGGGTCGAAAGCGATTCAAAATTGACGACGGTGCTGCGAGACCACATTGTTTGGCAGTGGTTTTCCTCGATTGCAGATAAAATGCGCTCGGAATCTAGCGGTCAGCTTTCTTCCGTCGTGAATTTTTAACTTGCGGCCACAAAGGGGTAAAAATTAATTACGGCGTGTACGCAGCACCGAGTGCGCCTCAATCAGTGGGAAACCCCACGAAACAAAGCCGAGTCGTAAAATGAAAGTTATTTTTTCTCTGCGGATGTTGACAAAAAGATTGGCATTGTAAAATTAAAGTAAATATTGTTGTTTTGAAATTCGAGTTCGATCTGTCAAAACTCAAAATGCGCCAAATCAGCCTGACATTTCGTCATCCCTTGGTAAATTTCCGAAACTCTAGTGAGACCGACGTAGAAATTGATCATTTCTCAGTAAAAGTAACTTTTTTCATTCAGGAATTCGATTGGTATCCGAGACGCTGAAATATAATAATAACTCATTAGAAGCCAAATTTGGTTTCGAACACCAACGCACACCAGCGTGGCCACCTGGTCTAATCAAAACACCTTACCCTAGCATTCCTCGTTTTGGGAAACCACCCCTTTGAATGTCTCGCGTTCGGAGACGTCTGAACAACCCCCGACGGAGGCCTGAGGGGCCCTGCGAAGGGTCCCCGGGGGCCGAAAAGCGGCAGTCAACAAAGAAGGCGTGCCCCGCGCCTCAGGTTCGACCTGAAATGGTTCGGCTGGCTTACCCTTTGGTCTGCAGAAGGGTGCTCGGCGTCCTCGGCAGGGGCGGCGGCCTCGTCGCGCGTCGGCGTGGCCTCCTCAGCGCCCGGGGCCGTCTTGTCGGGGGCTTTGGGCTCGTTTCCTTGCGGATCCTCTGGGCACGGCGCCATCTTGACGCCCGACTCAAAAGTCTCTTCTTTCGGCTGTCGGCGGGGTGCACGCGGCCTAGAACGCGTCCCGACCACTGGCCGACATGTCACCGCACGCAACGAAACGAACGCGACGCCTAGAAACACACGCTGCGGCTGCGAATTCGACAGGCAATCCGGCCTCGTCTACTTCTCTTCCATGCTCGTCGTCCGCACCACCATTCGATTCTTTCTCTCTACTACGGTCGCCAGTACACGATGCTCAACTGTTCTACGCTCAAACGCCTTGAACCCGTTCGAAAAACAGCGGCCGTGCAAGTCACAACGCGTCGCTCAACTGCGCAGCTCTACTGGCGGGCAGATCGCGTTTTGCAAAGACGCCAAGTCAATCCCCTTTAAAATAGAATAGGGGCTTTTTACGGAAAATTTGCGACGCAAAATCACTTTTCCTCTTGTGAGCAGAGGGGTCGATATGAAATGTGCTGATATTGCAACAATGGGCTCTCGCGTGTACAGAATATTTTTTATTTTTCATGGCGTAAATTTGATCGAAATGCAGCTTTTCCATTGTTGAGATCAGATAATTTGGATAATTTATCTAAACAAAAATGAAAAAATATATTCAAATAATAAACATTAATAAATAAATTATATTATTTAAACAATTAATAAAATTTTAAATAAATATTTTTAAGTCATAATAATAATTCTTTTATTAAACGCGTTTCATTTTATACCAGCACATATTTACCGCCAAAAGCTTTTAAATTCTGTAAATTCTTTCGCGCACCTTCTAGGCTGTTTGGTGATTGGCTGTGTAAGTACAAAAACAAAGAATCTGCAACCTCATTGGTTCGTCTGAAATTTCTCTTCTCCAATCAGAATCATGAATTAAGCACTCGTTTGGCGCTCTGCAATTTTACAACATGTGTTGCAAAGAATTTTCCTCAAAATCGCCGAAAATTTGAAGGTACTACTGAATTCTGCTCCGAATGTGGTCCTGGAGGAATTTTAAACATCCATTAACTCTTTGGCCGTAATTATTTTTCCATGGGAAGGGGATTCATTCGCTAAAAAGTCGGGTTTTAGCTAATCTTCGGACCGACCTTATCTTTTGCCTCCATATCGAGTTTTATTTTTGTAAATTTTGCGCGTTAAAATTTTTCTCTCGTGAATTTTCAGACCGCTCTTTACCTCAGCAAGGAAGAAGAGAATTAGAAAAATGTACAGAAACAGATTCAAGAAGAAATTACCGCTGTCGAAGACTTCGAACGTGAGTGAAGCCGGCGACAGTACGGTGTCCAGCATCACCTCTGCCTTCAGCAATGACAAGGATAATAATACTGAGGCTGAGACGACCACCAATGTCACTCCACCTGCCAAGCCCAAGCAGACCACCAATGTCACTCCACCTGCCAAGCCCAAGCAGACCAGGAAGCAACAAGAACAGTTTCCCACTGAACACACCTTTCTCTCACCAGCTCCATCTCCGAAGCTGAGAAACATCAAAACCCCTCCAAGAAGGTTGCCTATGAAAGATGCAAACCAATCTTCGCCAGTGCTCAATATCACCAGGAGGAAGCCCAAGAGGGTTCATGACCCAGATGTGCCTTTTTTCAATCGCATTCTTGCCTCGTGTGGCCTCAAATTTGTGTCTGAAGGAGACGAACCCCACACTCTTGGTAAGGATTAAAATTTTCCACTGTAATTAAAGCACTTAGTTTGTATATTAATAAATAGACCAAGAGCAAGTGTATTTTGTGAGAGAACTCCAGGAAGCAATGGAGAGACCAGAAAATGGACAAAAGTTTGACGAATTCATTGAAACATTTGTCGACCTGCATAATAATGACCCTCGACTTTTCAAAAAGTCGCTGTTGCCAACAAAGGTATGAATGAAATTTTCAATTCCTATGACAATTTTATTGATTAATTTTTCTTACAATTATATCCACAGAGGACATTAGAGAGTGGTGTAGTCATCTCCCACGAATCATTGATTCATCTCTTGCTAGAAGTGACAATATTTCAGGGCAAGATTTTTGACTTTATATTTGAGCGTCTGTTAGAGAACGTAACTGAGGACAATGAGTAATGCATAAATTTCAAATAAATGATTCGTTTAAATTTAAACTTCACTTAGACGGAAGACTGTGGAAGGTCTGAACTGTATTGGTTGGACAAAACTATTGATTCATCAGCTAGTGGAGCTAAGTGTGGTGGAAAATCCTGAGCAGTTGACAGAAAAACTTCTTGAGTGCTTTCAGTATTGTCAAATGCCAAAGGTAATATTGTTGCATAAAATAATATTTTTTCTTATTTAAAAAAAATATATTGATCCAGGTGCAGAAAGAGTTTTTACATGCATTTCCCTCAATTATTTACATGGATAGCCAGAAGGACGTTGCAAAATGTTTGAGGTAATTTTAAATGTTTGAACATTTAAGTGATTGTTTTCTTAAACTTATGAAAATTGCAGTAAAGTTCTTAAAGAAGGAGGGGAAAACACGCCACTAATCTTGGACGCCCTCTGCGACATGGCTGCCAGCACGGAGGTCAAACTATTCATCACAGAGAGTGTGGTTGACATGCTCAAACAAGACAAACGTAAATTCTTGCCTCAGGTCTCTAGATTTATAGTTATAAAATTTTATTTTTTATTAATACTTTTTTTTTTGAAAAGTTGGTGTCATTCTTGTTGGCAAATGCAAGGTATGAAGACGACAAAGCTGCAATTATTTATGAACTGAGAGATCATGCAAATTTGACCCCTTTTGGCTTTGATGATGAAAAACTGGCAACTGACAAGGCAATGTTGAAGAAGGCTGTAGCACAGATTGGAGTAATATTAATAATTATGTTGAAAGTTAACTATCTAATGTTCATATTTGCAGTGCGGCCTTAATGCAATGCAGGAAATTGGGGATCTTTGGCTTGTCACAATTACCAATGCAAAAGAACTCAAGCCCATTGATGTGATCGTCTTGGTGTGCTTGTACTCTGAAACTACCAAGAAGAAACTTTTGCCTATTGTTAAAAGCAAATGCTCAGCAGGTGTTCTAACCGAGGAACTAATTGACAAGACGTTTTTAGATCACGGAGATGTAAGCTTTCAATTGTTTTTTTTTTTGTTTTTTTTTTATGGCGTATTTAATTTTCTTAACAGGCTCTGAGCGAATATTTTGACAACATCATCGAGATTGCCTCGTATTTGATCAAAGTGCCTGATATTTATGTTTCCCGTCTTGGTGGACAGTGGTTTAAGTAGGTTGAAATGCACTTCATAAAATTTTGTGTGCTAATTTTATTTTATTAAAGGCTACTATTTTTGCATCTGGAAGCTTCATTCCTGCGTCAAAAGCTGATGTGGTGTTTGATCAACTTGCTTGGAGGAAATAGCCAAAGGGCTACCGAGAGTGTTTTATTAACTCTATCTATCCTTGTCAACAACCACATGGATGAAGTTTTGCCCCAAGCAGCTCTTCTTATGGTAATTTTTAATATTAATTTGGTTGACAGTATTTTTAATAAACTTATATTTCAGGTGCCTGAGAGTCTTTTAGACAAAGTGGAAGTAGTTTCTCTTGAGCATGCTCGAAAAATTATGGACATTGTGTGCCAGCTGGCATATTCTGGACATCCTCAAGCGGAGATGCTTCAAGGCGATATCAACATTATGATCCAAAAGCAGCTCAGAAGTCTTGATAATCAGTTAGTATTTTCTCATTTCATGTAAATCTGTACACCCACAATATTATTTTAAAGACTGATGCACAGTTTTATATTCTTTAACATTGTCTCGCTTACATTGCATCGTTGTCGTTGTGTTGATGAAGTTGACTTATTAATTTTTAATTCAGGGTCAAGCGAAAGGGTGTTATTGGTGCAATCATGGCATCAAAGCATATTGCCACTTCTAATAAAGAGGCAACAAACACTAGCGATTTGGAAGCAACCGAAGATGGCAGATCATCCAGAAGCTCTGACTGCAGTTCTGTTGCAATATTAAGCGAAAAAAATGTGCCTGCAAAGAATTTGTTGGGTATTCTCTTCTTTTTTAAGTTAAAATTTCTGTATCTTAAAAAAATATTAATTTCCAGAGCTTGCAATGAAAAGCACAAGTAAAAGCTACGAGTTAAATGGATTTTTCTATGATGAATTAGCCAGCATGCTGCACACTACTGCTTGTTTGTCTACAAATTTTGTGGTAAAGTTAACATGTCCTCCTTTTTTCTTATTTCATAACAATGCAAATCTTTGAAGAAATGGCTCTACAACAGTATATTAGATGATTTTGAGGAGCACTACCTTTGGGATATTGGTGAATTAGAGGAAAAATCATCTACCATGTAAGTTGCAATGTTAATTATAATCATTTTTAATCAATGGACACTTTTAGACCTAAAGATGTCAAACTTTCATGCTATTTGGCTATTAAAGGTCAAGGTGACAATTACACTGTAAATATTGGGCATCATGTGCTGGTACAAGCCATGAAAGCATCTGGCCTTAAAGTTGACAAAGGGTATGTACTATTATCAATAGAACTGAAAATATCAATTAATTAAAAAATTATCTAAGGTCTTGCCCCAGTGAAGTTTGGAATTCAAATGTGCTGTGTCCCATGTTTCGTCTTTTACGGATTGCATGCTACTTGGGAGGAGATTTAGAAGGAGAGGATATTGGTGCCATAATTGCTAGCCACGTCTTGATGCCAAAAAATATATTGTCAGTGACAAGGGGTGATTTTGTGAGCATGTCAGACCCACTCTTGCAAGTCTGCATCTTGAATACCTTGTTTATCACTGTGAACTGGCTGAGGGAATTGGTAAATGCATTTTGCACAGGCCCAATTCCTGAATTGAAAGAGAAGGTGCGTATAAGTCAAATTCGTAGCTTATTGAAAAAGAAGGTGTGTAGAAATTAATGATTAGTTTAATAATTAAACATATGTCGGTTGATATTTAAAGGTCATTCAAAGGATCAGACAAATTGTTGTGCTTGAGGCAAAAATTTTGGAGTTGATGCCATCGTTTCCACCTGACTATGTACCCCCAACTTGTCAGTTCTACACAACTGTAGTTCCTCCAAAGAGGGGCTTGACTGCAAAGAAGACCAAAAGGTAGTACATTATTTTTACTTTGATACTAATACAAAGATATGTTGTTTTTCCTCACAGGAGAAAGAGGAAAGGAAAGAAGAAGTCTGCTGCTACACAAAGCACCTTGCACCCTGCGCTGGATGAAGATAACAATGAAACAGACCTAGACGAAGACACCGATCTCGATGATGACGAGCCTCTCAAAGATAGTTCAACAGAATACTCCCTTAAAGACCTGAGTGCTTACTTTAGGGAACTGGATATGGCCACATTTGTGCTCCTGCAACATAAATTTGTACTTGATCCCACACCCTTCTCTTGGACCAAAACGTCGTCCGAAATGGGCCCAGCTGAGCTATTCTTCTTGCTTGACGATTACTGCCAGAAGCTGGAGCACGCACTGGACTGCAAACCTGGTCTCCTGCATTCTAAGAGGTCTACTATTATTTTCAGTTAATAATTCATAAGAATTAATAAATTAATACATTTTATTCCAGTGCCAAAGCAATGCCTTTTGGATTTGGCATGTCTTCAGATGAGAAGATTAATTCTTCCATCAAGGCCTCAACCATCCTTTATGACCATCTGGATATGTACGATAAAAAGCTAATTGCCAAAAATTCTGTCAATCCTGTCAAATTCGTTTGTGACATATTTGAGAAATTAGTACAGTACTTTGAGGTACTTATAATAATATATTAAATTAAGAATATTGTTATATTTATTTGACCTGTTCTCAAAGGCCTTGCAAACCAAAAACGATGGGTTGAGAGACGGACCAGGATCAGAATCCGAAACATCGAAGCAGCTACAAAAGTGCATGCACAAGATAATCTGCTCCCTGAAGCATACTTTGTCCTGGTCGGGCTTCTTTGAGAGCGATAATCTGGAATTGGTCCAAGGTTTATTTTCATAGTATTGGTCTTATTGAAAACTCAATAATTTACATCCTCTATTACTAGCCGTTTTGAAATTATTAGCTACTAGAGTTGCGCAGGAAGAAGATTTAGCTTCAACAGCTGGGATTGTGTCGCATGCCTGCAAATACATTGCAAACTTTAGTGATTACATCATGACTCTGCCAACTGCAGTGGACTTCATCGACTTACTCCTGGTAAAAATTTTTAACTACTTGATTTTGTAAAATTTACCTTTTCACTTTATGTACAGGTCATCAATTGTCATGATCCAGATCAAAAAGGAGAATTGGCTTCGGCAAGCAAAAGGAAAATATGTAAGGATACAGAATTAATATAGTTGCTTTAAATTTTTATAATTAATCTCTAGATGAGCTATCAATGGTATTCTTCAAACAAGAGTGGCCACCTGTGGCTAAGGATTCACTTTCAGCGGCTCATCTTGCCACATGCCTTCTACAAACTTTACTCAAAAATTGCAATGTAATTTATGTTTGCCTAAAATATAACTTTGTACTATAATTTCATAAATTGTAGAACCCTGTGCTGAAGTGCTTGAAGATTTTGAAAAGGATCGACGAGAACAAAGATGATCTGAAAGGGAAAAACTGCTCTGGAAAAATTGATCAGCTGCCTCTCATAACTAAGTATATTAATTGTGTTTGATTTGATTTTGTTTGACATAATTATTTTTCAGGAGTTCCTTGCCTCACATTTACAAAACTCTATCTAAAACTATTGTTGAGGCTGTCCGAGATTTAGCTTCTGCTCCTCAAACGTCAACACAGGGAGGCGACATATACGACGAACTCATTTACGGCTGGCGTCAGATTGTGGAATCAGTTTTTGTCATGAAAGAAATTGCAAAGCATCACGAAACAAAGCCAATTTTCACCACATTCATTAAAGTATTGATTCATATTCAAGTCAACATATTTTGCTAATATTTTATTGATAGGACTTGCAGCCCATCTTTCGTCATTTTATGGATACTGCAATGCCTATGATGGATAAGTGCTTCAGTAAGAAATCTGACGAGCTAGCTAAGCTCTTGAAAAAGCTGCAAGATGTCACCAGGTTTACTCAACATTTGTGCAACCATGGAAAGGTATTTTCTATTTCTGTTGAAATAGATTGGTGTATTAATTAATGAATTAAAATTCTTAGCGTACAAATTTCCTGGGGCTGGTCTCACAAATGCCAAACATGAAGTTCCTATTGGAAAAGTTGGTGCAACGTGTCAAAGCTATGCTGGTGGTCAACAGATGTGCAGGAAATGTGGAAGTTGGGAGTCTGAAAAACAAAAATCTGCAAGGAGAAGACGTGCCATCACAAATTGGAGCCGTAAGTTTGCTTTTCAATTTCTGGAAACTGCGAAACTAAGGAAACTTTTTCCAGCTTGATAGTGATGAGGAAGAAGAAAGGGAAGCGCAGAGGTTAAGTCGAAAGACTCAGAAAACCCAAAAATCACAAAAAAGCCCCACTACCCAGGCTAAGAGGACTCAAAAATCCCAAGCCAGCAAAACACAGAGGTTGATTGTCAAAACGCAGAAGCCCCACAAGACTGACAAGACTCAGCCGTCAACATCTACACAGGACGAGAGAAGGAAAAACTCGAGAAAAATGCACAAACATCGAGACGCTGCTGAAGAGATGTCCATTGCTGATGAGGAGGGAGAGGTTGATATTGTAACTACTCAGACAAAGAGGAAGGACGCTGCAAGCAAGGAGACAAATAATGCAAAGAAGCAAAAGAAAGTCAGTTCAGACGAAGAAAGTGACATAGAGGAGGAAAGGGAGCGCGAGATCGCTGATTCTAAGAAGAACAAGAAAGTTCCTCAGAAGAAAAAGGAAGTACCATGCACTGACAGTGATGAACCAGAAGAGCAACAAGATGAGGTCAGGTCCAGCTCCTCGAAGAGAACAATCATGGACTCTGAAAGTGAAGAAGAATCACGAAGCTCTGCCAAGAGGAAGAAAATATTTTCCGACGATGATTCTGACTAAACAGAGTAAGGTACTCCAAAAGAAGGGACCAAACCTTATTTTCAATCACCACAACTGTAATACAAATTAATTTAATTCATTTACATATCTATATCAAATTGCTAGTGAAGCTAAATAAAAAGTTAATTTTTTGATGAAAATTCACAACGACCGCAAAATATTGTACTTAATTCTCATTCTGTCAGGTAAATTTAAAAATTTCACAATATTGTCAAGTGATGAAAGAACGGGTAATCCATCAACTGATTATAAAATCAGCACGCACCCCACCGCTCTAATTAACGCCTCAATCAACGAGGGTCGATGAGAGCCGATGGCCGCTTTTTGCAGCTTTATCTCGGGCTCGGCCGACTCTCGCAGCGCTCGTTGACATCTGGATGTAGTAATTAGTCGCGAGAGAGCCGCAACAACAACATCCGTCTTAATTAATCACTTGGCTCGCGTCTCGGCTGTACTCCTCTTGTCGACACAGGCGGACTGGCAAGACATATTGGGCTTTTCTCTTGGACTAATTACCAGCTAATTGCATTCATATTGATAAATTCTGGGTATACAGCCTGCGGAATGTGGCGATAAAGGCGGCGAAAAAGAGACAGCAGGAAAAATGCGTGCGTGACTTAACAAAATGAATGGTGTAGAGTGCGGCAATCAATGAGCCGTGCATACTTACAATTTTTAGACAAGCGGAAGTTCCAAAAGATTCAGAGTAAATAATTACCATGCATTCCTTTCCTTCCTTGCATTTCTTATTTTTATTCAAATAATTTTGAAGAGCACAAATTTTCATGGCTGTAAAAATTAAAATAAATTATTTAATCTTTCAATTGATATTGATAGTATAAATAGTACGCTCTTGGATTATAATTAATGGTAATAAAAATAGTTAAAATTTAATATTTTTACTACTTCAACCTGTAAGCTTGATATAAACTGGTATTTCAAAGTTAAGCCAAATAAAAATTTTAATGTCAGTGGTTTTTTGGTCTAATCTTTTTGAATTATATCGAGAAATTTTAATTTCACTGTGGTGAGCCGTTTGATATAATTGGAATCAGATTCTAGATTATCCCATAGTTTAACATTAATATAGCAAAATAATTTTCCCTTCCACATCCGCGCGCGTCAAGTGCATAATCCCATCTAACAACTGAGCGTGTTGTTGTTGTTGTTTGTGACCCCATTAAAACCGTAGGGGTCATGTGCGTCGAGCGCAAAAAATAATAAGAAGCTGGCGGTGCGAGTTGTGTAGTCTTGACAGTGCGTGGGAACCCTCAGGTGGTGAACCCACCCCGCGAGCAAAACACCCCTTGTTGTGTGCCTGGCGGCCACGCGATCATACGCACCCTGCAATTAGAAGAAAAGCTCATGCACTTTTGAGCGTGAGCTGTTTTTTCCTCTTTGCATTTCGACGAGCCGCAATCATGCGTGCACATTATTTTCCTGTCAAATCACTCGCCCTGACGAGCAATCCGCGTCCAACCGGAAGAATTGCTCACCTTTCCATTTTCATTTTGAAATGTGCTAATTAGAAGTCTGTTTTTGACAAGCGTCACGTTTTGTCGCTTTGTTTACTCATCATTATATAGGTTTTTGCGTTTTCAGTTAAAATTTGAATCACAAATTAGTATGAAATAATATGATGGTGTCCAATTCAATGTTTAACAAAAAATCTAATTAAAAAAATAGTAATTGTTCAGAACAGTATGCAAAATACAATTTATCGCCCACAAGTGTATGCGTTGGCAGAGTTTTAAAATTTATGAGTTTAATTTTTCCGCGGCCGAACGCCTAAATTTTCATAATCCAACAAGTCCACCAAGGGGGAGCTCAGGACTCTCAGGAGCGCTCGACTGCCTCGAGGGTGACAAGATTTGTGCATTCACCGAAGTTGACGTTTTCCTTGGTAGCTGTGCTGATTTGAATTCACCTCGTGTTGTTCTTCTGCTCACCGGGGGATGCAGCGTTTCCAAAGCCGGCAGTGGAGGCAAAGCAGGGTGGCGCGATTTTACAGCACGCAGTGGAGCTTTTGAGTCAAACTTTGCTCGCCGCGTGCAAGAGACGTGACGGTTTTTAAATCACTTTGCGTGGATCAAAGTGTATCAAATGACTGACAGGGTGCTGAATAGATGACTGAAGGGCGCGTTTTTTTGCTCAACAGTTGACAATCAATGCAAATTACCTGCAATAATAATATAAAAAAAGAGAACAATAGTCAGAAATTGATTTAAATTTTTTAGCTTTTATTAAAAACAAAACTTCATAAAAATTGATGAGAATTTTCTCCAACTAAATGAACTAAATGTGAAAGGAAAATTTCACCTGATTACAACTTTACCAGACGAAATAGGATATAAAATTACAAGAAAAACATTTTCTTAATTTTAATAAAATTATATATTCTACGTGATGTTTTTTCATATTACGCAGATATAGGAAATTGAAATTTTTAAATCCGATAGACAATCCAAATCTTATTCTAGTTTAAAATTGAAATTTAAAATAAAATCAATTCTATATTTTTATATAATTCCAAATAATTCTCTCTTCAGAGGAAGCAGAGTCCCTCTTATTTCAGATCCACCCTCAGAAATTGCATTACATTTATTACCCCGAGCAAAAGTTATTGCTGCAAGGAGAGAGGAATTGTTGCAAGCACCACTCACTCTCAGCATCCCAGGGGTGCAAGAATCACATATCGCGCGAACCCAGGCCGGGTCGCAATGAATTGCTGCAGCGCGCACATCATCACAAAAATAATAATAATAATAATGCAATATGGGTGCGCGGAAAGCAAAAGCAGAGCGCGGACCCCCGTCGGGTCGCATCTGTTGTCCACGCATCAAACACAAATCGAACGCCGCAATAACACTTGTCTTTACACATGTCACATGTATGGGGCGGCAAGGGGTGGAAATTCCACCGCTGCAATGAATCGACTCTCTCGCAGCACAGCCAGCACTCGGCGATAATTTATTTTTATTTGCTCTGCATCCAACACGTCAACGCGCGTTCTCTGTGTATAAAGTACGCGCGCCGAGCTTATAAATCCGCGTGTTAACAATACCACTTTTTCACATATACTGGTGAGTTTCGAGCCCATTCAAAAGCCGTTTGCGTGCCGATGAAATGAAATTTATTATAACTGGGACATCGTGATTTATTTTTATTGATTTCCCATGTGGCTCATTCTAGTTTTGATCGCCAGAATTTTCAAGTTGATATTGTTTTAACTTTTTTAGATTTTTTTCAAACTTCAAAATGAACTGAATTTGGTTGCACTTATTCTATGATACATCCTTTTTTGGGAAATGTTAACTCCTTTCCATATAAACTCAAATGTACATACATACGGATAATGTTATTGTAGGCGTGACATGTTTTTTCATAGTTTGGCAGCGCATAATTATGCTCCTAAATGTAAGTACAGAGGTATCATGTCGCTCGTATACAAAAGTGGTTTTGAATTTAAATCACTCTTTGTCTTTTACACTGTTGGAGTGTTTTCTAAAGTTAAACTAATTATTTTATAGACCTTTTTTATTATTGTTTTAATTTTTAAATTAAATCAACTTAAATTAAGGAAATGAATTCATTTGTTAGTTTTAAGATTTTTATTTGTATGTTAAATTGTGGTTTTTTTCAATTTTGCTGATTTTTTGTATTTTTCTTGCTCATGAAATAGGGTCGCAGACCGTGACCAAAACTGGTAGAGCCATTTGTTTTTGAATAAAAACAATTTTCTGCTACGAAGAAAAGCCCGATTGCTTCATTTCCATGATCATCTCCTCGAGTCTTCAAACAAACTTAAATTAAATTTATCTCAATTTATCATTTTAATTTATTATTATGGTGACAGAAACTTTATTTAATTTTTATAATTAACTCCTATAAAATTATACAAAATTTAATTACAATTAACAATAAATTAAGTCCTAATTGATTTAAGCTTCTAATTTTGGGATGTACATCTCAGTCAGCGGTACAAATTTTCTCCCACAAAATGCTGTCGAAGATCAAATAACATTAAACTGTAGTAGGACCAAAGCCTGGAGTATTTTTGACTCGGCTATGGAATGTCGAACCTTGGCTGAAGCAGTTCCACGACGGCCTTACCGTGCGGCCGGGCCTTTTATTTCGCAGGAGATTCTTGAGCCGTGGAAGAGCGGCTGCGGAATTTCGTTTGGGCCCTGCAACTCAGCTTTTGCGTGGCCATTCCACGCTGCCTGATGGTTCGAGGCCTTTCACTCATTGTCAGTGCTCGTCTGCGAATCTTTTCCACTTTGATCGTCATTGGTAAGTTTAATTTTTACTTTAACATTTGAAATCAAAGAGGAATATATATTTTTTTAAAGCCCTCATCCCCAACTTGTGGATGCTGGTTGAGCTTGTCTGGCTATAGCACCCTGGCGACCTGGCGTCAGAGCTCTCATACCCAAGGACACATGCCGAGGCTAACGAACACGATTGAAAAGTCAAAGGTAAAATAAAAAAAATCTTAATTTTTCTCTTCATCCAGCTAAAACAGCACATTAATTAAAGATCTTTAATTTATTAGTACTGCGACTAATCGCCTCTCGTTGTCTCGGAACGTAATTCCACGTCAAGGCAATTAGTCGCAGTACTAATTAATTATTTCCCGTTTCGAGTGGTTTCTTTGGGTTTTAAATTCTCAAAAAACTTCTTTAATTGTTAAATAATCCACTTTTTTGTGTGGGCAAATCTCTCAATAGAAGAAATTTGCACCTTTTTCTTAATCGAATTGAAAAATCTCTTTATTGAATCTGCAAAAATTTATAGAAATTAATCACCTCACCATATTAATAAGCTTGATTGAATTTCAGTGGCAGTCAGTGAATCGCAGCAACCAGAGCTCATGACGAAGAAACCAAAATTTAGCCCTGGACCAGAGGGTCTGTTTTTGGAGCGCATCCACCAATCTGGCTGGCTCACCGGTCTTCATCAGCATTGCAGCCCTGGAAAAATTTTCGCTCTGGCCAAGACCAGTCAGCGCTGACCTTCACCAAGGTAGGGTTTCTACATTATTATCTTTTTATATTATGGTGACCAAGTGAGTGAATTTTGCCGACAACGCCGCATGTAACTTTTGCATACTTCGTACCGAATTTCAGTTCAGGACCCCATATTTTCATGTAGGCAGTTTTAAAACATTTAAATTGCTAAGTACGTAACAAACTGTACACTAATTTTTAGTTTCATTGAAACTAAATATGTCACTTTCAATGTTGATCCACATCCACACAGTTTGGGTGAGAGGGCGAAAATCTCTCCGGATGCAGAATATGCGGCTGCAAACGAAAGACAAATCGACTATCAATTTTTTGAAAATTACGAAAATTTAGAAATTTGTGACTCGCACTTTAATATTTAAACGGAAAAAAAAATAAAACTACTAACTCATATTAGTTTGGTTGGGAATGAAAGGTTTGGATTTTTCAGAGCCCAAGATTGTAATTTTTTGTATTAATTTTTCTTCATTACAAATAATAGACTTGACACCAAAGTTGTTTGGAGCTTTTAAAATTTGGTGCACCGAAATCTCAATAATTATCTGGTTAAGCGGTGGTATTTGTTTTGTTTTCCCCCTACATGGAAATTCCGCTGTACAATTTACCAAGCTTTTGCAACAATGTCGAGACTTTGCCACAAGGGTGCGCCAGAGGCCAAAAGCATACTATTGTATGAGGATTAGCAATTTGGCACAATTTATACAAATAATCATGCTGTTAATGGTTAAAGTTGGTAATTTAATATGATCTTAAAATTCCAGGCCACATTATACTTTT